CGCTGAACACAAATATGAGTGTTTCAAAACAGTAAAGCTTATCACAATGATATCACCAGTGAAGGTGCAGTTTTTTTGTAAATAAAATGCAAAAAATAAATAAAAATGCTAACTTTGGCCAGCGTTCGCTCCTAAGTAGCTACTACAAAAGACTGGACATCTTGCATTTTGATATTTATTTATTTTTTTACTATTTCCCCCTCAATAGGGCTTTCTCCCCAGGCATGAGGACAAGAGACTTCTCGGCAATTGAGGGGACTGGTCTCCTTTTTCGGAGCTTCCACCTTCACAGAACAAAAAGCGGTTCGCACAACAGCAGTGGCTCCCCTTACATTTTTTTTGATAAACTATGTGCTGAAGAGGTAATACAGAAAGGCTTATCTACAATCACATTAACAATAATTATTATTATTATGTTATTTATATAGCGCAATCAAATTCCGCAGCGCTTTACAATGGGTGGACGAACAGACATGTAGTTGTAACCAGACAAGTTGGACACACAGGAACAGAGGGGTTGAGGGCCCTGCTCAATGAGCTTACACGCTACAGGGACTGGGGTAAAATGACACAAAAAGGTAAGGAATAGTATTAGACTAGTGACAGTAATTCATCCACTTGGGGATCTTTGAAACATTCAGAGCAATGGGAAAGCAACCAACAGCAGGTTTTGGAAGGTGGATAACAAATATACAACATTATGTTTTGATGGTACATAACACTAGTTAAATGTATTACAAATGTGCAGGGCAGTGGGTGACATGTGTTGGAAAAGTTACGAGGAGAGAGGATCTTACATATGTGGTGGGTCTGCCAGAGGGTGAGGCAATTCTGGGAAAGGGCCCAAGATATATTTGTCAAAGTTCTTCAGAGACTATTCCCTAGTTAGTGTGGAGAAGTAAAGCACTAAACATGTATGTGGCATGTTCCTCTATTATTGTCTGTACTTGCCAGGTTATCCTGCTCTCAGAATGTAGATTGCAACAGGTTATGGACCCAGACGGAATGCTGGAAACGGATGGAGCAGGCCATATTTCGACAGAGATGACAAGAACTACGAGTTATGGGAAATAACATTCTTAGGAAACATGTGGAATGTGAACTTGAAGAAGCCATCCTAAATTAACTAGAGGATCTGGATGATGTGGACGAAGACACACTATAAGCATTAGGAAGCATATACAGAGCTATTTTTATTCTTAGATCAGGGCTCGACTAGTCACAGGCACCAGGTCGCCATTGCGACTAGAAATTTAAAGGGCTTTAAATCCCAGACCTAGCGCCTGGGATTTAAAGCCCTTTAGCTGAAGGCAGGATGGGGGAACAATGGAGCTGGCCGGTCACCCCGAGTAGTGTGGACGGCTGGCTCATGGAGCAGCGGGCAGGCAATCGCCCTCGGGAGCATTGCTGTGGTTGGCTGGGGAAGCGTGCGAGGGAGCAGTGATCTTCAAGTGGCTCCCCTCTGCTCCCACATGCTGTTTAATGATGCCGGAAGCTGGAACATGATGTCATTCCGGCTCCCGGCATCACTACAGGGAGCAGAGAGGAGCCGCCTGAAGATCACTGCTCCCTCGCACACTGCCCCAGTCAGTTTGTGTGTCAATCCCTGTCAGTATGTTTGCGCGTCTCTCTCCGTCAGTGTGTGTGTTTTTCAGTGTTTGTGTGTGCGTCTGTCAGTGTGTGTGTGTGTGTCTTCTTGGGTCTGTTTAGGTACCTGCATCCCTCCGATCACGAGAGGTGTTTTCACTTACCTTCTTTCCCATGCCATGCCAGTTTTCCGCGGCTTGTCCTGCCTTCATGTGGGAGATAATCAATCTTTAAGATCTACCTATAGGAAAGCATTGAGAGAATATTGTGCATGTTTTCTATATGTAACATTCAGCACCTCCATACAGAGCGTGGAGACGCTGAACACAATGTTCAGCACTGACACAGGACTCTCTAGTGTCGTCTGAGTGACTGTCACTAGAGGGGTTACTAGGCAGCAATGTAAACACTGCCTTTTCTTTGAAAAGGCAGTTTTTACATTAAAAAGGCTACAGGCACAGGCTACAGGCATCAGAACAACTACATTAAGCTGTAGTGGTTCTGGTAACTATAGTGTCTCTTTAAGAATTGTGTATTCCTGGGGCGGGGCCTGACTGCAATGGAGGGAAGACGTGCCAAGCTGGAGCTCCTCACCAGACCCAGCTAAAACTGCATTTCTCACCCATAAAATCCACAAAACCAAGACTCCAAGCGACTTTCCAGATACCAATCCCTGCGGTGAACCGGTGATGCGGCCCGTGAGCAGACACTTGTCAGGAACCAGGAACCAGACAGAGACAGATCTAGATGCAAAAACACCTTTATTTAATAAATAACAAAGAAATAACCAAAAGCAAAGTCCAGCAGGCAAGCAGGGGTCAGTCACCAGAGCGGGTAGTCAGACGAGCCAGGATCAGGAGAACGGAGAGCAGCGGAGTCAGGAACAAGGCCAGAGTCAGGAACCAGGAGCAAACAGGAAACACAGGAACAAGGAGACGTCTGGGGAACAGGAAACCACGCAAGGGCAAGGAGGTTCTGGGATTTGCTGTTTAAATAGGCTGAACTGATTAGCAGCAGGGTTGATTACTATTCTCAGGTGAGTAACCGTGGCAACATGCTGAAGTTGCTGATCGTTAATTACAGCTGATACCTCAGACACTGAAAAAGGAAGGGTGGCTGTTTAAAACAGCAAAGAAACCCTGACAACACTGCTATGTTTATGAAAAAATGGGTTAACCCATAACCCCACAAGGCAACTGTCGAGACAAGGCATCAGCCCGAATGTTTTTAGTACCGGGCAAGTAAGAAACCACATAATTGAATCTTGATAGGAAGAGAGCCCATCTAGCTTGCCTGGGGGAAGTCGCTTAGCTTCGGAAAGATATGTCAGATTTTTGTGGTCTGTGAGGATGAGAATTGGCACTGAAGTACCCTCAAGAAGATGCCTCCATTCTTTGAGAGCTAAAATTATGGCTAGAAGTTCTCTATCACCAATCTGGTAATTGCATTCCGCCGGGTTTAATTTCTTCGAGAAATACCCGCACGGATGCCTGGAGCTCTCTGGGTTAGGACGTTGAGACAGGAGGGTGCCTACTCCTGTCTCAGACGCATCGACCTCAAGAATGAATGGTAAGGCAGGGTTAGGGTGTGCCAGTATAGGAGCAGCAGCAAAGGCGACTTTGAGAGACTCAAAGGCAGAAATGGCCTCCTGTGACCAATGCTGTGGATCAGCATCTCTCCTGGTCATATCCGTGAGTGGTTTAACCAAGGAAGAAAAGTTGCGTATGAACTTCCGATAATTGGCGAAGCCATGAAAACGCTGTATAGAGCGAAGACCCGTAGGTCGAGGCCATTTTAGTACAGCAGAAAGTTTCTCTGGGTCCATAGAGAATCCAGCATCTGAGATAACATAGCCCAAGAATGTGACCTGTTTGCAATTGAACTCACATTTCTCCAATTTACAGAACAGATTATTTTCTCTAAGTCTCTGTAGAACACTAGAAACGTCTGCGTGGTGGTTCTCGAGAGATGTGGAATGGATAAGAATATCGTCAAGATAAACCACCACACATTGCTGCAACATATCACGCAGGACGTCATTTATAAATTCCTGAAAAACCGCCGGAGCATTGCAAAGACCAAAGGGCATTACTAGGTATTCGTAATGCCCGCTCCTGGTGTTAAATGCGGTTTTCCATTCGTGGCCCTCTTTTATCCGGACGAGATTATATGCCCCTCTCAGATCAAGTTTAGTGAAGACCGTTGCTCCCTTGAGGCGGTCAAATAACTCTGTGATCAACGGAATGGGGTAGGCATTCTTAATAGTAATGCGATTGAGACCCCTATAGTCGATACAGGGTCTCAACTCACCACTCTTCTTTTTCACAAAGAAAAAGCCGGCCCCGGCAGGAGAAGATGACTTCCGAATGAATCCCTTTGACAACGCATCGGTAACATACTCCTCCATGGCTCTATTCTCTGCTACAGACAGCGGGTAAATCCGGCCACGGGGGAGGGTTGGCACCAGGTTGGAGTTCGATACCACAGTCATACGGACGGTGTGGTGGCAGAACGCTAGCTTGACCTTTGTCAAATACATCTTGGAATTCTTGGTACTCAGCGGGTAAGGAAGAGGCAGAAACTGTGCCCACTTTGACCGGTTTCCGGAGACAGGAAAATGTGCATTGCTGGGACCAAGATAATATCTCAGATTTGCGCAAATCAATTGTGGGGTTATGCTTCTGTAGCCAAGGGTATCCCAAAACAACCTGGTAGTATGGAGAGGAAATGACCTGGAATTGGATCATCTCATGATGTAGAGCCCCTACAGCCAGAGATATGGGCACGGTTTCCTGGGTCACGAGGGTTGGCTGTATAGGTCGGCCATCGATGGCTTCGAAAGCTAGTGGGGAGTTGCGAGGCTGTAAGGGTATAGAGTGCTCTGATGCAAATGCACAATCTATAAACAAGCCTGCGGCCCCAGAATCAAGAAATGCCCGGGTTTTAATGGATGACTCCGGCCAGGAGAGGATAATAGGCACCAAGGGTTTGTCCTTATTTATCTCTGGGTCTGCAGAAAGACCCCCCAAGATCTGCCCCTGACAGTATCTTGGGTGCGGGCCCTTTACCGGACGAATCGGGCAAAACTTTAATATGTGACCGTGGTATCCGCAGTATAGGCACAGGCTCTCCCTCCTCCTAAAGGCTCTCTCCTCAACAGAGAGGCGTGAGAAGCCTAACCGCCTCGGCTCCACACCGACAGAGGACTCAGGACCAGGAGGCATGGGAGGTGAGGGAGGTTTGGGTGGGCAGGAAAAGCTCGGTGCCAAACATACTGGAGGCCTCCGCAGGCGCTCCCTGGATGAGGATCTCTCTCGGAGTCTGATGTCAATGAGGGTGACAAATGATATCAGTTCCTCAAGATCTTTAGGTAATTCTCTGGCTGCAATCTCATTTTTCATTACATCGGAGAGCCCCTGTGCAAAGGCAGCCACGAGAATCTCGTTATTCCAGCCACCCTCTGCTGCCATGGTACGGAATTCACTGGCATACTCAACAATAGTTTTCGTGCCCTGAGTATTAGACATGAGTTGTTTGGCAGTAGGAGTGGAGCGAGCTGGAATATCAAAAACCCTTTTAAAGGACGCAACAAATTCAGGGTAGTTGTAAATGATGGGCCTCTCTGCCTCCCAGAGAGGTTTTGCCCAAGCTAGGGCTTTTTCAGACAGCAAAGAAATCATGAACTGGACTTTGTCGCTGTCTGTAGGAAATGCCTGGGGCAGCATTTCAAGGTATACTTTAACCTGATTTATAAATTCTTTGCACTGAGCTGGGTTGCCCCCAAAATACTGAGGGAGCGGGACAGACCCAGTCATTCCTCTAGCCGCAACAGGTTCGGAGGCTACAACCGGTGCCAGAACAGGAAGTGAGGCAGAGGCGGCCGCAATCGCAGGCTGGCCGGGTTTTGGATTCAGATGGACATACTGGTCCAAATGGTGGTTCTGCTGGTCCCACCGGGTAAATAGGTTAGGTATAGGTGTATTGCCTGTACCATCTGTATTCATGGCCCTTGCGTAATGTCAGGAACCAGGAACCAGACAGAGACAGATCTAGATGCAAAAACACCTTTATTTAATAAATAACAAAGAAATAACCAAAAGCAAAGTCCAGCAGGCAAGCAGGGGTCAGTCACCAGAGCGGGTAGTCAGACGAGCCAGGATCAGGAGCACGGAGGGCAGCGAAGTCAGGAACAAGGCCAGAGTCAGGAACCAGGAGCAAACAGGAAACACAGGAACAAGGAGACTTCTGGGGAACAGGAAACCATGCAAGGGCAAGGAGGTTCTGGGATTTGCTGCTTAAATAGGCTGAACTGATTAGCAGCAGGGTTGATTACTATTCTCAGGTGAGTAACCGTGGCAACATACTGAAGGAGCTGATCGTTAATAACAGCTGAAACCTCAGACAGAAACCTCAGACAGAAAAAGGAAGGGTGGCTGTTTAAAACAGCAAAGAAACCCTGACAACACTGCTATGTTTATGAAAAAATGGGTTAACCCTAGCTGGACCTGGCACCCAGACCACTTCATTAAGCTGAAGTGGTCTGGGTGCCTAGAGTGGTCCTTTAACAATGAGAGCAGCAACTGACAATGCAAGAAAAGTGCTTTGAATTCTAAGAGATTACTATGCAGACAATGAAAAGCCCACAATAGTCAGTTTATATACTGTATTAACATCCCCTCAGAAAGGCATAAATGACAGTATGATGGACTAAGTGATGTTTTGCTAATTGCAATGATCCTTAAGGGTTTCTCCACATGCTTTAAACCATTTGCAGTACACATTACATAAGGTGATTGAAAAGTTGCTTATATAGAGTTTATGATGCAATTATTATAATTTTAAGATACCGAAATATACTGTGCTGGTTCAAACGATAATTGAGTGTTGAAAGAGAGCAATGTGACTCCTAGATCCAGAATGAAAGAGGATTCTTACATTAGTAGTTACATGACCAGAATGTGATCCAGTAACCAAAATGGCGGCAAATCAGTCATTGTATTATAACTACTGCAACTGCACAACACAGAGGTGAAGATCATATGAGCAAGAAAAGAAGCTGTGTTAGGCAAGAAGCACTTAATGATAATAACAGACACTTACATGTTTTCAGAATAAGAGATGACCAACTTGATGGCTGAATACCAAACCTAATAGTTGACACAGTGGCAAACTTCCACATAACAGCTAACATTGTTATGTTTGAAATCATCCAGTACAGGAAGGGACTCAGGAATCCAGATATGCTAAAGTGAAAATTACCATTATTGTAGAACCATATAACAAGCATAAATAAAAAGGAATATCTATGTTTAAAAAGTTCCAAGGCCATACGCATTCCGTTCTATATACAAGAACTTCCTCAGGGACCAAAAGTATTAAAAGCAAAATAAAACAGATCAATGCTACAAAGCAGCCTGAAAAATTGTGTCTCCAAATTAACCCCTTAAGGACACATGACATGTCATGATTCCCTTTTATTCCAGAAGTTTGGTCCTTAAGGGGTTAAACCAAATGAACTAAAAAAAAATTCATGACCACATTGATCACTCAATTGAAAAAAAAAAAAAAGTTAGAAATCACATCCAAAAATTCATACATAGTAATCAGTAATGTATGCATATAAAGTGAACAATATCCACACCGAAAATTGAGTTTACAGTGTAGCTATTCTGATACATTTACTTGCTCTTGTAAATAATTTGATATAAATTCAAACCAGTTTGTATATGTTATATTTAACTTTAGCTTATTTAATATTTATATTCATATGATTATAGTTATATATGCACACACACATTAATAAAAAAATAAAAAAAAATCGATCCTAATTACTTTTAAATGAATTTCATTATTTTATAAAGTGCCATCTATGTGAAATATATATGTATTCCTATATAATTATGTAAATCTATTAAAGTGACAGTATAATAAAGTCCTATATTAGTAATTATAATTTAAATCCCTATACAATTAGCTAAAAAAGAATGTTAAGAACCCTGTCCCTAATGTTAGGGATCTCCATGATGATATAATATTCCAGACACTCAAATAAAGAAGGTGTTGATATCTCATATTATAAAAAGCAATCCTAAGCTACGTCCATGTTCAAAACCTCTTGGTTCCAACGTTGTTTAGTCTGTGAATCCAAAAGGTTTCACGCTCGGCTAGTCTTTGAATTGTATCCCCTCCTCGCCAATAAGGCAGCATTCTCTCTATGCCTATACACCTGAATTTTTTAAAACTAAAAAAAAAAGGGCATGCATATGGATGCTTGGATATGACAAGAACAGTCATTACTTTCTATTGTATTATCCTGACACCAGAAAAGTTTTCAAACACGGGCTTCTGACATTTATTAAAAGAAAGCTGTTAAAAACTAATCTATTGCATAATGAAGAGGATTCCCAGAGACTGTAGTACATCTTCTTTACCAAGAGCAAATAATACTGAGGTAGAATGTTAAGAAAAAGAATTCCAATACGCAGAAAGCAAGGAGAATAGTCAGGCCAAGGATGATCATGGTACATGTTAGTCTTAAAGGAACTCTTCAGTGCCAGGAAGACAAACCGTTTTCCTGGACTGCAGGTTGCCTCTCCCTCCCAACCCCCCATCCCATGTTGCTGAGGAGGTTAAAATCCCTTCAGTGACTTACCTGTATCCAGCACTGATGTCTCTCGGCACTGGGTCAGGGTCTGCCCGACGTCATCCGGCGGGGGAGACCTATTGAGCATGCGCAGCCGCCGGGGGGAGATCTAATGCGCATGTGCGGCATTTGCCGCGCACGCGCATTAGACCTCCCCATAGAAAAGCATTGAAAAATGCTTTCGATGCTTTCCTATGAGAATTTCAGCGACGCTGGAGGTCCTCACATAGTGTGAGGACGTCCAGCGACGTTATAGAACACTTTTCATGTGCTATAAACATGAAAGTGCCCTCTATAGGCTGTCTAGTAGAGGAGGAGTTCACCCTGCAAGGTAAACATTGCAGTTTATGAAAACTGCAATAATTACACTTGCAGGGTTAAGGGTAGTGGGAGTTGGCACCCAGACCACTCCAATGGGCAAAAGTGGTCTGGGTGCCTGGAGTCTCCCTTTAAAGATATAAAGTGCCCCAGTACTTGAGAGAGTATGTTTCAGATGACCACGCATTAATGAACATTGGTTAATTTTACGGTGTTTGAAGTACCTTTAAAGATGACAAATTGACTTCAGTCACAATCTCAGCCTAGTGCTATGAAAGAAACAATTCATTCACTAAGAATTAATAACCTTCATTTTGACCACTTTACCAGAAGGTAAACTTTCAGTGGTGGTGGTGTGGGAAAGGGAAGCGGGAATGGGGAGGTGAATGTATGCAATAAAGAACGGAACTGATGGATTAGAAACACATCAGATGTGTTACTATCGACTAAAGGGAGTAAGTTATGAAGAAATACTATATAAAACGGTTTATTTACATTCTTCAGTTGGTTGTGGAAAATATGTAGAACGGTCAAAAGGCATTGAGGTCAAATCCAAGCAGAATGAAAAATTAGTTCACGAGTTAAACAAAGTACTACACAACCACTTGAGGGAAAATATTCATAACTGCGTTTTCTGGCAGTTTTGTCCTGCTCATACCCATTCTCATGGATCCTCTGGTAGGTTGTGATTGGAGGATGACAGAAAAGGATGTTGACCAATTACATGCTGTAGTATGTAAGCAGCATGAAATCTATCTTTTCCCTCTCCTGCCACCATTTCAGATAGCTTCAGGTCCCTGGGGCCCCAATAAGATTTTAGAGTGTGGTTGCCACTTTCTCAGCATATTACCACTATGTGCACTGTTAAGAACCACTTTTCCAAACAAGCCAATTGAATTCCCCTTAGCAAATATCACTGTAAGAATTGGCACAGATCTTTATCAAGGGGTTCTAGAACATGCATGGTGTGCCTACTAAAAGTACCATACTACCTAAGCCATTTAGGATCCTTTGCAGATCCTAAGATAGGCATAGCGCTAGCCACAGGAAAAAAAAGGATTCTCTCCTGGAGCCGAATGGGGAATTAGCTCTAGACACCCCCAGGCACTGGGCGATACTCAGTCCTAGGAGCTCTAGTCCTTACAAGGACTTTCCCAGTTGAATCCCCTACAGCAGACACAGGAGTAAATCTTCTTTCCTTCCAATAACAGGGCGACACAGTTTTGGAGTGTAAACTGGAATAGATTTTAATGGTGTCACACTTGGCCTTATATGACAATCCCCATGCAAAGGGTACGCCCACCTGGACCTGATGGTGGACTGATTTACAACGTCACATACCAATAGCAATAGGGTTACAAGTCACAACACTCCCACACACAGCACACAACCCATCCCCTCTGCCTGGGAGATAATTAGATCAGTAACTGTACTAATTCTAGTCTAATTATCTCCAAGCACAGAAAAAACCCACACATTTCTATATAAAGTTCCAAAAGTACCCCAAAACACATAATATCCCCACAAATGTTACATCCCCTGATAGCCCTGATCTGTGTGACCAACATATCCAAAAATCACCCAGATCTGTTCAGGAATTCTATAGAAGTCATTTATTTCACCAACCGCAGGCATGGTCCCATGCCCAAAACAGTTAGAGAGAATCAGGGCTTGCGGTCGGTCTAGTTCGGTAGTTTGAAAACAAACAAACTACTGAACAGAGTCAATAGTCTTACCCTGGAGCTTGTTCCCCTCATCCAGACGAATGATATCACCGAACAGTGCCCTTCTAAGTTGAACCGAACGCAGGCGATGATGGAAGTCCAGTGTCACGATTCCGGAACCTAACACGCTAACAGGTCACAGAGAGGAAGGATGCTATACCGGTCCTTAGAGTGGCCGGGCTAAGCACACAAAGAATAGTCAGGAGACAAGCCAAGTAAAGGGAGCCAGAAAACAGGAGAACGAGAAACAAGCCGAGGTCAAAGGAGTGGAGAATACAGGAAAATCAGAATAACGAGCCAGATAATCGGTAACCAGAGAGAAACACGAGCAAACTGCACTACAGGTAACACAAGACCACAACAGGGCACTGAGAGACAGGAAAGGTAAGTATAAATATCCTTTGCTTGATTCTGATTGGATAACTTCCAATCAGAATTAACAATCACACATGGGAGATATCTACGCCTCCCACTGTGATTGTGGTACTGTTGCTTTAACGCCGGGTCACGTGAGTGACCCCGGCGTTTGCATAAATGTGCGACCTCCCAGCGTGCAGCGTTATACATGCTGCCGCTGGGAGGCGTGGAGGAGGATGCGAGCGGCGCGCAGCGGAGGGGAGACGCCGCTCGCCGACAGGTAGGACAACAGCCTGCGGACCCCTGACATAACCCCCACCCTCGAGGACCGCCCGATGGGCGGGAAGCCGAAGGCGTCAAAGGAAACCGCGCATGAAAGGAGCGGATCAAAGAGGGCGCATTCAAGTCAGAGGCAGAAACCCAAGACTGCTCCTCAGGGCCGTAACCCTTCCAATCCACCAGATACTGCAACCGACCCGAGAAAAACGAGAATCAAGCAGAGCAGCCACTTTGTACACGTCACTGGAGACAGCACGGAGGGAATCCGGACGCCTGAGAGGACCAGAGAATCGATTACAGAGCAGGGGCTTCAAAAGGGAGGTGTGAAAAGTGTTAGGTATACGCATGGAAGGAGGCAAGGCCAGGGAGTAGGACACAGGATTCACCTTATGCAATACCTTAGAGGGGCCCAGGAACCTGGGCGCGAATTTCATCGAGGGGACCCTGAGGCGGAGATTCTTAGAGGACAACCAAACCCTATCACCCGGGACATAAGAAGGAGCCGCACCCCTACGACGATCAGCAAATCTCTTCTGAGTAGCAGCCGCATGAGAGAGAGTAGCATGGACCTGATCCCACATCTTCCGTAAGGAGGTGAGGTGCTCGTCCAAAGCGGGCATTCCCTTGTCGAAGAACACGCCGGGAAGGACAGAGGGTTGGAACCCATAAGCAACCATAAAAGGACTTAAGCCAGTGGACGAATGAGTCACAGTGTTCCTGGCGAATTCAGCCCAGGGAAGGAGGTGAGACCAGTTGTCCTGGTGCACATTCGTGAAGCAGCGTAAATATAACTCCACAGATTGATTTGCCCGTTCGGCAGCTCCATTAGATTGTGGATGATAGGAGGACGTAAATGACAAGGAGATCCCCATCTCAGCACAAAAGCCCCTCCAAAACCGAGAGACAAATTGAGGCCTTGGGGAAGAGGCCAAGACAATATGGCTTCTAATTTTGAAGGATCCATGCTGAATCCCAGTTCAGAAATGACATACCCTAGGAATTGTACTGATTTTTGGTCAAATAAACATTTCTCTAATTTACAATAAAGACCATCCTCACATGGGCATGATGTGACTCCAAATCAGGAGAATATACAAGTATATCATCAAGATAAACCACGGCACAGACATGCAGTAAATCTCTAAGGACATCATTTATGAGGTCCTGAAACACAGCAGGAGCATTACACAGTCCAAAAGGCATGACTAGATACTCGTAATGCCCACTGCGTGTATTGAACGCTGTTTTCCATTCATCATTCTCTTTTATACGAACCAAGTTATAAGCCCCCCTGAGGTCTAGTTTAGTATAATATCTAGAACCTTTAACACGGTCAAATAACTCAGTGATGAGAGGGATAGGATAAGCGTTTTTAATTGTTATATTATTCAGACCCCTGTAGTCTATACATGGCCTCAAATCGCCCTATTTTTTGGCAACGAAAAATAAACCAGCACGAGCCGGAGAGGAGGACCTTCTGATAAAACCTTTACGTAAGGATTCCTGTATGTACTCCTCCATGACCTGGTTTTCTTTCTCAGAAAGTGGGTAGACCTTACCCCTAGGAGGCATAGTACCAGGTAACAGGTTTATGGCACAATCATAATCCCGGTGTGGGGGTAGCTTATCAGCCTCCCCTTTTTCAAAGACCAATGCAAGGTCTGCATACACAGGAGGGACAGAAACAGAAAGTGGTTTAGCTGTAGGCACATTAAGTAAGCAAACGGGACTTAAACGGGCCATACAGTCTTGTTGACAAGATTCCCCCCAGGAGAGTATATCTAAACAACCCCAATCAAGTACCGGGTTGTGTTTAACTAACCAGGGAAAGCCCAGAACGATGGAAGCTGTAGGGGAGTCAATTATTTGGAAGGTTAACCTTTCCTTGTGTAAGGCACCCACGGTCACAACCATTTCTTGGGTTTAATGGGTCACCAGAAGTTTATCAAGTGGTCTACCATCTATGGCCTCAACGGCCAAGGGTGTGGCCTTTTGGATCAGAGTCAAGGCTGCGGTTTTTGCAAAGTTCTCATCCATAAAGTTGTCTGCAGCACCTGAATCGATCAAGGCTTTAGTTGTTAAAGTTGTTTGACCAAAAGAGTAACCGTAATAAATGGTCTGGAGATGAACACATGAGGGGAAAAAAACATAACACCCGAGTCCGACCCCTCTCTAGGCCTTAGGTGCTGTAGTTTCCCTGCAAACTAGGACAGTTTCTTCGGAGATGCCCCCTCTTTCCACAATAAAGGCACAAGCCCTCCCTTCTGCGATATGTTCTTTCAGCTTCAGTTAAGCCTACAGCACCCAATTGCATGGCTTCGGGAGATGGTTGATTAGGGGGAGGTAATGCTAGTAATGCAGTACTGGGTAAAGCAGGTAACCCCTGTGTATTCATCCTTCTTTGACTACGCCTCTCTCTAATACGGTTGTCAATAAGAATGATATAATCTATTACATCATCCAGAAGAACCGGCAATTCCCTGGATGCTATTTCATCTAGTATGTAAGCGGCCAAACCCCCCTGAAAGGCTGTTACGAGGGCGTTGTTATTCCAAACCACTTCAGCTGCTAGAGTGCGGAATTCAATAGTATAATCCGCTACAGATCTATTACCCTGTCGGATCCTAAGCAGAGCTTTGCCAGCAGAAGCAACCCTGCCGCGTTGATCAAATGTACATTTAAAAGCTGTCAAAAAGTCTGCAAAGGACATTGGGCACTGAGAGACAGGAAAGGTAAGTATAAATATCCTTTGCTTAATTCTGATTGGATAACTTCCAATCAGAATTAACAAATCACACGTGGGAGATATCTACACCTCCCACTGTGATTGTGGTACTGTTGCTTTAACGCTGGGTCACATGAGTGACCCCGGCATTTGCATAAATGTGCGACCTCCCAGCGTGCAGCGTTATACATGCTGCCGCTGGGAGGCGTGGAGGATGCGAGCAGCGCGCAGCGGAGGGGAGACGCCGCTCGCCGACATCCAGCAGTGTTCGGGAGCTTCTCTGGTCGATTTTAGTTTCACGAGAAACATGCCCAAACACGCTGCCTGCGTTCATGCGAACAAGATGGCTGCCACCTCGTGGTTGTCTATAGGAATTGCGGCCACCCAGAGGAACAATTACAACATTGTGGTGAGAAACTTTCCAAGTTGTTAATAGGTGTTAACAAGCTCCAGGGTGGTCTCTGGTTCGTGCGGTGGTTCGGTAAACAAACCATATAATCCCAATTGCACGAACAGAGACTTTTACATTATATCACACAGGGTCCAAAGTCTGTGGAGGCAGGAGGGTGGCAAGCAGGCTTCTCCAAGAGCTCGTGGCAAACTCATGTAAAAAGGGGAGTTTGTCACACTAAGTTTTTTTTGCAGCAGTTTCTATCTCATAGCATTCCTGACATATTCAACACCAAAAGCATATCAGCTTTGAATGGGTCTGCTGGATCTCTCTGGAAGAAGGTATAGAGTCTTGTGTCTTCTGGAGCTGTAAGGCTAAACATTTGATTGCTATTGTTTCTGTAGACTGTTCTAGACCTAAAGGTCACAACTAATTTTGTAAAAATGTTTATGATGCATTGGATTGCTTGTTGGTTTGAAAGACAAACATGTATTCACAATGCTTTGGAAGGCATTATGCAATGTGTACTTCCGTTTGTCAACACTAGTAGAGGAATGGAAACTTTGCATCAGAGTTTAGTTTGTGCTATATGAACCGTAACATCACAAAAACAGTACAGGATGCAAATGTGCTTTTTCCATCTGCAGAGTTATTTACTGTTAATCATTTAAATCAGTTCTGCACTGAATGCAATCATAAGGTTTGGCACAGTATTTTTCTGTGGAAATAAAAATGAAATGGCATTCTGGTTGACAGAGCAGCGAGCAAATTAGTTGTCTCATAAAAGAGATAGCTGTAGATGGTAACACTGGGTTATAATCAGCAGGTGTACTCGTATCTTTACCCATATGTTGTTTTGGGCATAGGGTGTGTCTGCAGCCAGGATGGGATGAATTGTCTCTTAAAACTCAAAAGATAGCTTCAGTTTTCCATAAAAACAGGTCTATTTAACTCAGAGCCATTAAGTATCCAATCATAATAATAATTATTATTATCATACAGTGATCCAATCTTCATTAGTAATATCACCGATTAGAAATATCTAAAGAAATTTTGTAGCTGGACATTGTTTCCCTAAAAAAAACCATTGCAAATAATAAATACATTTATGGGGGCACCAAATAGAGAGTTGAATTACAGTGAAACAAACAAAACAAAAAAGTTTCAAAAGGCATTCAGCATACAAGCATGGAAATGGTATTAACCCCTTAAGGACCAGCCTGTTTTTGCGATGTTGTACGTTAAGGACCAGAGCAGTTTTGACACTTTTGTGGTGTTTGTGTTTAGCTGTAATTTTCATCTCCCTCATTTACGGTTCCCATACAAGTTATTTATTGTTTTTTTCAGGACAAGAAGGGCTTTCTTTACATACCATTATTTGTATCATGTCATATATTTTATTAAAAAAAATAATAAAGAAATATATATATATATATATATATATATATATATATAGTGAAAAAAAACACACAAAAAAAAAACATGTTTTTGGACTTTTACTTGAAAAATATTTTACTTCTCTACAAAAGCTAATGAAAAAACTGCTAAATAGATTCAAAGTTTTGTCCCGAGTTTAAAAACACCCAGTGTTTACATGCATTATTGCTTTTTTTTGCAAGTTATAGGCCTATAAATACAAGTAGGAAATTGCTGTTTCAATATATATATATATATATTTTAAATGTATCAATAGTGACATTGTAATACCGTTCGTTATCTGTCATAAGTCCCCGAATCACACCTCACATGTACATATTTTTTTAAAGTAAACAACAGGGTATTGCAAATGGGGTATGTCCAGTCTTTTTTAGTAGCCACCTAGTCACAAACACTGGCCAAAGTTAGCATTTATATTTGTTTGCGTGTTAAAAATGCAAAAAAACGCTAACTTTGGCCAGTGTTTGTGACTAGGTGGCTACTAAAAAAGACTGGACATCCCCCATTTGCAATACCTTTGGTTGTCTTCTTTTGCAAATGGTATGCCATCATGGGGGTAATTCTCACTCCTGGGCTACCATACTGCTCTCAAAGGCAACCTAACCAATCTGACAAATTTCAATAAATAAAAAAAAAAAAAGTAAAATCAAGCCTTATATTTGACCCTGTATCTTTCACAAACACTATAAAACCTCTACATGTGGGGTACTGTTATACTCAGGAGACTTCGCTGAACACAAATATTAGTATATCAGAACAGTAAAATGTATCACAGCAATAATATCATCAGTGAAAGTGCCATTTGTGTGCGAAAAATGCAAAAAACGTCACTTTCCCTGACAATATCATCGCTGTGATATGTTTTGCTGTTTTGAAACACTAATATTTGTGTTCAGCGAAGTCTCCAGAGTACAACAGTACCCCCATGTACAGGTTTTAGGGTGTCACAGAAAGTTACAGGGTTAAAAACAGTGCTAGCAAATTAAATTCTCTGGACTTTTAGCCTGGATTGTCAGGCATGTCCCTCAAATTGCAATCATTAAAATTACTTAATTAGGTAAAAATATTACATAAATATGCAAGTAGAATTTTAATATATATACATATTTATATATTTGAAGTCTACGTGTATATTCGTATTATTTTTATTTATTTATACATAGATATATATATCATTACATTCCAAGTGTATTTTGATATAAATATATATATTCATATCAAAATACTGTTAGAATAAAATTACATATATATATATATATATATATATTTTTTTTTAAATTATTAAAAAAATTTTTTTATTTTTATTAACATATTATTTATTAGTTATTATATAATGTATATATACACACACACACACACACACACGTGTGTAATTTAAATATAAGTGTATTTTTATATTAATATACGTATATATAAATATAAAAATACACTGTTTGACATTATATATAGATATAATACATTACGTATATATATATATATATATATATATATATAAAAATACACTTAGACATTATATATACATACACACACACACACACACACACATATATTATTATTATTTTTTTAACACTGATTGCTATTTTTTTTAACTTTATTTTATGATTTTTCAATTGCAGGGGGACTGCCTGTCAGCACAGACAGTCCCCCTGCAGGCAGATACAAAGGCACCTATTGCAGTCATATGATCAAGCGATCACGTGGCCGCGGGGAGACTACCTGGGCAGACAGGCAGTCCCCCTGGACCGGGAGAAGTGCTGATCGCTGCCGGGGGACAGACAGCGATCAGGTAAGTACCCCCCGTCCTCAAGGGGATGTTTCCGATGACGGTCCTGAACAGTCATCGGTCCTCAAGGGGTTAAACAACTTTTGGTGTATAGATCATGCCCCTGCAGTCTCTTTGCTCAATTTTCTGCCATTTAGGAGTTTAATCACTTTGTTTATACAGTCCTAGTCACACCTCCCTGCATGTGACCTACACAGCCTTCCTAAGCACCTAAGCAAAGCGAGACCTAATTTTTTTACTTACTTTATTGCAGTCTGCTTCATTTAAGATTTTTTTTTTTATCTCCTACTATGCTAATCGTCTTCTAGACCCTTAATTAAAGTTCAATTTACAGAGCAGCAGATTAAAAAACAAACAAAAAACCACAAAAAACAAACAAAAACTTCTAAAGTAAGTTGCATCTTATTGAAAATGAAAAAAAAATTCCATGCAGTCTCTGTTAGTCACAGCCAGGGGAGGTGTGGCTAGGCCTGTATAAACAGAAACAAAAGTGATATAACTCCTAAATGTCAGAGAATTGAGCAGTGAGACCGCAGGGGCACGATCTACACACCAAAACTGCTTCATTAAGCCAACATTGTTTTGGTTACTATAATGTCCCTTTAAGTGATATCTAAAAGATACTTGACTAGAGAATCTGTGTAGTCTATACCATGATTCTTTCAACAGTACCATGCCTCAATAAACCCTTCAAAAGAATAAAACGGAGTAAAGATTTATTGGGATGGAGAGGACAGGTAATTTTTGAAACTTTATATCTTTAAAATACGTAACAACCCCCCCTCCCCCCCCCAATAATTGTTAAGAATTTAATGCAAATTTTAAATACTAGATGAAAACAGCAATGCTGAAGTAGAATTCCTGATAATTATCACATTAGCAATAACATACACATTGCACTGACCATATGTGGTTGAAACCCCCCTTCCATCCCCCCCCAAAAAACCTTTTCGATCATAATGAATTGTTATGTAATAGAATATAACACTCCAAGGACCATAAGAACTTATGTTCATTGCATAGCTTATGATGCAGGTAGATCCCCTGCCTCCTTGAACACAATTTATTATAGCTGAGTGTAGGGCAATATTTATGTCATGAACCTGTAGGAACAAGGATGTGCGCTATCAGTTAGCCTTGGGCAACACCGAAATACGTTCGGACAAAAAAAAACCCAAAAAAACCAAACAAACAAAAAAACAAAAAACAACAAAACATTTGTTTCATGCAAACTGAATTTAATCCGTTTGTTTTTGAACGAAATTTGGACATTTTTTTGTTTTGGAATTTTGTTTTTGGAAAGTTAAAGTATCTGACTTGAAAAAGAAAAAAAAAATCTCCAAAATAGCTATTTTGGTCTAAAAACTACCCATCATCTTGTCAATTTTCAGTTTACTGAATATCTCCCAATTTATAGCCCTAAAAAAAAAAAACATATTCTCTACAAACACTTGGGTTCAATCACAAAAATAAACATCCACCAGGGGGCACAAGATACCACCAAACACAAGGAAATAGTATTTGGATTCTTAAATATGTATCATGTTCTTCGCTGTACTGGGTAAGAATAAACAACTCAGTTATATTCTGGGTGAGGTACATGCATTGGGTGATATGAATACTCCGCACAGAGCAGTACATAATTACAGTTTTAGGTTTTACCAGATACAGTACATTAATACATATATGGGCTAGCAAAGTACAGAGAGTTTCCAGTTCTCCTGGAGAAAGTGAAAGGCACTTGATGGGTCCAGGTATGTTGTCAAACCTATTGTTTTGCAAACAGCTTGACTACTGGTCGTTGGGGAGGGCACCAGGGCATCATAACCATTACAGCACAGTGTAGTGGTTATGGTGCTTGGACTGTAAAGACATGGCTTGTCAGATGCCAGGTGAGGCAAGTGAAAACCCAGGTTGCAGGTGAGGTAAGTTTACTCCCAGCTTAGGTAAGTGAATAAATTCTAGGCATACAGGTGAGTTAAGTAAAGACCTGGGTTACAGGTAAATGAATAAATGCTCGAGTTGCAGGAAAGTAAAGACGTGGGTTACAGGTAAATGAATACAGGGAGTGCAGAATTATTAGGCAAGTTGTATTTTTGAGGATTAATTTTATTATTGAACAACAACCATGTTCTCAATGAACCCAAAAAACTCATTAATATCAAAGCTGAATATTTTTGGAAGTAGTTTTTAGTTTGTTTTTAGTTTTAGCTATGTTAGGGGGATATCTGTGTGTGCAGGTGACTATTACTGTGCATAATTATTAGGCAACTTAACAAAAAACAAATATATACCCATTTCAATTATTTATTATTACCAGTGAAACCAATATAACATCTCAACATTCACAAATATACATTTCTGACATTCAAAAACAAAACAAAAACAAATCAGTGACCAATATAGCCACCTTTCTTTGCAAGGACACTCAAAAGCCTGCCATCCATGGATTCTGTCAGTGTTTTGATCTGTTCACCATCAACATTGCGTGCAGCAGCAACCACAGCCTCCCAGACACTGTTCAGAGAGGTGTACTGTTTTCCCTCCTTGTAAATCTCACATTTGATGATGGACCACAGGTTCTCAATGGGGTTCAGATCAGGTGAACAAGGAGGCCATGTCATTAGATTTTCTTCTTTTATACCCTTTCTTGCCAGCCACGCTGTGGAGTACTTGGACGCGTGTGATGGAGCATTGTCCTGCATGAAAATCATGTTTTTCTTGAAGGATGCAGACTTCTTCCTGTACCACTGCTTGAAGAAGGTGTCTTCCAGGAACTGGCAGTAGGACTGGGAGTTGAGCTTGACTCCATCCTCAACCCGAAAAGGCCCCACAAGCTCATCTTTGATGATACCAGCCCAAACCAGTACTCCACCTCCACCTTGCTGGCGTCTGAGTCGGACTGGAGCTCTCTGCCCTTACCAATCCAGCCACGGGCCCATCCATCTGGCCCATCAAGACTCACTCTCATTTCAGCAGTCCATAAAACCTTAGAAAAATCAGTCTTGAGATATTTCTTGGCCCAGTCTTGACGTTTCAGCTTGTGTGTCTTGTTCAGTGGTGGTCGTCTTTCAGCCTTTCTTACCTTGGCCATGTCTCTGAGTATTGCACACCTTGTGCTTTTGGGCACTCCAGTGATGTTGCAGCTCTGAAATATGGCCAAACTGGTGGCAAGTGGCATCGTGGCAGCTGCACGCTTGACTTTTCTCAGTTCATGGGCAGTTATTTTGCGCCTTGGTTTTTCCACACGCTTCTTGCGACCCTGTTGACTATTTTGAATGAAACGCTTGATTGTTCGATGATCACGCTTCAGAAGCTTTGCAATTTTAAGAGTGCTGCATCCCTCTGCAAGATATCTCACTATTTTTGACTTTTCTGAGCCTGTCAAGTCCTTCTTTGACCCATTTTGCCAAAGGAAAGGAAGTTGCCTAATAATTATGCACACCTGATATAGGGTGTTGATGTCATTAGACCACACCCCTTCTCATTACAGAGATGCACATCACCTAATATGCTTAATTGGTAGTAGGCTTTCGAGCCTATACAGCTTGGAGTAAGACAACATGCATAAAGAGGATGATGTGGTCAAAATACTCATTTGCCTAATAATTCTGCACTCCCTGTAAATGCTCGAGTTGCAGGTAAATAAAAACCTATGATACAGGTAAGTGAATAAATGCCTAGGTTGCAGGTATGTAATGAGCTGGGTTACATGTAAGTGAATAAATGCCCAGGTTGCAGGTATGTAATGAGCTGGTTTACAGGTAAGTGAATAAATGCCCAGGTTGCAGGTATGTAATGAGCTGGGTTACAGGTAAGTGAATAAATGCCCAGGTTGCAGGTATGTAATGAGCTGGGTTACAGGTAAGTGAATAAATGCCCGGATTCCTTTAGTTACAGATTATGTAGCTGAACAGATACCCTATTTTAAAAGTTAGAGAAGAAGTAAAGGAGTGTAACCGAGTTATTGGTGAGATAAGTGAACTACCTCAAGTGTCCCATGTTACAGGTGATGTAAGTAAATACCCAGGCAAGAAAATAAATACCAAGATTATAGGCAAGTTTAAAAATATCTAGATTATATGTAAGTTTATAAATACCTAGGTTACAGGTGAGGTAAGGTAATAAATACCCATTTTCCCAGGTTACTGGGGAGGTAAGTGAATAAATACCTGGCTTCCCAGGTTACAGATGCGGCACGTGAATAAATACCTGATTTCTGAAGTAAATACCAGTTTTCCATGTTACTAGGTTGCAGGTATGTAATGAGCTGGGTAACAGGTAAGTGAATCAATACCTGGTTTCTGAGGTAAATGAATAAATATCAAAGTAAAACATGAGGTAAATTAATAAATACCGGTTTTCCAAGTTACTCGTGAGGTAAGTGAATAAATAAACGGTTTCTGAGGTAAATGACTAAATACCAGAGTTAACCACGAGGTAAGTGAATAAATACCCGATTTCCATAGTATAACAATTCCCAAATCCTTCTCGTGTGTGGTTATCTCTAATTCACTACCATTTAGTGTGTAAGTTGCTTGTGCATTCTTAACCCCGAAGTGCATAACTTTGCATTTATCTACGTTAAATTTCATCTGCCATTTTAGTGCCCAGTCCCCCAATCTATCCAAATCTCTCTGCAGCAAAGCAATATCCTGCTCACATTTTATTACTTTACAAAGTTTTGTGTCATCTGCAAACACTGATACATGCCTATTCAAGATCATTTATAAATATGTTAAATAGAAGTGGTCCCAAAACAGAACCCTGAGGGACACCACTTACCACTTTTGTCCAGCCTGAAAATTTACCATTAATTACAACTTGTTGTACTCTATCCTTAAGCCAATGTTCTACCCAAGAACAAGAATATTCATCTAGACCAATTTCTTTTAGTTTGAAGACTAACCTATTGTGAGGAACCGTATCAAATGCCTTGGCAAAATCCAAGTAGATCACATCCACTGCAACACCCTGATCTATACTTCTACTTACTTCTTCGTAGAATGCAATTAGGTTAGTTTGACATGACCTATGTTTCATAAAACCATGCTGATTATTGCTAATAACAAAGTTCTTCCCAATGAATTCCTGAATATTATCCCTTAATAGCCCTTCAAATATTTTCCCAGTTACAGAAGTTAAGCTCACAGGTCTATAATTTCCAGGCAAGGATTTTGAACCCTCTTTAAATATAGGAACAACATCTGCCTTCCTCCAATCCTCCGGTACAACACCTGAAACAAAAGAATCTTGAAAAATTAAATACCGAGGTTCACTTATTTCCCCACTTAGCTCCTTAAGTACTCGTGGGTGAATACCGTCAGGCCTGGAGCTTTATTTACATTAATTTTCTTTCATAGCTGTAGCACCTTGTCTCGAGTTATCCAATCACAAGTTATTTGCAAGTTTTTTGCAGCAATCATTTGCATATCTCTTGCCATAGGATCCTCATTAATATATACTGAAGAAAAATAGTTATTTAAAATTTCTGCTTTTTCCTGGTCTTCATTAGCTAATAAACCCAACTCTGTTTCCAGTGTACCTTGGTTTTGCATTCTTTAGATATCAATTTCTCATTTTCTAGTTTAGCCACTTTAATTGCCTTTTTGCAAGCGTTATTGGCTTCCTTATATCTTAAATAGGATGCCTCTGATTTGTCTGATTTAAATGCCCTTTTCTTATTTTTAATCTCTTGTTTTACTTCTCTACTAAGCCACATTGGTTTTAATTTGTTTCTTTTATATTTATTACCCAATGGTACATACTGAGAAATGTACCTTTCTAATATTTGTTTGAGGTAAATGACTAAATACCAGAGTTAAACACAAGGTAAGTGAATAAATACCCGATTTCCATAGTTATTGGGTGGTTTACTGGGGAGGTAAGTGAATAAATACCCAGTTTCTGAGGTAAATGAATAAATACTAGAGTTAAACATGAAATAAGTGAATAAATACCCGATTTCCATAGTTACTGGGTGGTTTACTTGGGAGGTAAGGGAATAAATACCCAGTTTCTGAGGTAAATGAATAAATACCAGAGTTAAACATGAGGTAAGTAAATAAGTACCAGGTTTCAGGTGAGGAAAGTGAATAAATACCCGGTTTCCTGGCTTACTTGGGACGTAAGTGAATCCATAACCGGTTTCCATGGTTACAGGGGAGGTGAGTGAATTAATACATGGTTTCTGAGGTAAATTAATAAATACTAGAGATAAACACAAGGTACATAAATAAATAGCCAGTTTCTGAGGTAAATTAATAAATACCCAGTTTCCTAGGGAGGTAAGTGAATAAATACCCGGTTTCTGAGGTAAGTGAATAAATGCCCAGGTTGCAGGTATGTGAATCAATACCTGGTTTCTGAAGTAAATGAATAAATATTAGAGTAAAACATGAGGTAAATGAATAAATACCGGTTTTCCAGGTTACTCTGGAAGTAAGTGAATAAATAACCGGTTACTAAGGTAAATGACTAAACACCAGAGTTAAACATGAGGTAAGTGAATAAATACCCTATGTCCATAGTTACTGGGTGGTTTACTTGGGAGGTAAGTGAATAAATACCCAGTTTCTGAGGTAAATGAATAAATACCAGCGTTAAACATGAGGTAAGTGAATAAGTACCAGGTTACAGGAGAGGTAAGTGAATAAATACCCGGTTTCTCGGCTTACTAGGGAGGTAAGTGAATCAATAACCGGTTTCCTAGGTTACAGGTGAGATAAGTGAATAAATACCCGGTTTCCTAGGTTACAGGTGAGGTAACTGAATTAATACCCGGTTTCCTAGTTTACAGGTGAGGTAACTGAATTAATACCCGGTTTCCTAGGTTACAGGTCAGGTAAGTGAATAAATACCCGGTTTCCTAGGTTACAGGTGAGGTTAGTGAATAAATACCCGGTTTCCTAGGTTACAGGTGAGGTTATGAATAAATACCCGGTTTCCTAGGTTATACCTGAGGTTAGTGAATAAATACCCGGTTTCCTAGGTTACAGGTGAGGTTAGTGAATAAATACCCGGTTTCCTAGGTTACAGGTGAGGTTAGTGAATAAATACCCGGTTTCCTAGGTTACAGGTGAGGTTAGTGAATAAATACCCGGTTTCCTAGGTTACAGGTGAGGTAACTGAATAAATACCCGGTTTCCTAGGTTACAGGTGAGGTAACTGAATAAATACCCGGTTTCCTAGGTTACAGGTGAGGTAACTGAATAAATACCCGGTTTCCTAGGTTACAGGTGAGGTTAGTGAATAAATACCCGGTTTCTTAGGTTACAGGTGAGATAACTGAATAAATACCCGGTTTCCTAGGTTACAGGTGAGGTTAGTGAATAAATACCCGGTTTCTTAGGTTACAGGTGAGATAACTGAATAAATACCCGGTTTCCTAGGTTACAGGAGAGGTAACTGAAGAAATAACCGGTTTCCTAGGTTACAGGTGAGGTAACTGAAGAAATAACCGGTTTCCTAGGTTACAGGTGAGGTAAGTGAATAAATACCCGGTTTCTGAGGTAAGTGTCTCTTAGAGCCATTTGCAAGGAGTCAGGTTTCGAAATGATCCAATCAGAGCAGTTCACTCTAACAACCAATCACAAGTCACAGCGTCAGAGGATCATGCCAGAGCGAGGCTTGGAACGCAAAAGTCTACTGAAAGGGGGCGTGTCTTTGCGGCTGCGCTGGGCAGGTCTGGTTAATGGAGTGCCGAGCGCACAGATCGAGTCAGTGAGGGAGTGATTTATCTCTCCTGCCGCTGCTTCGTGCTTGACAGGCGGCCCTGGGCGGAGAGCGGACACGGTGCGGCCAGCAGGGAGCACCAGGGGGAATGCTGGGACACGGTGAGTGTATGGCCTGAGCCTGGCTCTGCCTGGATCCCCAATAATGCTGTGAGTGGGCTGGCTCCCCCCAATAATGCTGTGAGTGGGGCTGGCTCCCCCCAATAATGCTGTGAGAGGGGCTGGCTCCCCCCAATAATGCTGTGAGAGGGGCTGGCTCCCCCCAATAATGCTGTGAGAGGGGCTGGCTCCCCCCAATAATGCTGTGAGAGGGGCTGGCTCCCCCCAATAATGCTGTGAGTGGGGCTGGCTCCCCCCAATAATGCTGTGAGTGGGGCTGGCTCCCCCCAATAATGCTGTGAGTGGGGCTGGCTCCCCCCAATAATGCTGTGAGAGGGGCTGGCTCCCCCCAATAATGCTGTGAGAGGGGCTGGCTCCCCCCAATAATGCTGTGAGAGGGGCTGGCTCCCCCCAATAATGCTGTGAGAGGGGCTGGCTCCCCCCAATAATGCTGTGAGAGGGGCTGGCTCCCCCCAATAATGCTGTGAGAGGGGCTGGTTCCCCCCAATAATGCTGTGAGAGGGGCTGGCTCCCCCCAATAATGCTGTGAGAGGGGCTGGCTCCCCCCAATAATGCTGTGAGAGGGGCTGGCTCCCCCCAATAATGCTGTGAGAGGGGCTGGCTCCCCCCAATAATGCTGTGAGAGGGGCTGGCTCCCCCCAATAATGCTGTGAGAGGGGCTGGCTCCCCCCAATAATGCTGTGAGAGGGGCTGGCTCCCCCCAATAATGCTGTGAGTGGGGCTGGCTCCCCCCAATAATGCTGTGAGTGGGGCTGGCTCCCCCCAATAATGCTGTGAGTGGGGCTGGCTCCCCCCAATAATGCTGTGAGAGGGGCTGGCTCCCCCCAATAATGCTGTGAGAGGGGCTGGCTCCCCCCAATAATGCTGTGAGAGGGGCTGGCTCCCCCCAATAATGCTGTGAGAGGGGCTGGCTCCCCCCAATAATGCTGTGAGAGGGGCTGGCTCCCCCCAATAATGCTGTGAGAGGGGCTGGCTCCCCCCAATAATGCTGTGAGTGGGGCTGGCTCCCCCCAATAATGCTGTGAGAGGGGCTGGCTCCCCCCAATAATGCTGTGAGAGGGGCTGGCTCCCCCCAATAATGCTGTGAGAGGGGCTGGCTCCCCAATGCTGTGGGAGGGGCTGGCTCCCCAGCCAATGCTGTGAGAGGGCTGGCTCCCCAATGATACTGTGAGAGGGCTGAAACCATGAGAAATGCTGCTGTGAGGTGGGGCTGGCTCCCCAATGAATGCTGTGAGTGGGGCTTGGCTCCCCAATGAAATGCTGTGAGGTGGGGCTGGCTCCCCCAATGAAATGCTGTGAGGAGGGGCTGAAACCACAATGCTGTGAGGAGAGGGGGCTGGCTCCCCCAATGATATGAGGAGGGGCTTGGCTCCCCAATGAAAGTAATGCTGTGAGGAGGGGCTGGCTCCCTCATTCTCTTTAATATTTTATTAGTGATATTGCAGAAGGTCTTGATGGTAAGGTATGTCTTTTTGCTGATGATACTAAGATATGTAACAGGGTTGATGTTCCAGGAGGGATAAGCCAAATGGCAAATGATTTAGGTAAACTAGAAAAATGGTCAGAATTGTGGCAACTGACATTTAATGTGGATAAGTGCAAGATAATGCATCTTGGACGTAAAAACCGAAGGGCAGAGTACAGAATATTTGATAGAGTCCTAACCTCAACATTTGAGGAAAGGGATTTAGGGGTGATTATTTCTGATGACTTAAAGGTAGGCAGACAATGTAATAGAGCAGCAGGAAATGCTAGCAGAATGCTTGGTTGTATAGGGAGAGGTATTAGCAGTAGAAAGAGGGAAGTGCTCATGCCATTGTACAGAACACTGGTGAGACCTCTCTTGGAGTATTGTACACAGGAGACCGTATCTTCAGAAGGATATTGATACCTTAGAGAGGGTTCAGAGAAGGGCTACTAAACTGGTTCATGGATTGCGGGATAAAAGTTACCAGGAAAGGTTAAAGGATCTTAACATGTATAGCTTGGAGGAAAGGCGAGACAGGGGGGATATGATAGAAACATTTAAATATATAAAGGGAATCAACACAATAAAGGAGGAGACTATATTTAAAAGAAGAAAAACTACCACAACAAGAGGACCTAGTCTTAAATTAGAGGGAAAAAGGTTTAAAAATAATATCAGGAAGTATTACTTTACTGAGAGGGTAGTGGATGCATGGAATAGCCGTCCAGCTGAAGTGGTAGAGGTTAACACAGTAAAGGAGTTTAAGCATGCATGGGATAGGCATAAGGCTATCCTAACTATAAGATAAGGCCAGGGACTAATGAAAGTATTGAGAAAATTGGGCAGACTATATGGGCCGAATGGTTCTTATCTGCCGTCACATTCTATGTTTCTATAAACACAAGTTACATATCCCCAATATCTCTGGTTTGGTACAGTGATGGTATATGTGCATGTAATAATAATTTTAATAATGTACTGGACACACTAATGTCTCTGGAATGATACTGCATAATAAACATATGGTATCTACCCCAATATGTCTGGGTTGGTATTATATAAACTATGATATATTTACATATACACTGATGTCTGTGGGATGATCCCTAGTAAATGATATATGGGCATATAATTCAATATCTCTGGGACGATCTCTCATAGACCTATGGTATATGTGCATATACGCTACTATATCTGGGGTAACACCATAAACTATGGTTTCCATCGTGACTGCCCCATTTCTAATACTTTAGACCACCTTTCAGAACATGACACTTTTATATCTAACCACAATCTCCTGGATGAAAGCACATAAATCTATGGTATATGTGCATATACCCCAATATCTCTGGGGTGATATTGTTCATGTACTACTATATACCATCTTCCTGTGGGTTTAGTGTAGGGTTCCCCAAGAACTCCAGCGTTTTTTTCCATCACCCCCACCGTACAGTAATTCGAAAATGTACCTTGATAAATCTGGGGTATTTATATTCCTTTACCACACTGAATAACAAATATATAAATATAATTTATATTGATTCTTGGTTGGCGACACTGAGTCGTAGTAATTGGTTTAGCTTGCCACAGATATTTGAGTAGGCCTCTGAAGAAGACTGCTCACCTATAGAAATGAATAAGGTTATAAGAGTGTTTAATTTGTATAGAGCAAGCTCTTGCCTTCTTCCTATGTGATTGGGGACAGTCGTGATGTGCCAAAACCGATGGTCACGTAGGCCTATAAAGAATAGGGTGAACATTTTATGCCTTCTAAACAACATTTATTACAAAGATTAACAAATGACAAAGCCAGGTCATGGAAAGCCGGTCTTATTTCTAATTCTGTATGTGGAATGTATCTTGTAGACTTGTGCAAAAAAGTTTCAGAATTCCTTTTAATCGGCACCCGCATGAATCAATCGGTTTAGGCTATCATGTAGAGTCTTTTTTTATTGAATAAGACTCCACAGGTAAATCCTGTTATCATCGATTCATTTGTGCTGTTGTATATGTTCACCAATAATTCTTTGATATTACTTGTTAGAGTGGAATGTCAATCTTCCTGTCTTTTCTCTTTAATTTAATTTTTAATTGAATGTCTTCACAATTACCCATGATATGCAATGACACAATGTGTCGTAAACACCATAAGGGATAATGAAGTTGAGATATGCCAAGTAGAGCTTATATTCATCTCTACAAACAGCTACTTAAAAGATATCTCACATTCCATTGGTATATTAGTCATTTGTCATTAAGAGATTTGAAAAAAGAGAATATAAATGAACATAAATTAACGAAAAAGAATAAAATGAAAACGATGAAGTATAACATTAAAGTATATAGAATATGCAGTTTTCTATCTGTGAATCGGTACATCCAGTCACAAGGTCTCCCTTGTTAATACCCAGATGAGGTTCTAGTCCCAGAGTGGATATGTTTATTACCAGACAATGAGAATTTGATTTAAACTATTCCTTATTAATGTCGTATAGGTTGTATCCAATATTTAGGTATAAGTGCTTTTGCAGTGTGAAGAGGATTAAATTCTATAAAGCGAGAATATGCACTCTTTGGTTTGGGTGAGAGGTGGGGACATTTCTTGAACCTGGTTTAAGTCTAGGGAAGTAAGCTATCTCAGTAATGTAGGTTAATATAGTGCCACAGAATTTAGTTAGAATAGCACATTCTCACCAAATGTCATTGTAAGTCCCCTTTTTCAACCCTATTTGTGTCCTGAATCTATTTAATACTGTTGGAGGTTTGTACCATCTAGCCATTAACTTGTAGTTGGTCTCAATCATAGCTAGACTTGTATTGGTTCTATGTATAAAGTAAAACAGTCTGCGTTAATTCATTTGACCATAACGGAGTAAGGTGAGAGATGCACCCTCGTGCAAACATGAGTAATCCCAAGGTAGTGTCCTTTTAGCTTGTGTTGGGCAAGAACATTTGGTTTCAAATGAGGTGGGGTACAAGGGGACATCTGCTAGTGAGAGTGACCTCACATATTGCTGTAGTTGATAGTAGAAATATTTGTCAAGAAAATTGGGGTTCTCCGTGAGACAGAGTTCAGTCAGTGTTTTAAATTGTTTCTCAGTAATCACGTTCGCTAAGGTTATATAGGGAGGTTGGGGCGACCTTGGCCAGCTTCAGTTCCTGAAACCCTATGGGAAAGAGGGGATATTATGTTGCTTATATGGTAATAAGAGACATGTGATGATGGGATAAAACAGGGCTAAGAAGTTGTTTGGGAGAAATGATAAGGGTACTTCAACCCAGTCCGTGTGGTCTTTGTGTTGATCGAATTATTATTTTATTTTTTTTTTACTTTAAAGGCATTCAACATGTGTGAGAATCTTCCTCTGTTTTGTGTAAGAGGGTACAAATTGGTGTAACCAATACTGACCCTTTGGGTACCTTATGCCACCATTGGAGCCTAACACTGTATTACACATTGACACAAAGGCATGAGTGTGTTTGCTGCTAATATAAAGATGTCACATTAACAATATCATAAAGCGATGAAACGAAAAGCCACATATCTGCCAGCTACCTCCCGGCAGTTCAAATTGACAAAGAGGGGAGTGCGACTGAGTGTGTGGCCAGGGACACTTCAGTTTTAGGAGTGCGACTGAGTGTGTGGCCAGGGACTGAGCTAGTCTCAGAAATGTTAGGGGACTTACTCTTAAAGATTTGTGCACCTAAACGGTCATTTAGAACAAAAACAACATATCTAAACACTGGTATCCACCTAGATATCTTGGTTGTACCCTTTGAACCTTGGCTTTTATTAAAGATTGGTTTAGGATTGTTCTCATTTAATGCCAAAAGTGCTGCTTATTCAGTTGTACAATGAGTTACCGATGTCCTACCAGTGTGCAACAGGATAAGGTACTACCCAACCTAGAAACTATTATTAAATGTTTACCCGCCGTAACAGACTGTCTTCATATCTCTCTGACACAGCAGGAAAACAAATATACGGTGTCCAAAAAGTGCTGTGAGTAATTAATATGCCTGCCACTCCCTCCTTCATGTCCGTAGTGGATAACCGTCTATATTGATCGAGGTAGCTTCTTGTGTCAAATAAAGGACTTGCACACTAAAGGCTCTTAAAGGCCCTGTGTGTAAAAATGCAACAGCGATTTACTTATAAACATGTCAAGGACATATTATCAGAACACTTACTGACATATTAAGTAGAGAGACTCCTATCATGCACACTCATGTGTCTCCAGCAAAGGGAGCAATTTACGTTGATCGTTCACCAACACAGTGCCAGCGTTTTATGACACAAAGAAACATGATCGCATATTTACTGTGGTATTAGCAGGTCACAATCTGCCGTGATTTGTGTCCCCAGCACAGCTGTGATTTCATTCTTTGCACTTGTTCATATTCCTATGTTGAAATGTCTTGATTTATTTTATTTATATTTTATTTTTCCTTGCTGTAATTGCAATGTAACAAAGATGCTTTCTGTATGTCTCGATGTCCTGTTTCTGGTGTTTTCCATGTGGCTATGTTGTACTGCAATACTGAGTATTGTTATTCAGCAAAACCTGAGTAAACGGTAGTTTTTGTTATTTTGTGTATAAGTAATAGTTAGGGAATACAGATTTCGGGGTTCTTCACAAAAATGTGACTTGTCAGGAAATAAGTGCATTTTAAATCTTAAGCCAAAATAGTTGATTTAGAGAATATTTTCAGGTTAAATGTTTTGACGTTCACTCTGTCATCGCTTTAGTGAATAATCTTGAATATTGCTTACTATTAGCATGCTGTATACATGTGTGTAACACTATATAATCCACTTTACCAAACAGGTTTTTATGTAGATTTTTACACCTATGTTTTACTATCTTGAAGTGTTATCTCATCTCTGCTCTAAACCATGATTTGACTGTGAACTTTTAAGGTTAGTGTTCATAGTGTCTTTTTTTTTAAATTTTTTTATTTCTTTACTAGCCTCAATGGAATGGGCCAGTGAAAATTCACACATGAGCAAACGTTTTTTAATTTTATGGCAATAGAAATTGTCCAGGGCAGTGTTTCTTTTATTTTAAGTATTATGTAATATATTGCAGGGTATGCATGTATATGTTTTTTGTTTTTTTTTCCCCTGATACATTTTAACAAAATACTTACTGCGTGCTCACATGTGGGGCCCACTCATGTTTAAATTTAGAATCCAGTCTGTGCCAATTGGCCCATCCAGTCTGCTTACTGCGGAAACTCGGACAGATTTGATTACTTATCCAGGATAGTCTTATGCACTTCTCTGTTCCCTTGTGTTTGTTTTTTTCCATTCCATGCACCTACTTACATAACAGACCTTCATTAAATAAGTACTATTGCCGTGAGTTATTGACTTGCCTATAGTATAAGCCAAACACCTACAAATTGTTTTAATAAATAATTGTCTATGCCTGGTCGCCTACCATGTGATCTGGTCCTTTAACGCGGCCTTCGGGGAGGTGGCAGTCTGTGGCTTAGAGATTGATGTAATCTGTGTGTGCGCCGAGCAGTAAAACCATTATCATGTCTCTAGTGTAGACTACAGGCTTTTAGCATCACCAATTAAGTCCAGGCAGGACGGTTATATGGCTACTGTCAGCCAGCTGCAGGTTAGTCTGCCCACATCACCAGACATACCATTAGATGGGCTGAATCCTATAGAGGACCACTGGAGTTTAATAAAATCTATATAAAGATAAAGTAAAAAGCTTTAGTCTAGATTAATTCACAAATAACCACTCTGTATACTAATATATTACACAATATAGTCTTTGTTTCCAGAGTTGGAGTTCTACATTGTTTATTTTATTGTTATGCGTCCCTTCCATAACAAAATTAATACAAAAATGAAATGCAATTAAACCGGAGCCGTCATCTCTGTGCAACTTACACCATTAAATAAAACATTGAAAAATCATCTAAAACTTGCATTAACATTTTTTTTTATTTTTTTTTTATGTGAGGCTCCATTTTCTTGTAAATTTATGTTAAAGGAATGCTCAAAGCACCGTAACCATTACAGCTCGTTATAGTCCTTATGGTGCCAGGGAGTACCCTGGTGCATGATTCCACACATTCCCATTGTACATAGGAAAGGTGTAACATCTTGCAAGCCGGTAGCCGTGTATTACTTTTAGTGCACAGCGGACTACATGCAAGAAGTGAAACTGTTTTGAAAACCATTTCCAGGGAGCTTCTAGCACCCTAATCACTACACTAAGCTGTAGTGGTTATGGTGCTTGGTGTTTTCCTTTAACGATTTAGCTATTGATATCACGATCCAAATTGGTCCTGGAACAGACAGGGTATACGTTGCAAGCAAGCATCCTCTCTCTATGGTTTGACTGACAAGTGCAAGAGTAAGATCTTATAACCGTGATTGACAGGGAGCCAAGATTGAGGTGCTAAATGCTGGGAGAGTTTAATACGTCAGTGTGGATTTCTATGTTCAATTTTATTTTGCAGAATTCCCAAACTTGTGCTTTTTAAATATAGTTGATAAGAAAACCTATAAAAAAATAAAAACTAATAATATTATATATATATATATATATATATATATATATATATATATATATATATATATATATATATATATATATATATATATATATATATATATATAATATTATTTTTTTATTTTTTTTAATAAACTGTATTTCTACTTGGATGTTTGATTGTGCAACTAACTATCCAGAAAGAGAGAGGTTTATCATAAGGCAGCTGTGGAATCTGCTCTGTTTCTAAACAAGAATGGAAACACATTTTATCATGTATGGTGACAGACAGACAGATGGCATGGACGGCATTGAAAAGAGGGAAAGGGAAAGAAAAAAACAAACCTCGAAAACAAAACTCCTGCATACTGATTTTAGAGTAAGGCCTGTGCCTTGCTATCTACATATGTCGGGCTAGGGGAAATGATAGCTCGTCTACTATCGGGACGAGGAGATGACAGCTGGTCTGCTGTAATGAGAATATAACTACGACTGGTGCTCCTTCAGGGTAGTGGGGCTACTGGGCCTCCGCTGACTAATTGTTTGGCATCTTACAAAAAAAAAAAAGGGGTGGGAGGGGGAGAATGGGAGGCCAGATCCTGTTTTTCTGGACACGTATTACTACTTCAGGCTGATGGGCAGCTCATGAAATTGATGCCCTGACTTACATGTAGCATTCATATACGGCAAGATCCACTTTTTTATTAAAGCTGCTGTGTCACCATCTGCGGTCTTTGCATATTTTGTAAAGACCCCCGATGTTGACTTTGCTGCCTGCAGTGCGGTGACTGTGGGGTACAAGGAAAGGTGAGTTTCTACTTATCTGAAGATGTCCCTTGTAGCCACTGCCATCTTCTTCCATGGGATCTTCTTCAGCTCCTGGTGCGTCAGTGATATTCCAACACAGGCTTTATGAGCATTTCATAAAGATTTTATCTTATTTTGGGGTGGGGGGAGGGTGACAGCTGCTGTAATTACTTGATTTGGTGGATCTGGCAACGCTAGGTACATGACATTATCCATGAGTAATAATGGCCAAAGTCTGGTACTTGTACTGTTTATTTTAGAGGTTCCAAAGTCCACTGTATCTAATTAGTGGATTAGGAGAGCCTAATGTTAACCCTTTGTTTGTGTTTTTTATATTTATTAGCTCCGGTTCCAACTACATTTTAGTTTGTCCATCCACTGTAAAGCGCTGTGGAATTTGTTGGCGCTATATAAATGTAGTAGTAGTAATAATAATAAGTAGATTTTACACACACGCACTGCTGGGTCTCCAAAATGAGTATAGAATGTTGGATAATGTATACATTTTGAGATACATGTATGTCATGGTGTATGAAGGTTTTGCCTGAATCATTCATTCATTCATTTCATACGTATCTCTTTTTTTTATCTTTCTAGTTACATAGTTACCAATTTAGTTAAACTATAGTCTGATATTTTATGCAAATAAGACTACTTTTACCATGATCCTTTGTCCAACTGACATTCTCTACTGTTTTTGGCAGCCTCAGTTTACCCTTTGACTTTATTGGTGACCTTGAAGGACCACTAAAGTCACACAGGCAGTTTTATCTTAATGACGGGAACTGGGTGCAGGTGCCCTGTCATTTTACCCTGCGATATAACGCAGGGTAAATCGATCAATAGAAGTTGTCATACTGATGGCCACTATAGGCACTTCTGTGGCACTGACCGAGTAAACATCTGTCACGTGATGCGGAAGCCCCCATAGCATTGATGTTCTCGACGCACATGTGCGTCAGGTCCCCAACGCTCTACTATGAGAATCATTGGGTTGGGTGGTCGCCAATGGAGGCCAAGTCTTCTTTATAACCGTTCTGAAGGACGAGAAAAAAGCAGCTCAAAGGGCGCCTCCATGCTGGAAAATAGTAAGTAAAAAGCATTTATTTGATTATTGTAAAAAGTGGGGGAGGGCTTCCATAACTAGGGACAGGGACACTAAAGCATTCGGAAAACAGGTTTTACCACTGAAGCTGTTGGTTGAAGACACTTACTCTTCCCAATATTCTGATCCAGCCTTTAACTTAATGAAGACGTTTTAGTGTATAGATCATGCCCCTGCAGGCTTACTGCTCAATTATTGCTATTTAACTCCTAATAGGCAGTCGTTTGAGCAGTGGGACATCGGAGGTATGATCTACACACCAAAACTGCTTCATTAAGGTAAAGTTGTTTTGGTGACTATAATGTCCCTTTAAAGGAACACTGTAGTCACCTAAATTACTTTAGATAAATAAAGCAGTTTTACTGTATAAATCATTCCCCTGCAATTTCACTGCTCAATTCACTGTCATTTAGGAGTTAAATCACTTTTTCTGTTTATGCGCAGCCCTAGTCACACCTCCCCTGGCTATGATTGACAGAGCCTGCATGGAAAAAAAAAACTGGTTCACTTTCAAACAGATGTAATTTACCTTAAATAATTGTATCTCAATCTCTGAATTGAACTTTAATCGCATACAGGAGGCTCTTGCAGGGTCTAGCAAGCTATTAACATAGCAGGGGATAAGAAAATCTTAATTAAACAGAACTTGCAATAAAGAAAGCCTAAATAGGGCTCTCTTTACAGGAAATGTTTATGGAAGGCTGTGCAAGTCACATGCAGGGAGGTGTGACTAGGGTTCATAAACAAAGGGATTTAGCTCCTAAATGGCAGAGGATTGAGCAGTGAGGCTGCAGGGGCATGTTCTACACACCAAAACTGCTTCATTAAGCTAAAGTTGTTCAGGTGACTATAGTGTCCCTTTAAGGTGCAGACTTATTACAAATGTGTGTATTTGATTTCACATATGATTAGTGAATGTCCTCCTGTATATAATATAGAGTGAATTTGACTGTTACTGGGTAATTTATTTTTGTTTGGTGCGTGCAGGTGGTTTACTGGATGGGCTGATAGGGGTATGTGAACAAGGAGAAGGATTATAGGATAGGGTGAGTAATTCAGTGGATGGGGTGAAAGTGACCAGGTGGGTGACTGTATATGTTATGTGACAGGGTATGTGGCCGGTTAGATGTGATTGAGTGACATTATGCTACAGGATACCCAGCAGGTAGTTATGTCTAAACAGAGGCTGATGAGGGAGACTGTAGGTTCACGTTACACGCAAGTTGGGTTGGTGACTGACTTCAAGGAGTCCTTCTACTGTGTATGAAATAGAAAATGAATTGTTTTATGTAAATAAAATCCGTATTGTGCAGTCTGTGTTTGACAACACTGGGAAGGGGGGCTAAGTAGGTACAGGGAGGGGATCAAAATTACACTGCTTATTTCTTGTCTGCATGTCAATGTTAAAAAAGCTGGCTAGTGCTTCAGTATATATGAGAAAAGGCAAGATTTATTTGTCAGCTATGGGACTCATTTTCAATTTGTGCCAACATTTCAAAGACATTTTTATATCTTTTGTATTATTTTAAGGGTTAATTCTGCGTTGACTGTATCTGATAACCAATTCTAGTTAAGATAATTAAAGGAACACTCCAAGCACCTTAACTATTACATCTTGCTGTAGTTGTTATGGTGTCTGAGCCCCCATTGTAAATAGTCCCTGCCTCTACTACCACATTTAGCAGTGCAGGGGTTCGCTCATTGGCTCAGAGAACTTCTAGTAGCATGGCTGCGCTCAGGAGGGTTCCTGCTTAACTATTGGCTCTCCAGCAAAGGTAGTGGAGGCAGGGAGTGGCGCCCAGTGATGCCCAGGTAAGAATTCAACCTATTCATCAACGGTCTAATAACAATAAGGGGGGGCACAAGGGCACCTCTGGCACTATAACCACTACAATTAGCTGTAGTGGTTATCGTACTTGGAGACTTTCTTTTATACTTGTAAATCATTCAGAACCGTGTCAGAGAGTTGTATCGATGTAAACTAATTAATAAACACATGCTATTTTACAAAAGATTTGTGGCATTGGCTTGTGTTCTTGTAAACCCCACTGAAATCCATTGACGGGGATATTTTTTTTTCATATTTCGTCAGTGGGCCTAGAACTGGCAATTCACTTTGTGTGTCAGACAGTTGACACTTTAGTTAATAACCACGTGTGCTTTATTGCTATGGTGCTCTGTTGCATCCTTATACACACCTTTTTACTGTGAGTTTTATTGTTCCGTAACTCTGTGATACATTGTGTGCACACAGGTAGAAGGCAGGATCCTGGGAAGGGAAATGGGTTTAGAGCGATTGGGTTCTTGAAGGGAAGCATGGGCTTGAAAATCCTTCAGACAGATGCCTGCTTTACCGACCTGCTCAGCATGAGACACACTGTCTCAGATTAATCCTCCACGTTTATGCCAGACAACCAGCCACGGCAAAGTGTTTCCAATGTTTGCACAACTTATCTCTGCAATTTGCACATCATGGAGACTGTCACCGGGTGACACTGCGCAGTGTGGGTCTCCTCGACGCCAGTCGCAGCTGCTATGAGTGTTTGCATGCAAAGAGATCACCTTAATCAAAAGGCAAGTGCTTTTACCTGTCACTATGATAAATTGATGCTTAGAAGGAATCACCTGCCAAATGGATGCACATTATTGGAATAATCCCCTTTTGTTTGTGATTTAATGTCTCTGAGCCATGTGCGTGTGGGCAATTTGTAAGGCTGACTCTAGAATTAGCAGAAAAGGAGATTTGCTCCTGTATTCTGCATTTTAATCATTGTGGTGTAAATTTTTCCATGTCGTTCCTTCTTTGTCAATCTCCATTTATTTTGATTTAGTGTTCTTGGTAATGGCAGGGGTGTTCTGTTTAAAATGATTCATTTCTCCTTTTTTTTCCTTTTTTGTCTTTCCCCCCTCCCCCTCCCTTTCTTCATTACTGAGCACCGTATCTATACAGGAATAAATGAAAAAGACCTGCCTCTGAATAAACTGCTTGACGGCTTTCTGTCCTCCATATAAAAAGATTATAACTGTCAATCAATCCGGTTTCTTGTAGGTAGCCTTATGTCCATTCCAAAAAAATTCTGATTAAATTATTCTGTGCTACCTGTATTTAGATACTGTTCCATATCTGCCATTTTTTTTTTTTTAATAGTTTCATGTTTTTTATTATTTGTTTGACCCCACTTTACATCCTGACTTTTCTTTGAAATTGACTCATTCATAATGAGCAGGAAGAGTTCTGCTAAGTAAAGCAAGAGTTCTTCTAAGCTCTAGCCCTGGAGTTGTATATCCATAGTGTGGCTCCAAAACTTTGGCTTTTCACCAAGCTTCTCTCTGTGTCATACAAAGTCCTGCTTTAAAATATATTTACGGTGTTATCGATGGTGTAATATCTATAGAAACTTCACTGGAATTTATGGGAGGGTTTTGAAGATTACCTCCTGGAATTAAATGTCTTTTGTACGCCCTCTTGAGTACGTAAATGGGCTTTCTAAGCTTCAAAATATTAATTAAAGGAATTGTTTTCGGTGTATAGGTAATGCCGTGGCAGTATTGTCTGCCATTTAGGAGTTGAATCACTATTATGCAGCCCTAGCCACACCTCCTTTGGCTGAGACTCACACAACCTCTCTTCACACTTCCTGAAAAGGAGTCCAATGTTTTTAGTTTCCTTTACTTCACAGTATGTTTAATTTAGAATTTCTTATCTCCTTTTCTGTTAATAGCCTACAGCAAGCATGTCAAACTCAAAGTGTGGCAAAGGTTTAAGTTTATGTGGGCCACACACACATACTCATAGACAGATACAGACACACTGACAGACGCACACACACTCGCTGACAGACACACACACACACACACACACACACACACACACACACTTTACTTTCTGACAGACACACTTTCTGACAGACGCACACACACTTTTCTTTATTGCTCCTTACCTTATGGAGCCGATGGGGGGGGCCGGGGGGGCGGCATCTCTCAGGGGTCCTTCCTGCTCCTCATTGCTCCCTCGTGCGGTTTAGTGGTGCCGGAATATGACGTCATATTCTGGCGCCCTGCTTCACTTCACTCGGCGCGAGGGAGAAGTGAGGAGCTGGAACGCTGAGCTCCCCTCGCGGTCCTCCTCCTCCCCGGCCAGGTAAATGATAGCAGAGTAGGCACCTGCAATATGGGGAATGCAGGTGCATACGCTGCTATAACACAAGCATGCACTCGCAGCTCGCCGGGCCGCAAAGATGGTCCTTGTGGGCCGCGAGTTTGACATGCTTGGCCTACAGCCTCCTATGGGTGATTAAAGTTAAATTAACAGAGCAGGAGACGAGAGCTTCTAAAGTAAAAATAAACATACTGTGCTGTAAGATTTAATTGTAAACAAGACTATTTTTCATGGACACTGCGAGTCACAGTCAGATGAGGTATGACTAGGGCTGCATAAACAGAAACAAGTTATTTAACTCCTAAATGGCTGAGAATGGAACAGTGAGACTGCAGGGGAATGATCTATACACCAAAACTGCTTCATTAAGCTAATGTAGTGTCCATGGCTTTGTAAATATAGCAGGGCACTGCTGAGACAGTTTGATTAAATTGACATTTAACTGCAATGTCTATATTTGCCCAGTGAAAGGTGGCAGAGGGGTATACATTTAAAATGTAACGGCATATACCATCCCACAGAATGTTGTGTACACCCAATACCATGCTGGGTTTCTGTATTCTGGTTTATTCGTGGGCATTTAAATCTCTTGGGCATTTAATCTATAAATGATTTCATGCAAATACACTATTCTCAACTTATAAAATACTTCTTTCTCTTCCTTTCTGGGCGTTTGGCGGACACCAGTTTATGAGACCAGTTTATTCTTACTGCTTGCACTAGTTGACCTTACTCAACCCATTTCTCCTCTTCCTCCAGGGCGAGGCGGAGGAGATTTCTAGTGGGAAAAGTGTGATAATGGGTTTTAAAAGTCACTATCCAGTTTCACTCTGATGTTAGCCAGAAACTAACTCCTGACGCGTGAAAGGACTGTCACTGGCATTCATTATTAATACCCTTCATGCTTTCTGTTAAGAGGAAATCTAATCAGGACAGCTCCTCTAAACGTTGTCTGTAGCATGCATGTGCCAGAGGCAATGAGAGTGATACAAATTGCAGATCCGTTGTTTTGTGATGCCCAAATATAATTATTATTTTTGTCTTACTGTGGTTTACCTATTTCTGATTTATTTTCAACTTTATATGTATTCCCCCTGCCTGGCAAAGGTTTAAACCCCCCAAGCCCTCTGCCTGGCATATTACATAGTTACATAGCTGAAAAGAGACTTGCGTCCATCAAGTTCAGCCTACCTCACATTTGTTTTTTGCTGTTGATCCAAAAGAAGGCAAAAAAACCCAGTTTGAAGCACAATTTTGCAACAAGCTAGGAAAAAAATTCCTTCTTGACCCCAGAATGGCAGTCAGATTTATCCTTGGATCAAGCAGTTATTACCCTACATTGAAAGATTATATCCTTGAATATTCTGTTTTTGCAAGTATGCATCTAGTAGCTGTTTGAACATCTGTATGGACTCTGATAAAACCACTTCTTCAGGCAGAGAATTCCACATCCTGATTGCATAGGTTAATACCTGTCATCGATAGTATAGCTTTAACAATACAGACCTGTTTTCCTAATTTTAAAATGTTCTACTCCCTGTTATTTACTCACCTTCTATCCTGCGGCGTGCTGGCCTCAGCCCTGATGATCTCGGGGAAGTATTGAGCAGCTAGTGCGCATGCACAGCTAATCACTGCACTACGTCATTCAGTGTCTCTTTATAAGGATACTTTGACTCAATGCTTCTCTATGGGGAGCTTATAGTTTCTCTATTCCTGCAGCCAATTGAGGTGGTCATAGGCAGCAATGTAAACTCTGCATTTTCTCTGAAAAATGAATGGCCCAGAACAATACATTAAGCTATAGTTTTTGTTGACTGTGTCCCTTTAACAGATTGGCAATTTATCAAGGCTTTATTTGAGAAACAGATCGTTTTCTTGCCAAGAGATCTCCATTCCACATGAAGGAATCCGTAGGCTTATGTTATTTTTGGTTTAGTTTCACGGCTTAAAAGTAGAAGTTCTCTTGCATAAAGCATTTTTAGAAAATTCTGTTAAAACCAACCTTGCCTCTCCTTCATGAAGATTGCTGCATTGCTTTCTTACCCTAAAATAGACGCCTTTGAGGTATTGCTTATGCTTTTGGTTTCCATTTTTATTTAATTGTTTTTGTGCAATGAAATAAAATATCTCCATGTGGATGTAGAGTAAGGTGCTTAAAGGTCTAGCAATCTCTCTCTTCTATAAATGTTACTGGGTATTTCCTGCAATTTTTTTAAAAGTGATCTGTGGCACTCTTATTTCGGCAGAATTCCCCGATTTAAATTTTCAGGTTTGCTCTGCAGGCTGACCCTCGTGGTCTAAGCCGTGCGATAACTAGTAAAATGTTCTAAAATTTTTCAGAAATGGGTACATATGAGGGTCATGGGAAATGTTGTGTACATTTACATGGAGTGCCCAGATCGTGCTTTACCATAATGGCCCAAAATGTTCACTAGCCATTGGCAAGTTTGGAATTCATCCCCGACGAGTGAGTGGATTCGCAATGACCTCTGTAGGTTTGTTTACAAACTCAAACCACATTTCTCCATTAGATACCAGAGTGTGCATGGCCAATGTATGTGGTTGCATTGCAGGTGTGCGTTAATTGTTCTCATTGTTAGTAGCTTAGATCTTGGAAGTCTGAGCCCTGATTTCATTGCTAAATCAAATCTACAAAAGAAGTCCTATATTTAAGAAAATGAATACACTAGAAATAGATCCTTTTATCTGTTGGATTTTAAAATGATCTCTCCAGTGTAAGCGATGAGCTTTTAATGTCTCTCTCAGTTGCACACCGCTATCTGAACTGTGTACTAGATGTTGATATCATTCTGAGATAATGGTTCAAGCTCACGGTTCAACTTCCCACTGAGCACACAGTGTGACCTGGATTAGATCAACCAGACAGACAATTTAAGCCATCTGCCTTCCTCCCTAATCTTTCACCAGATTAAACATCATCTACTCCTTTTCTTAAACTGGAAACATTAAACCAAGGAGCCTCCTACATGGAGGAATATTGTCGTTTTTATGGAAGCAGAAGGTGCGATTTGGTTAAAATGAAGTATGTGTTTGTGTGGTTAGATCTTACAATAACATTGGATTGAATCATCCTATTTACTGGAAAAATCTTTTCATAATTCATTGGCAACACTACAAATTCCCAGCATGCTGTTTGTACTGTGCTGCAAAGTATTCTGGGAGTAGAAAACACTGCAACTCCTATCATGCATCGCCAGCCTCAAAGGAATCATTCGTTACTTGTGACCCGGCTGCTCTAATAATTTGCTCTTTGCACTAATTGTACAAGGGGAGAAAAGTCCTTTTCGTGCTGAAAACAGATATCCACAAATTTGCGATTTTATTTATTCCTGACCTCTGTGTCATTCTTGGGTTAACCCACTGCAAAAGCAGTTTTAAATTGTGTTATTTGGGTGTATCTATAGGACAATGTATGGTAATCTTTTCTGTGCACCTGTTAAAGTATTCCCCCAACCTTTTCATTGAGTGTGAGCTCTTGGCTCCAGTGCTTCGTATTGTTTAACTAAAAACCCAGTATATGTTTGTGTTTCACAATCGGAGAAATCCTTGTGCAGCTGCCAGGTTTTAGCAGCCGGTTTATCGGCTCAAGTTAAGCTTTTATTAAATCTACTGTTTAAAGAGCAGAAACCTCGTTTTGCTCCCTTCCCCATTTAACCCTATTCATTTCTGTATGTCATGTGCGACAGCCTTGATGTGACTGAGCTGGGATTGAAGGCATATGTTTACTAAGCAGTTCTGCCCGCTAAGACTACGCGGTTAGAGTGTTGCGTGAATGCCAGGGCTGTAATCAATGTCCTCTACAATGTTTGCTCAGAGCAGGATGCAGCCTGCGTGTGCATACCTCGTGTCATGTGCTGTTTACGGCACATTACGGCATTCACATCATATACTCTATTTACCATCACGCACGTTTAACCATTTCATCAATAACCAAGTAGAATCATGCCTGCAAGTTGCGTTTACATATTTAATAACATGATATATGTAGCTGTAACATAATCAACTTGGGGTTAAATAAATTCGAGGGGGTGATAAAGGAGGAGGGGACATCATCCATGTTAAATATCAGATTTGCAACCTGACATTCACAGATGATGAATTGAAAACTAAAAGTGACTTTTTAATATCCAGCAGTGACGTACAAAGCATCCTTAAACCGTGTCCACAACACTCGAGTTGGCATAATTAGATCACCGAACACAAAACGTTCTTATTCTATGATAATGTCACCAGTCAAATTATACTGTAAGTGTTTATACGCACATCCCTGTTTTTTTTACCTGGCTTTCACAGGCAGTTCCTGTAGCTATCATAGGCGATTTTACTTCCTTATAGGGGATGCTCATATCATTGCGAATTACAAGACTGCATAAAATGTTCAAAGTCACCAACAGTTTGTGTTAACTTTTTTTTATTTTTTTTTTATATGATGATCTGTTTTTCTTTTTCTATTAACGACTTTGCAAATTACTTCACAGTCCAGTTAGATCCAGTGGGCATGTTGCAAAATGAGGTGGAAAAGCAGATCTTTTTTTCACCCCTATTTCTCCTTTTTTCTGTATGCATTCTCTGTGTCGACTGCCAGGCGTTGAGGACACAATTTGTGAGAATGACGGGGAGTGAAGTTGGAGGCACCCCGTTGTATGATAACCAGTATAAAATTGTCTGCATTGATTTTTATTTTTATTAATTTATTGATTTTTTTTATTTTATTATATATATATATATATATATTTATATATATTAAAATAAAAGGTTGCATGTAGTCTACAAATTCTACGTAAATATGCAATGCAAACATACAAACGACAACCTTTTATTCTGTAAATATCCTGGTTTAGACATCATGTGAACTTACTGAGCCTCTCAGAAATGCAGGCTGGGACCATTTCAGCAATTTTAATTGTCCCTGGCTTTGGGAGATAAGCGGTTCTCCTGACCAAAGTAAACAAAAAACAACATTAACAAAAAATTAGGTCAATTTTTTTTTTTTTTTTTTTGAAGTGTGAAACGTAACCTCTGCACAGTTATTGCATGCAATTTATTGAGGATTTTGCTGTTTGGCGTTATGCAGTTAGAATTACACCGCATTCTTATTACTCAATACAGAATCTTGTGGCGTTCCAATTTATTGTGTTCTGCCTTCTTTGTAACAAGTAGCAGAACCGATACAGTATGTAAGGTTAATCATATGTGATCTCACATGTATTTAATATATGTGAGTTGGCTTCATCCCAATGAGAGACAACCACACCGTTCGAAAACCTCAGTTACCTGTTCAAAGTCATTTGTTCAAGGTTTAATTTTCCACCAGTTGGGCATTATTTTTAAATGAAGTACATCAGTAATTAAGCAGCAGGACAGCTTTAAAAAGACAGAGTACAAGCGGCATTGGGTTTCAGTACAGCGCGAGCTGTGGATCCATTTACCTGCTCAATAAATAATGAGGGACTGTAGAGTTTGCGTCTCCAGCGTTTTTTTTTTAAATCCGAGCTTGCATCACTCTGACGAAGACTCGACTGCAGTATTGATACTTAGTGGAGGTTGTGCAATGCTCTGCACATCGTTCAGCTAGTTTGATGTTTCAATTCCTGATCTAGATTACAAACAATATCAATTATGTACAAAATTGATGACGCAGAGTTCCTTATTATTTCTTTTAAATTAAACCTTTTTCTTTTTTATTATTTAAAGGTGGCCTATAGTTACCAAAACAACTTTAACTTTATGAAGACGTTTGGCTATATAGATCATGCATTTGAAGTCTCACTGCTCAATTCTCTACCATTTAGGAGTTAAATCACTTTTGTTTCTGTCTATGCAGACATAGTTACACCTCCCCTGGCTGTGACTCTGACAGGCTGCATGAAAAACAAAATGGTTTCATTTTCAATCAGATGTTAACTTGCTTTATAGGGTGTTTTTTTTGTTGTTTTTTTTTGGGGGGGGGACGGGGAGTAGGAGGGGGGGGGTTTAAATCTCTTGCTCTGTAAGTTGAACTTTATTCACACACAGGAGGCTCCTGCAAGGTCTAGTAAGCTACTAACCGTGCAGGAGATAAGACATTTTTACATTAAACTGACTGTGCAATAAAGTATAAACATTAGATATCACTTTACAGGAAGTTATTAGGAAGGCTATGTAAGTCACATGCAAGGAGGTGTGACTAGGGTGCATAAACAAAGTGATTTTACTCCTAAATGGCAAAGAATTGAGCAGTGAGACTGCAGGGGAATGATATAAACACCAAAACTGTTTAACCCCTTAAGGACTGGACTGTTTTTGCGATGTTGTACATTTGCGACCAGGCATATTTTTACACTTTTGTGGTGTTTGTGTTTGGCTGGAATTTTCCGCTCTCTCATTTACTGTTCCCATACAAATTATATATTGTTTTTTTCAGGACAAAAGGGGCTTTCTTTACATACCATTATTTATATAATCTCATGTATTTTAATTTTAAAAAAATTAAAAAATATGATGAAAAATTGAAAAAATACATGTTTTTTGACTTTTACTTGAAAAATCTTTTACTCATCTACAAAAGCGAATTAAAAAAACTGCTAAATAGATTCAAAATTTTGTCCTGAGTTTAAAAATACCCCGTGTTTACATGCTTTTTGCTTTTTTTTGCATGTTATAGGGCTATAGGTACAAGTAGAATATTGCGGTTTCAAAACATAAATTTTTAAAATTTATCAATAGTGACATTGTAACACTATTATCTGTCATAAATCTCTGAATAACACCCCACATGTACATATTTTTTTTAAAGTAGACATCCCAGGGTATTCAATATGGGGTATGTCCAGTCTTTTTTAGTAGCCACTTAGTCGAAAACACTGGCCAAAGTAAGAATTCATATTTGTTTGTGTGTGAAAAAAGTAAAAAAACTAAATTGAACGCTAATTTTGGCCAGTGTTTGTGACCAAGTGGTTACTAAAAAAGACTGGACATACCCCATTTGCAATACTTTGGGTTGTCTTCTTTTGCAAATGGTATGCCATCATGGGGGTAATTCTCATTCCTGGGCTACCATACGCTCTCAAAGGCAACGTAACCTGGCCATTTTCAATGTAAAAATATTTGACCCATATATTTGACCTTGTAACTTTCAAAAATACTATAAAACCTGTACATGGGGGGTACTGTTTTACTCAGGAGACTTTGCTGAACACAAATATTAGTGTTTAAAAACTGGAAAACGTATAACAACGGGGGCGGAGCCGAACGCCGACCAAGATGGCCGCGTGAGTCCCGAGCTCCGTGCATGGCGGCGAGAACAACCGGCCCAACTTGACCACCCACCTCGAACATCCAGGCACAAACCCCGCAGGAAACATGTCCCACCACAAGGGAAAGGGGAAAGGCGACCGTTTGTCCTTTTTTGCCGCGAGGAACCAGCACAGGCCGTCGGCCGACCAGGTAGGCCTCCAAGATGGCGACAATGATTCAGGGGAAAGTCAGGACTCAAGCCCCCCCTTACCCACTACACAAGAGGGAGAGGGAAAAGTCACCCCAGCCCTAATACAAAACATGCTAGATGCCCAATCAAACAAGCTGTTGGCACATTTCCAAACCTCCATATCTGACCTGAAAAAAGAAATTCAAGCCATTGGAGACAGGACAGAGCACCTAGAAAATAAATTGGAAACCCATGCAGCTGCACACATCACCATGCTCACTAAAATTAAACAACTGGAAGCACACATATCCTCACATGATAACAAACTGGCAGACCTTGAAGACAGGTCCCGCCGGAACAATCTGAGGCTCAGGGGCATCCCAGAATCTGTGGCAGTGGGGGACCTACAAGCATTCGCCACGAACCTGTTCCAGAACCTATGTCCTGACATACCAGCTCAAATGCTTCTCTTGGACCGCATACACAGAGTGGCTAAAGCAAAAGCAGCACCGGTATCTGCTCCCAGAGACGTGCTACTACGCGCACATTACCACCATATCAAGGAAGAGATACTCAGAGCCAGCAGAACAAACAAATCCCTAGCTGAAGTTTACAAGGACATTCAAATATTCGCTGATATATCCCCAGCAACATTAGCCACGCGGCGACTCTTCACCCCAGTGACAAACCGCCCTGAGAAAACACCAAATCCAATACAGATGGGGTTTCCCCACCAAACTGTTAATCATACGTAATGGACAGGCCACGGCAGTGCTCAGCCCAGAAGACGGCATACAACTCTTAAACAAATGGAATATACAGCCGGCAGATTCACCCCAAACACTTAACACCCTACCTCCTGAGTGGAAACGGGCGAAACGTTAACCGTTGCCCACAACACCCCACTGCAAACTATTGTTGCCGTTAACTACCATACTTTACAGATCTCCAAGAACTTTGATTTCCCCCCCAGAGGTCCCCTTGTGTGACCTGACCCACCCGCGCCATGGACCCCGCAGTCACTACAGGCAGCTACAATCAACACCCTCGAGGCTGTGGAGAGGGCTACAGAAACATTGAGGGGCATCCAGGGGCATCATGAAGGGACTACCCCTCACCCTACGCTGTCACATGTCAAGATCACCTTGGGAACGATCCCAAAAGACACTTATCAATACAAGCAACCACAGACCCGTCCCGGGACTACCACCAGTGAGGGGCATCACCGAGACACCCGACAGACGTCCACTCAGGTTAAATGGGACCGACTCAGTGACTGGAGAGAAAGGGTAGCATAGGGTCACAGAAGTTAGTGGGAGCAGGGAGCGGGGAGGGCAAACAGTAGGCCAAACACAAGCCCCAAGCATAGCACCCCCACCCCTACACTGGCTCCGATCTCACAACGACCGGGGACAAAAGATCACCTTCCACAGCCAGGGGACCTTTTAACCGCCCACTTGCAGCCAGGAACGAACCCTTAAAACTCCCCCCCAAACAACGTTATCCCCTGACTACTCCGACGAAATAGAGCAAATACATCTGAGGCGTGAGGATCCCAACAAGGGGGAAGCCTTTACTGGAGGACCCACATTAAGGGAAGGAGGGGATAAACACTCACCTAGGTGGGGACGGGGAGAGGAAGTTAGAGGAGACTTAGTCATAGAAAGCGGCCAACCATTGCAGTATCTTTTGGAGATTGTTTAAGGTTAAATCCTCATGTTAGAGGAAACCAATGTGTTATAATATGTACCTGTTACTAATGTTAATTTTATATGTCAAGTTGAGGCTCATACCACATTGTCTAGAAGTGCATAGATCCGCCTGTACGGAGCGTGGACACCCGAACCCATCAAGCCTAACCTCAACCCCGAAGGGAACTGGGTGACAAGCTCAGTACAGCCGAATCCAACTCTGTTCGCCGGAGGGTGATTAACTTTAACTCAATGGGGGATAGCCCCGAGTTAGTCCTGAGTGTTCGCCTATGCGACACTCAACACGACACCTTTCCTTTTCTAGCCTTTCATCTTCTTTTCTCCTTTCCTTTTTCTCCACAGGAGGTACGACGGACGAGGGGGGGGGGGAATCCCACGGATATACGGGTATGTTACTACACCACACTGTACACACACTATGCGGATAATATCACATAATGTTAAAGGGTTGAACACCCCGTCAAAACGTCATACCCTCTACAAAGAAATAAAACAACTGCAGGGCGACATCATATGTTTGCAGGAAACACACTTCCGCAAATCTGACCCATGCCGCTTCGGCATCAAACAATTCCCATACCAATTCCACTCAACTTCAGACACTAAATCCAAAGGGGTATCCATCCTTATCAGCGGCCAAGTATCTTTCTCCTTAATCAAAAAAATTGCTGACTCTAAGGGTCGCTTCTTAATAATCATAGCTCTGATCAACGACGTTACATACACAATAGGCAACATCTACGCCCCAAATGACCACCAAAGAGACTTCTTAACTAGAACCCTAGCCAAAATCGACAAACTACAACAGGGTTTCCTTATCCTAGGAGGAGATTTCAACTGTATCCAAGACCCTGTACTGGACTCATCCTCCGTCAAAACCCCCACACGACTCAAAGCACTATCGAAATTAGCCAAACAACTAACCACACTTTTCCACTCCTACAATCTTTACGATGTATGGAGGACCAAACACCCCCCAGACAGAGCATACACATACTACTCATCTGTACATAACTGTTACAGCAGAATAGATAGTTGTGTGCCTTTTACATAATACCTAACACAGGTCTTGGAATGCGAGACTGGGAATATCGAATGGTCAGACCACGCCCCGATCATCCTCACGATAGCAGACAAATTTGCCTTCAAAAACAAACCTCCTTGGCGACTCAATGAATCGCTTCTCCAGACCCCCCATTTCACAGAAAACATGCAGACGGAAATTGACCAATACTTTAATGCTAATGCAACACCCATGATGTCCACAGAAACACTGTGGCAAGCCCACAAAGCTGTAGTAAGAGGCCTCTTCATAAAACAGGCTGCCCACGCAAAAAGAACCTCCCAAGCCAAACTCACAGAATGGAGCAAAGAACTCCAACACTTAAATACACAAAACCAAACAAAACCCACCAAACACCTTAAGAAACAGATACTGCAGCTCCAATCCAAAATCCAAGAGGTACACCTGCACCGCACCAGCTTCATGCTGAAAAAACTGAAACTTACCCACTACACTCAGGGCAATAGAGCCGGAAAACTATTAGCCTCCACACTGAAAGAACAACAGACTCGCTCCCGGATACCACATTTACACTCTGACACAATTGGTAAGATACTCTCCCCAGGAGACATTAGTAACGAATTCGCCTCCTTTTACACCCAGCTCTATAACATCCGGAACGACCAGGACCAACACCACGCCACTACCGAGGAATCCACTACATACCTAGACCACATTAACACTACCACGTTGTCAGCAGACCAAAGGGAATCACTGGCCAAACCAATAACCGCAGAAGAAATTGAGCAGGTTATACAGAATCTCCCAGCCAACAAAACACCAGGCCCTGACGGACTGTCTAACATTTACTACAAAAAATTCCGTAAAAGCCTGACCCCCCACTTGCTAAAATTATTTAACGATGCAGTTCTCAGCTCCAAATTACCTCAAGACATGCTAGCGGCGACAATAATCACCCTGCCAAAACCAGGCAAACTCCCCACGCACTGTAAAAACTTCAGGCCCATATCCCTACTTAACTCAGATGCCAAGATATTCGCCAAAATAATAGCCAACAGAATGTCAGACGCTCTTACGACACTTATCCACTCAGACCAATCTGGCTTCGTAAAGGGGAGACAAGGCACAGATAACACTAGGAGAGTACTTGACATCATGCACTCCATGCAAAGACAACACACAAAAGGGATTCTAGTATCCCTTGACGCCGAAAAGGCATTTGACCGCCTTAGCTGGAACTTCCTCGAAGCAGTGCTGAAAAAATATGACTTCCCAGACGAATTCCTATCCGCAGTTAGGGCACTGTATAATGTACCCACAGCGAAAGTACTATACGGAGGCTTTCTCTCAGACTCCTTCACCATCACCAATGGGACGCGGCAGGGGTGTCCTCTGTCACCCCTGCTGTACGTCCTGGCCCTCGAACCACTCGCGACCCGAATTAGGGCCCACCCTGACATACAGGGAGTTCACATAGGAAGTACTGAACACAAACTCAGTCTATTCGCTGACGATGTTCTCCTCACCATCACACAACCAGACACCTCCATCAAAGCACTCACAGAGGTTTTGAAAGAATACAGCAGGCACTCATACTACAAGTTAAACGAGGCCAAAACACAAGCCATGACAATTAACCTAGACCACAAGACGACACACAACCTCAAAACGCACTACAATTTTGACTGGAGAAATGACCATGTGGTTTATCTGGGAATAAAACTAACAAAAAACCCGCTAAACCTAATCAAAGCCAATTACCTTAAAATAGCCTCCGACATCCGCACAAAACTGGACAATTGGAAAGGTAAATTTCTGTCCTGGCTGGGCCGCATAGCGGCCTTTAAAATGATGCTGCTCCCGAAGCTGCAGTTCTTGTTCCGATCCATACCAGTGGAAGTCCCGAAGACATACTTTATCCAATTGCAAAGACACATAGACAGGTTTATTAATGACAGACGCAAATCCCGCATCCCAAAGGCCACAGCCACTAGAAAACTAGGAGAAGGGGGAATAGGCAGACCAGACATCCTAGCTTACTACATAGCCACAATACTCAGCCACACCATCGCGGCACAAGATACAAAATACCAACCACCTTGGGTGGAGATTGAGTCCTACTGGTCCCTAGCAGAAGGGATCGCCTGTCTATTCTGGATACCTAAACCCCTGAGACCACAAATGCACAACATGCTACCCACCACGGCCCTAATGCTAAAGACATGGGACAATAAAAAAGACATGTTCTCCTCCTGGAGCCCAATATCGTTGGCTACCCCAATCAAATGTTTCAAATACTACATTCCCACCTTCGACAGCAGGGGATGGGAGGGCAAGGGAACAGTCTTTCTACACCAAGCATGGAGCGGGGAGAACTTGATCCCTTTCCCCCAACTCAACCTGCCGCTGAGCACACCCCAAATAAGTGGCCTGTCATACCTACAGCTACAATCCCTACTAAGAACCACCAACCAAACGAAACCCCTCCACCCACCCACAATACAAAACATGACCAATATAGAAAAAATGTGCGCAGGGCTACTACCAAAGAAAAAGGTCATAACAACCTGCTATGAGGCAATTTTGAAAGACGATAAACGACCAAAGCCTAAATACACCACAGACTGGGAGGTAGACATAGGACGTAAAATACCTGACGCCGCCTGGTCGGGAGCCTTTAAGATACACAAAAAATACACAAAATGCAACTCCCACGTAGAATTAATAAGGAAAATAGCCACCAGATGGTACCTAACACCAGCGAAGCTAGCACACATGTTCCCAAACACCTCTGACAAATGCTGGAGATGCAACACTGACAAGGGAACAATGCTACACATCTGGTGGGATTGCCCATTAATCAAACCCTTCTGGGCGGAGATCGCCAAGCTAATGGGGGAAGTACTACACAAACCAATACGGGAATCAGTGGAATTCTTCCTACTGTTCATATTCCCCGACCTCATCTCAAGACAACAAGGGACTCTGGCATTCCACATACTGATAGCAGCGAACTTGCTTATAGCTAGGAAGTGGAAATCCACCACTGCCCCCCCCATAGGCGAAGTGATACAACAGGTATCTCTCAATGGCCAGTACGAAAAAATGGCCCATGAGAGCTCTGATAGACGCAATAAAATTCTAGACACATGGGAAAAATGGAATGAATGGGTGGAAGGGAAAAACCTTAGGGATGCGGCACAGGAGGCAACAACCTGGCGGCAAAGGGGTACTGTACCCACACCACTTGAAAAGCAGAACCCATAGGGACCACCACCTCCGTCCACTCTCCCCCCCCCCACCAACCTAGAAGACCCACGATGATATCACTCGTGCCTAAAACTAACCCTCCTCTCGCTACTCCTTTGCTAGTTTCCTTTCTCTCTCTCTCTCTCCTCTCTATAGGAGTCCTCACACCCAGCCCTAAGCTGGAACTTCCTTAAAACTCCTGGGGTCCACACAGTCGGACACAACACAGATTACCAAAGGCACATAAAGATGATGCTACCGCAGTCTTTAGAGACCTTATAGGTACGGAAAGACAAACGAGATAAGGGGCCAGCTACAGACAAACTACAAATTTAATGAGGCACGGAGTAAACTAGCTGGCGGCCCACAGAAAGCAATGACCATGCATATACAATTGTATAACTATATAATAATGTAACGTTAAGATAAAGAATGCACGCAACCAATGTAACAAAACATAGTGCTGATACACTGTTCGATTGTACTAACTAATGTGTCTTGTGCCTGTTTGGATTTCCGGAATAAAAAAGAAATAAAGAATAAAAAAAAAAAAAACGTATAACAACAATTATATCATCAGTAAAAGTGCTGTTTGTGTGTGAAAAATGCAAAAAAAGTCACTTTCACTGACAATATCATCGCTGTGATATGTTTTACTGTTTTGAATCACTAATATTTGTGTTCAGCGAAGTCTCCCGAGTAAAACAGTACCCCCCATGTACAGGTTTTAGGGTGTCGTAGAACGTTACAGGGTAAAATACAGTGCTAGCAAATTCAATTCTCTGGAATTTCGGCCTGGGTTGGCAGGCAGGTCCCTTAAATTGCAATCAATAAAATTACTGAATTATGTAAAACTATTACATAAATACGCACGTAGAATTTAAATATATATGCATATTTATATATTTGAAGTCTATGTGTATATTTATATAATTATTTATGTAATTTTGTATATGGACATATGTATATTTCTTATTATTTTTATTTATTTTTATATACATAGATATATATACAAATTCATTCTAAGTGTATTTTGATATAAATATATATATATTAATTTTAAAATACAGTTAGAATAAAATTTCATATAGATATATAATTTTTTTAAAATTTTTTATTATTTTAATTTTTTTTTATTTAATTTAAATTACTTATTATTTATATTTTATAATATATATATACAATATATGTAGTTATTATATATTATATATATACGTGTGTAATTTAATTATAAGTGTATTTTTATATTAATATAAGTACATATTAATATAAAAATACACTTAGTATGGCATTATATATGATATATAGACATATATTATATAGATATATTATATGTCTATATATCATATATACACATATATAATTATTATTATTTTTTTTATTACCATTAACTTTATATTTATTTTTGATTTTACACTAGCAGGGAGACTGCCTGTCAGCACAGACAGTCCCCCTGCAGGCAGATACTAGGACACCTATTGTGACCATGTGATTGCTGTGTTAAGCGATCACATGGCCACAGGGGTCCTAATCTGCCGTGGGGAGACTGTCTGGGCTGCAGGCAGTCTCCCCACAACGGGAGCAACGCTGATCGCCGCCGGGGGAACGACGGCGATCAGGTAAGTACCCCCAGACCGTTAGGACGGTTCAGGACCGTCATCGGTCCTCAAGGCAAAAATGCCGATGACGGTCCTGAACCGTCCTCGGTCGCTAAGGGGTTAATTAAGCTAAAGTTGTTTTGGTGACTATAGTAATGCATTATAGCCTCTTTGTATCATTTTGTAATGCATGCATGCAGTTTTTGGTGTTTCTAAGTTTTCCAGGATTACCCATAAGCCTTTGGGGGGCAAACGTCTTTAAGCTTGTTTAAGTCCGAAGTACTGCTCAATCTGACTAACTGCATTTACAAATCCTGTCCTGTTCAAAATCGAAGTCTGAGAAGGTTTCAGATTGTGCATGCTCTCCACAAATTAAAAGTGCTACTAAGCAAAAAGGACTTAAAGGGTTATTCAAAACCTTTTGTGTAATATGCCCTATTGTGCCTATTGATAATGCCCCCCACCACCCGCTCAGTTTGTACTTAAACATGCATAAAAAGCTTATTTACCTGGAAAACATTCCTGGGTTAGGCTCCCGGGGCTGGCATCCACGCACCCACCAATGTCACAGGGGTCTTGGGGCGGCCCAATCCCAGACTTCTCATAAAGATTGTGATTGGACCATTTTGCTGGCTCGGAATGCTTTCACATGCTCTGGGTTTGCTAGAGGACGGAGTGAGCAGAAGAAGGTTTTTGAAACAACTTGATCGGAGGGAGACGGGAGAGAGCGTAATATGGGAAGGAAGAGAATGCCGCTGACTTAAAAAATAATAAATAATAATAATAATCTTGTTTGATTTTTTTATTTATTTTTTTTTTTAATGTAAATCCTTGACATATGACATTAGACAGCCTGGAACAGAGTTCTGGGTGGCCTAAGTCACTTGTGCTGGGGATGCAATCCGTGCAGATAATTACGTATGTGCAGTGTTGGGTCGCTCACAAGGAGTAATGCCAGGAAATTCACTAAAAAGTGATTAACTTTTATAGATTATTGGAAAATCATGCTTAATATCACACCCAAAGTACAAATCGTTAAGATATTGATCGCTTTCATAAACAAAGGTTGAACTAACTTGTGCTACAATAGTAGAAAAGCCTTTTAGTATTGTGTGGTTGTTTTCCCTATATGTCCCAGCAGAATGGGAATAGGAAATATTGTTAAATTTGATTATATTTATATATTTGATATGTTTGTGTGTATATATTTTATTTTAACATTGTTATTAGTGGTATTAACCTATATTGGCAGCAGCTGTTATTTGTATCTGCTGCTATTAATTCTGCCCCTCTCCCTAAACTTATATTTTGGGAAAGTTGTTGCGTAGACACTGCTGCTCACTGTCCTAGTATGTCTAAAATGAGAGGTGCAAAATCAGAAACGGCTTCTGCCCACTCTGACTGGGACATGTGTATCTCAGATTAAGATTAAATAAACCATAATCTATCTCTACCATTAATTTTAGCCTTTGTCCAAGTTCTTTCCCTAATTAAAAACAAAAACAAGATTGCAATATAAAAGATACATAAAATAAATCACACTATACTGCTGGCACTCTTTTGGCCATCTGGTGCTGGTATTGAGGCCTACCCATATCCCACCTAATTTTCTCCTAGTAATTCAAATAAATACCACACTCATGTTATTTATAATTGCCTAGGTTGGTTTTCATTGTATAATTGTACAATTGAAACTAATTTTGCCAATTCTAAATAATCAGAGTGTTCTGGAGACTTGACCTTCAGTAAAAATGTTTTATGTTTCCAGATCTTAATGTCATTATTTCCCCCAAAATACATGTTTTGCTGTATTCTATCTTTCTATGCTTTGCGGCATTGTGTCGTTTTATAATGTTCTGAATTATGCCTTTCATCGCCGGAGTTCGGGCTCCGAACTGTTAACCTTTCAAAAAATTTTTTTACAAAAATCATTAGAAATGCATTTTCTTCACGTTACTGTCAAAGGAGGAAAAAACAAAATGATGACTAAATGGCTATTGTGTGCTGGTCTAAACTACAATGTTAAAAGCGTTATCATTGAACTGATGAGGGTTCTCAGTAAAGAGCAATTCTAGGACTTAGTAATCACCATGGAAACCACTGGAATGTTTCGACCTGTTGCTCAGATTTGCCCCTTAATTGTTCCCTGTGCAGAACTTGTGGTGATTTGCACAGTTGGCAAGGACACTCAGCCAAAAACCTGCCTCATGTGGAATTCAGACTATGGAACCGCGCACGCACAAAAATACAGTATTTTAACATTTTACAAGGCTACTAAAACTCACCTATCTCAGCAAACCTTTATGGACAATGTGTGGGAATATGTTGTATTATATATATTCACAGTGCTCTTGCATCAGAATAATAACATACACTTGAGCTCATTTATCACTGAAAATATTTGATTTGTCTTCCACGTAGAAATTAGTGTAGGACCCAATGATATTAGGGTACTGTGGGTAGTGGCGGCTTAACACGAATATGGCCATATGGTGGACCTGAATCCCCAAATTTTTTTGCTAAGAGAGGTGATTTTAAGTAGCCATGTACATTTTAAAACTGTTTTTGTGTGGGTACTGTTCCTTAAAGGGACACTATAGTCACCAGGACAATTACAGCTTATTGTATTTGTTCTGGTGAGTGTAATCATTCCCTTCAGGCTTTTTGCAGTAAACACTATATTTTCAGAGAACATAACTCCACTGGCCACTCCTTAGATGGCTACTAGAGGTGCTTCCTGGGTCAGTACTGCCTAATGTTCAGCACTGCCATTCAGTGTCTCCACCCTCTGCATGCAGACACTGAACTTTCCTCATAGAGATTCATTGATTCAATTCCTCTCTGAGGAGATGCTGATTGGCCATGGCTGTGTTTGGCTCGTGCTGGCTCTGATCTGCCTTCTTGACAGTCCCAGCCAATCCTATGGGAAATCATTGTGATCGACTCAGAGGTTCACGTCTGATGTCAGCCAGGCAGGCAGATCAGGGGCAGAGGCAGCAACTCCAGACTTGAATACAAGTAAGATTTTACTATATTTAGGGAAACCAGGGAAGCCAGGGGGTGCTTGATGGTGATTTTAGCTTTATAGGGTCATGGATACATTTTTGTGTTCCTATAGTGTTCCTTTAATATGTATTTTTGTATTTACAGCAGTAGCACTGCTGAGAAATGCATGCTCCAGGTGTGCTTCAAATACCCTTTTTTCTATACATGTGTAACTCTGAAGATTCATTAATTTTGATCTCAGGGTTCCTGGTAATTGAGTAGACTTTTCAGCTAGTATGATCAAACCTAATTCCTTTAAATATATGCCAAGTCTTATTCATTAGTCATTCAATAAGACTCGACAGGTAAATCACTGACAGATCCAATAGTTAAGGAAAATAATTTCTGTAGAAGTCACTTGACTAGAAAGACCAGAACCGCCAAATTCACAGAATTCCTTCTAATAAACATCTAGGACAGGAGAGGCAACCTTCACTCCACATGTCCACAACATCTCTGTGCCAAAGGTTGCCTGTTCCCTAATCACATTCCTTTCTGCCCTGTAGGGAATTAAATGGACTGCGTTTATCATTCCTTGGTGCGTGTCTTTCTCTCACCTTCTCGTTATATTTATTTACCATTTAAGGGCCCTGCCTGGAAGTTTTCTCAGCTGTCTACTTCGAAGACTCGAAACTCTAAGAAATGCTGCTGTACACACCATAGTGGGGGCTTTTTTGTCCTAAATGCCATTTTTCGGACTCCTGTTATTATCTTTGATACTGATGACATTTCAAAAAGTTTTATTACGTAAAGCAAAATAAAATAAAATAATCTGCTAAAAATGTATTTTCCTTGAAGTCATATCATACATTTTTATGAATTCACTGAAAAGGCATGGCTATGGGCACAATCTCTTGTGAAACTGTTTTCAGTTTAACAAAACCAGAATCTGGAGAACTCAAAGTCCACTTGTTATCTTGCCATGTTGCAGTAAAGAAATCTCACTTTGTGGAGAATTTCTGACTGCTCTATAAAGATGCAGATTTTTGGTCTTCTTTGATTTTGAGTTAAGTAATTGTGGCAATGTTGGGTTAGCTTTGCTTTGATCAAATCTGGCCCAATGCACATTTCTCGGATATTACATTTTGTGTTCTTTGTATATTTTGGTGTATTTGTCCCCAAACTTGCAAAATCTCTAGAAAGACATTGATTATGGCGTGGATGTACATTGTGTTTAACATATGGCTTCTCTATAGTTAAACCTTCACCCTATCAATGCCTTCATGATGGAATAATAAGCCCCACAGACATATCCTGTCTGGACCTCTACCTGCCATTCACACAATGCTTACATCTCCAGCTACTGCGTGTGCTAATTACCTCCTCATGTGTGTAAAGGGCACCATATGTTGTATATGCATGATAAAGCATTGGTGTCAGGCTCAGCCGGCTGGCTGATAACTGGGGGCAAGAGTCAATGGATTAGAAAATCCAGACTGCAGAGCATTTTAAATGTTTGGAACGCCAGGAACCTGGCAGGAAATATTAACACGGACCAGGTTTGTACAGCTGGGACAAGGTATTCTATACATTTATCGTGCTGGGTCAGAGTCTATATTTACATTTAAATAAACATTACGGAATGTTCCCATCTGCACAGTTCTGCACCTAGACGTATAAGCAAACCTAACCAGCATCCCCCAAAATTACAGTTTAGATACCTCTATAATCTTATTATTGTCTGCTACTGTTTAAAAAAAATAAATAAAAAATACCACCAATGGAAACTGCAGTTTTGTGATTGCTGATCCATTTCTAAATTTGTTACACTTGGAAGTACTTTATAAACTCTGTTCCGTCCTCAAGTGAAGTCCTTCTCCCCTCTTGACCAATTACCTCATGCTAGACTGTAATAAACGTGAACAGACTTTGTCCATCTTTGCAAATACAGTGGAAATGATGTGCCTAGGTGGCAGCTCTTCTGTCTCTTCTAGATTGTGGGTTTTAATTTATATTTTCAGGGTCATAGACCGGATTTACGTATGCATCTCGTGATCTGTGTACCTTCTTTATTAGAGGAGGAAGATCTGGAGAAAATGCAAACAAATAACTTTTTTTTTTTTTTTTTAAATCCCATTCTCCCCCATTCAGCAGTAGGTTATGAGAGCTTTGTCAATAAGCTTGCACTTTAGAGAAGTCCTCACTATTTAATCATTTAGAAATGGGTGGTTTTCCATCTGCCCTCTAGTGGGATATGGAGAAAGCATTAAAGATTGGCCGAGTGCTGATCTGTGACTAATCCCTTGTTCATTTGTCACTTAACACTCCAGGAACCTCTGAACATTTTGCATCTCTCACCTCTGAGCTTTTATCAGACATTTCGAGGAGGGGGGCCGGGGTCTTTAATTTAACAGCTGTATTATAGTAATATATTACTACTTTTCAAAGCCAGTGCATGGGTTATGCGGATACTTTATTTACAGGCCTTCATTTCTTCCTGATTATGTGAGTAGACTTGTTAATGGTTATAAATTAAGATTCCTTTTTATCTATTTTTGATTTAAAATACCAACCCAGTTTATCCACAAAATCTATCCCCTGTGGATTTATTAATATTTTATACATTTTGGAACATGTCAGTCCATTCTATTTATTTCTGTCGACCTTTTCGTTGGAATTAATCTTATTTTCCTCCTTGATTACTTTGATAAATCCTTTCTCCTAAATGCTGTGCAGCTTTGAATATTTCTATAAAGATTGCAGTATCCTGATACACAGATCCACCCAAGGGATATATTTGTGGCTGCATACGTGCACAGTAGGAATTGTGGGCAAGGACAGTGCCTTCTACTGGTAGAATGTCTGTCTGTGCTGCTGATTAGGACTCCCAACGATGTCGCAAGCAGAGCAGTAAAGCCCAGAAAGGTCAAAATTAACAAAACAAAAAACGCTAAATCATGTTTAATTTACACATTTGCTAGTAACTTTGTTAGCGCAATGTAAAGTCGTTTACCCTGCCATTTAGGCTGAGAGGTTAAATCTCCAATTAGATTATAAATTTACGCCTGAGGGTAGGCAGTCATAATGTCAGAGGACAGTGAAATATAAGCGCAAATAAAAATACATTGTTGAAGTCTTGTACTCAAACTCCTATCACTTCAGGGCATTTGCACTGTCTACAGCACTTGACAGTGTTTGTGGGAAAGCATGTATTTCTCATGATGAGATTAGATTATAATTCTGGATTGCAAAGTAGATATGGAAGTCATGTAGTAGAATGATGAGAAATCTTCGAAACAAAGACTAAAAGGGTAGTTTTTGGTTGTGATGCGCTTCATGGCAGAGCTTGTTTTGTCCCTTTTAGTCCAGCTGTGTGTGTTTACACTCCTTGCCCAGATCCCAATCAGTTTATTCTACATTCTTCAGAAATGATACATGCTGGCATTAGTCCTTATGATATACTCGCTAAACCAGCAGGTATTAAAAATCCTGGAAAAAATGATTCAGCCCATTTATTTTACCAGTTTAGGACCTAAACGGGGCTATTCCCTGTCTGTTTTTCACAATTCTATTTTGCAAATAAACTAAATCCCATGTCCAGCATCTAAATTTGAGATTCCCTCCTGCATTCAATAGACCAATAGACGGGTAGTGCATTTCTCCATGTATACATAGTTTGATTTAAATATCTTGCGTGGTTTGGAATAATAACGAACCGATCAAGAATCTGGAAATGTGTTTAAAAAAAAAAAAAAAAGGAAAATAAATAAAATGAATAAATTAATTTTATGTATTTTTTTTTTTTTAGTATTACAAAGTTCTAGTCGGGGGTTTTGTGAAGTTCTGCGTGTGTAGTTCAGTTGGCGGTTGTTCTGTACTTGCTGTAAGGAGTTCAGAACATTAAACACTTGACCTTGTCCTTTTGACCGTAGGAGTTGTAGCAGCAGACTGAAACTGTATCACATATTCGTGAGGAGGAAAATCTATTGTACAGACTTCAAACCAGGCTTTTTATAACCGAGTTCCTGTAATGAACTATAGATTTTTATATGTTTTACACTCTCTTCGGGTTTCCGATTCCGCCTGTGTATTTCTCATGTGCGTCTGACCTGGTCGCATGGTGCTAATTTCGTGGATGAATGTTATTGGCATTCTTTTTGAAGTTCCTAACTCTATGATTTTGTTATTGATGTTATTCAAAAAGAGATCTGAAGCTCCGTATGGGGTCAGGGTTAATATATAAATAAATTCTCATGAAGTCTCTAGGACGGATCCCTGTTCTGCTTGTATTTTACCGCTCTGAAAGCTGGTTCATTAATCAGGGTATTCTAGGTAAGGTCACTCTAGTTAATGTGTTGTGTGCGTCTTCAAAAAACAGAAACAAAGGTGTCAATAGGTCTGGGAGAGACCTGAATGGATTTCTTGTCTGGAATTCATCTTATGTGCCATAATACTATCTATTACACTCTGTGCCGTAGTCTCGCCTTCCTCTCTCCTGCCCTTTCTTTCTGAATCATAATGTCCCCAAAAGGTTCTCATTTTGTCCTTTGCGTCATCATACTCTATCACCTTTCTCCTCTTGCCTACTGTGCTAAAATAACTCCCTCAACCTTTCTCCTTCCTTACTCTCTGCCATAATTACTTTTCACTTAAATTTTTCTGTTTTCTGTGCAAATATAACCTTTTCACGTATCTCTATATTCTGTGCCATAATGCCTTTTGAACTTGTTTTTCCGTTCCTTGTGACCTGATACCTCCTGATCTTAACCTGGCTGCTATTTGCTCATCTTATGCGGATGCGACGTGCCATTGTTTGCGTGTACTGTATAACATTCCGAGGTCATTGAATGGTAATACTATATATATTCTGATCATGCAGCTGGCATTATCAGAGTTGCGTGATCTTGCTTCTGCAGATAATGTTGCCACGGAAACAAACTATTTGCTTTGACAATCGGGAAATCTTTGTAAGATCACAGCAACAGGTTTTTGGCCTTATCTCATTTGAAAGGGCATGATGGCAGTGAATTGGTTAGTTGAGGACATCATGGTATAACAATTGTAATCTAATTATCCCCAGCACTTGCGAGTTACAGAATTGTTATCAATGCTACTGAAGCTGCACTGAATATAAAATGATAGCTACATGAAGATCTTACCAGATTGCATAGATATCTTGAATTTACACGACCCTATATTCATTAGCAAGCTTGGAATTATTGAAGGGCAATTTGTAACATACAATAAAGTACGCCATTGAGTAACTATTAACTGAATATTGACTTTGAATTGATCCCATAAAAAAAATGCCTTAGTCAGTTCAGTTTCTGGCATGCGCCAGTCCACCAAATCTCAGAGTACCAGATCCAGTCCTCGGTTTTAGGTATAATCACACCGGGCCGCTAAAGTAAAATTCTCTGACCGTGAGACTCTCATCGAATTGATCAGCCTGATTAACTTATAATTTATATTATTGTGTCAAAGCAAGGTTTCCCTGGGTCCCTGCAGTGTGGCCCTCTCTCTTGTTACACTTCCGCATTGGCATTATCAATTTTACCCAGAGATTAGTGGAAATTATACTCTTAAATAGTTACATTATTTCAGCGTGGGAGAGGGCTGATTTTAAAATGGTGTCAGCTGCCTCATATGAGCTGCATAACTCACACTAATCTTAGGCAGCCTGGGGTGTCTGACCCAGTAAAACCCTGAGGTTAAAGTCAACTTAACACCAACAGTAAAAAATGATATTATCTATGATCGGAAAAAAAATCCAAATAGTACTTGCACTCAGTCAAAACAAAAGTTGCAGTTATCTGGGTCACCTCTAAAGACCCTAAATCACAAAATACAAAACCACCAAATGATACCACAGTCAAGAAAGTGTATATGAATATAAATTTATTGCCACAACTAAATAAAATTGGAAATAGTACTCATCTATCCTGTGTAAACACAGCAAAGTTATGATGATAGTCCTATTCAATGGTTTGCCCACCACTATAAAATATATTCTTATCAGAAGATAATAGGCAGGCAGTATTGTATATATTTTGTATATATGTTGTATATATTTTGTTTTGTGTTGCACTCTAGACTGATTGTATCGGTATATCTAGCACTGTACCTTCTTTCTTGTACTTGAGCTGTGTATAGGTAGACAACATGTTTTGGTGATCTGACATTAAAGGACCACTATAGGCACCCAGACTACTTCAGCTTAATGAAGTGGTCTGGGTGCCAGGTCCAGCTAGGATTAACCCTTTTTTCTGTAAACGTTGCAGTTTCAGAGAAACTGCTATGTTTATATTAGGGTTAATCCAGCCTCTAGTGGCTGTCTCATTGACAGCCGCTAGAGGGCTTCCGCGCTTTTCACTGTGATTTTCACAGTGAGAAGACGCCAGCGTCCATAGGAAAGCATTGATAATGCTTTCCTATGGACTGGATGAATGCGCGTGCGGCTCCTGCTGCGCATGCGCATTCAGCTGATGACGGAAGAAGAGGGAGGAGAGGAGGAGGAGGAGAGCTCCCTGCCCGGCGCTGGTGAAAGAGGTAAGTTTAACACCTTCCTCCCACTAGAGCCCGGCGCAAGGGGGACCCTGAGGGTGGGGGCACCCTCAGGGCAATATAGTGCCAGGAAGACTAGTATGTTTTCCTGGCACTATAGTGGTCCTTTAAGTGTTTTATACTCTGTCTCTACACTTTTTTTTATAGTAGTGGGCAAACCATTGAATAAGACCTTTGGTGTCTTTACACAGGATAGATGAGTACTATTTCCAATTTTATGAAGTTGTGGCAATAAATTTATATTCATATACACTTTCTTTCTTGAGTGCAGTATCATTTGGTTTGGTATTGTCTATGAAATATTATTCTATGTACTACTTGCGTAGTATTTTACTTTCCCTTTATTAACCATGTAAAGATACAATTATAAAGTTTTTGCAGACACATTTTTGTTTGTGGCTGGTGTCTGCTTTTGTTGATGTTACAAGAAGCCATTTATATACATTTGATAGTTTATTTTATCTCTTTTTTTTCCCCCAGGTACTGAAACATTTGTAAGACTGCAATGACAAGTCTGGACAGCAGCCATGCAGAGAAAACACACCAGGGCGCTTCCAAGCAGTCTGCACCAAAGGTGCAAGTCCAGCGATCAGTTTCCCGAGAAACCATCACCATTCGCTTCTCGGCTTTTGGGAAGGAAGAGGAAGAGGAGGAGGAGGAAGAAGTATTTAGGGAGACGCTGGATGAGCAAAGCATTGTAACAGCCGTGGAAGCTAAAGAGGACCTTTACTTTGAACCCGGTACGCACTTAAACCCGAGGCCTGATACCTCTCCCAGTGTAGCTGTGATTGAGGTGTCCTCATTAACGCCATGTACTGTTAAGCCAACTGTAAATGCTGGTGAAGTCATTGAACCTTCTCCTGCACCCAACACAGTCAGTGCTGTGCCATTGTCATCGTCATCATCATCATCTGTCTCTCGGACGTGTCCTGAAGACAATACTGCCAATGTTTATCCTCCCGAAGAACACAAAACATCAATATTTTCATCACCATCCAAAGTTAATGCTTTGTCCTCTACAACATCTGCTCCATCTATTTCTAGTTCAAAGCCCTTCCTTAGCCTGGTGAAATCCCTTTCTACAGAGGTAGAGCCAAAAGAACCGACCCCACCAGCCAGGCATCGCCACTTAATGAAATCCCTTGTCAAATCTTTATCAACAGACACTTCTAAGCAGGACTCTGAGCCATCAAAGCCACCAGATTCCAAATTAAACCTGCATTTGTTTAAGCAGTTTACACAGCCTCGAGTTACTGGTGGAGATTCCAAAACTGCCCCTTCGTCACCCATTACCTCTCCATCAGATGGCCGCTCCTTTTTCAGGGTCACTGAGGTGGAGGCTAGAATTGAAGACACTAAAAGGCGTTTTTCAGAAGTAATTTATGAACCATTCCAACTTCTGAGCAAGATTATGGGAGATGATTCATCAAGCTACAGGCCCAAAGCCTTATCTTCGAGTGCTTCGGAGCTCTCTAACATTTCCAGTTTGAATGGTCAACTTGAAAGCAATAACAACTACAGCATCAAGGAGGAAGAAGGGGATTCAGAGGCTGATTGTTCTTCTGGGAATGCAACACTTGGAAAGGATGAGAAGATTGGAGAACACATGAAGGATCTGGATTCTAGAACACACGTGCAGACAAAAGATGCAACTATACGAATGTCTGCTCTGGAGTTGGAGAAGTGTTCTTTGTCTGCGTTGGCTAGCCGAGAAGACGAAGAGTTTACTGAACTGTATGCTGAAGACTTTGAACTTGATGAAGTAACTGAAGGAGATCATGTTTTATATGAAGGAGAGGCTCAGGGCAGGAACGAGGCTCTGTCTGAAGATGAAGTAGATAGTCATGTGGAAGGTTCTCATATTCCTGTTAAAACTTTGTGCTTTCTTGTTTTCGTGGTATACGGTTACTTTCTGTTACCCCTCCCGAGCTATGTTGATGGACTCTGTCTGGGGATTGCATTTGGTTTCATGGCTGCGATTGGTATAATTTGGCTATTTTCATCTCCACGTGCTCACTATTGTAAATTTCACTCAAATCAGGAGCAGCTGAGAGTCGAACCTTTGCAGATTGACGAGCCGGAGATAATGAAGGTAAATTTGTATGCATTTTTTGTAAAAGGAATTCACTAACCCTGTAAACTCAAATCTGATTGTCACATTTAAAGGGACACGCCAGGCACCCAGACCACTTCTGCCCATTGGAGTGGTCTGGGTGCCAACTCCCACTACCCTTAACCCTGCAAGTGTAATTATTGCCGTTTTCATAAACTGCAATAATTACCTTGCAGGGTTAACTCCTCCTCTAGTGGCTGTCTACTAGAAAGCCACTAGAGAGGGCACTTCCTGGTCTATAGCACAGGTTCACGCTGTGTGAGGACCTCCAGCGTCGCTAAAATCCCCATAGGAAAGCATTTTCAATGCTTTCCTATAGAGAGGTCTAATGCGCCTGCGCGGCATTGGTCAGTCTCCCCCGCTGGCAGACGTGATGAAGGGGAGGAGCGTGAGCGGAGGAAGAAGCAGCGATGTGGGACATGTCGCTGCCTCTGGTAAGTCACTGAAGGGGTTTTCACTCCTTCAGCAACCGGGGATGGGAGGTGGGAGGGAGAGGGGACCTGCAGTGCCAGGAAAACTGATTGTTTTCCTGGCACTGGAGAGTCCCTTTAAATGTGTTTTATTGCAACTATGAAGATAAAACAGATAATCCAGGATCAGAGTGCAGTGCCACAAACCTTTTTATAATGCTGTCTTGCCTATTTTTTTTTTTATTTTGTTGCTACAACATCAAAGATGAAATGTTCTTTGTCCTAAACCAGGCCTGCACAACTTGTGACCTCCCAGATGTTTTGAACTACTACTTCCTTGATCCCATGGCTATCAGCCATGATTTCCTGGTTATCTGTTTCATTCAAAAAAACATGGGTGTTGGCTATCTGTTTCATTAAATGAATAATGTGCACTAGCTATCCGTTTTTTATTCAAAGAATCATGGGCATTGTAGTTCAAAAACATCTGGGGGGCCGCAGGTTATGCAGGCCTGCCCTAAATGTTCCCTTTCAGTCATGGCAGCAGGGGTGCGCTGCTTGATGATGGTCAACAACATGCTCCCAAGATGGCCACATATGCATAAACTCTTCCCATGATTCCATGTATGCCTTTGGACATAATTGATGTTGGACAGTGTCAGAGCAACCTTGTATTTGCTAAAAATTGAGTTAAGAAATAGCAGAACTAATTGCTAACTATTATTTGGGTATTAGATTGTGGAATTTTTCTTCATGTGACAGTTCCTCTTTTATGGGAATATCTTTAAAAAAAACAATCTGATAAGTTGATGCTGAGAACCTTCCTCTGCCAGATGACCCTGCTGATGTAGGCTTGTGAGATTTCAACAAAGGACTTTTCTAGGGAAAGGCTGTGCAACGGGAGGAGGAGTTATTTTTGGAAGGAGCAGAGTACTTGTAGAATAGGAGAAGGAAGGAGCAGAGTCCTTGTAGAATAGGAGAAGGAAGGGGCAGAGTCCTTGTAGAATAGGAGAAGGAAGGAGCAGAGTCCTTGTAGAATAGGAGAAGGAAGGAGCAGAGTCCTTGTAGAATAGGAGAAGGAAGGAGCAGAGCCCTTGAAGAATAGGAGAAGGAAGGAGCAGAGCCCTTGAAGAATAGGAGAAGGAAGGAGCAGAGCCCTTGAAGAATAGGAGAAGGAAGGAGCAGAGCCCTTGAAGAATAGGAGAAGGAAGGAAAATAAAAAATATAGGAAGGACAGAATTGTTGTTGGCTAATAATAAGTGCTATACCTAGCTCAGCCTTCCTGCTGGGCATTGCTATAAGGAAGGTAAAAGAAAAGAATAAAGGAAAAGGAGATTTATAAATAAAGAAAAAAAGGAAAAAAATAAGAAGGGGGGGAATTGAGAAGGGAGAGACGGGGAGCTGATGCACAGACGAGAAATCATTTTATGCGCAAACAGAGAAATCGTCTAAATATCACCGAAAGAGGAGACCTTCGTTTGTTCCTTACAAAAATCGAACCAGATATTAAATATTTAGTTTCGCAGCATCAGCCTCAAGGATCTCATTAATCAGTAGTAAGGGTAATTTAAATTTTCTTTGCTTTCTCATTAAACTTTATAAAGTTAAAAACATTGTAACCATGCATAAAGTAGAATTATAAAGATTGATGTAAGTACAGATTTTTTTTTTTCTTCAACACCCTCCTTTCTAAAATATATTCTGCACTTGCGGTAAAAAAACAAATCGGAAACTGGTGGGCAGTAAGTAAATATTTCCATCAAGAAAGATGCATAAGTGGGTGGTAGGTAGAAAAAGGTTGACTACCCCTGGTCTAGAACCTTTCCTGGCCTGTTGCCTTATTGTTAGAAGAGTTGGGTGGAGAACAATTTGGGTAAAGGATTTTGCTATATAAAAAAAAATTAAACACTTTCTATAAAGATTTTCTATATGAATTTCTATATGACCTACCAAGCACTCAATAAACCCTTCTGTAACAATCTATTTAATTCCCCTACTTTAACCCTTTGTGTCACTATACCCCACTCCCTCTAGCATGTAAGCTCATCGAGCAGTGTCCTCAACCCCCTCTGTTCCTGTACGTCAGTGGTCTGATCTCAATTATGTGTCTGTTAGTCCACCCATTGTACAGCGCTACGGAATTTGTTGGCGCTATATAACTCATCTAATAATAATAATAAAGATGTAAAAGTGTTTATTTTATTTTATTTAAAAAAAAAATAATAATAATAATAAATGTGTGGAAAGATGCATGGATTGAAATTATTAAAGCCATGCTTATTTTGGGGGTAGGATTTCCTATAAATGATCGATAAATCTATGGAAAGGTCTCCTTACCACTGGCTTTTCTGCATTGAATTAGACTCCATGCTGTCAACAGCCTCATAAATTGTTTTAAATCTTTAATTTATGCAACATTTTTTGATTTTATTCAACTTGCAAACATTGTGTATTTTGGTTAAAGTCCGGACCTGGTATATGATGGAAATGTATGTGTGCAGGGTATGGCTAAGAAGGGAATGTCTCAGACCTGGTATAGGATCTTGGTTTGGCTCTGATCTGGTACTGGGAGGAATGGTGTAGGTATTGGGTTTGCCCTGGAAAAGAATAATAGTCAGATCTGGAATAGGGTGAGATGCTACAGACAGGTCTCGGTTATAGCCAGGAAGCAGAACGTGTCTCAGACCTGGTATAGGTTTTAAAGAAAATTGATTTAATGTTCTGTCAAGTTTAATGCTAATTGTTCTTTAGATCTTGGCCAAGCTTAGAGAGAACCATAATAGGATATTTTATTTATTTTTCTATCCTAGTTAGCTCTTTGCTGATTGCTGAATCCTGAATTTAGTTTCTATAGCATTATTAGTCACTGTAACAGATAAATCAAGTCTTTCTATGTGACATACTGTTTGCAGCTGTAAGTGATGAGAGTAAATTTTCATGTAGCTTGTTATCCCCCCACACCCAAGAACTACAATTTTTTATGAGAAAAAAAGTTGAGCGCTAACTCTGTTGCCTATTTTAGAGTAGCGGTTAATTGCAATTCTTTGAGAATTACGTCCAGTAATGCACTATTCTTCAGTTTCCATTCTGTGTAAGATCTGATGTCCTATAAATGTTAAAATATATTTATACAATCCCAGCCTTTGCTTCATATGTAGTTGGGGAATATATAATAAGAATCAAATTCTCAGAATTCTGCAGTGGAGAGAGGACTTAGTGAGGTTAATTTATTAAACTGGGAGTCCGGGAGCAATGACTGGGGAATTGCATAATTATCCCAAACTGAGTTGTAGAAACTTTCAACCCCGGTGAAGGTTTGAGGATTTGTTATTTTCGGAGCTGCGACCATTCCTTCTGAAATCCCTAGCCGAATTTTGGACATGGCTTTACCATCTTACAATAAGTCAACCTCATTAGTCTGACATTTTTGCCGGGAGTCATTCCGCTCTCCATTAATCTCTAATCTTATATTCTGTTTAAGATCTCCGCCGCGTAGTGTTCGAGTGAAATCCCGAGATGTTCAACAGTGATGGCTACCGCAAATGCTTTTTGAATAAAATTTACAATCATGCTTCCTGAGCATAATGGAAGATGTCACTCAAAACATCTGGGGTATCATGGGTCGTCATCAAAGCTTTTGAAGAGTAGCTTTCCAGGTGACCTCGTGAGGCATACTCTTCTCCCCTTGTATTACCTTTGCCGCTAGCAGCATCTCATATTTTAAATGAGTGCTAATGAGCATGCATGCTGCTTCCAAGAACTCCCTAATGATCGGGGATTGTTCTTCAGCATTGTACGTCAAATGCAGTTTGTGTTCCCTACTGGTCACTGACATTTACACAAAAGACCATAAGGTCTGATCGTAGCCGTGGCCTGGATTCTTCAAAGGGAGTGTAGTGGTAAATTTTAATTACAGCCGGGAAATATTCATACAAAGTGTTATCGGCATTTATTGAATAGGGGCTACATTTGCTTGCAGATCAGTTTGTCTCATTTCAAATCTAGGACTTCAAGTTTAATCTAAAACGTTACGGAGTCTGTGATAACATGGCTTGTAAAGTGCTCTGTGTACATAATTATAGCTGATCTAACTGGCTACAGCTATCACTACAAGTCGTGCAAACATTAACAGACATCATTACAATGTATTTTACAGTGTGTGTCTGTCTGCCTGCCTGCCATGATGGATTTAATTTAAATCATGGTTTAAAATTAAGATTCTATTTTAAATTCTGATTTTTAAACCTAAAGACTCATTGTTGCTGGTCGTTAGTATCTTTAATATTTGCGACCTGATGTAGATTTTGTATTTTAGAACAATAATTTTTTTTAGTTTAACAGTTTCTATCAGATCTGCCTACCCTTCTACTTCTATGTCCCATGAAGATGGGGATGACGGGACAATACCCCAAAATCGGAAGGACTGGAGGGAGCAGAGGGGGGTGAGGGGGAACTAATTTTATTTATTTTTTATTTTTATTTTTTTTATATACTATTAGAAAAATATAGGTAATGATGAAATTATTGCAAGGTGAACTATATCCAATGTAATAAGTTAGTCACTCATATTTAGAGAACAACTTAAATGGTGTTCGTTGTGTTTGTATAGGTTGAAGAATAACGGTGAGGTCTTTTTCTGATCTTTGTTTTTATAATATTATTGCCGTGAAAAAGTGCTTATGTTATCTCTGCAGACACTATTTCAATTAGCTTGGATTACTGGAATTCATTAACAAAAAAAACCCTAAATATTGCATGAATATATAAAGCCTTATTCTACGTAACACGGTATCTTAACTAGAAAAACTATCTTTTTTTATTTTGTTTTTTTTTCTCTTGTCCCCTAAATGTGTCATCTTTGTAAAGACTCAGTTGGGGCTGAAAAATTGATAACTGTATACTCCTATATTTGAATACATTTCAAGAAGACAAAGGCTTACAGTGTGCCCCTTTTCATATAAATACCTGCCTGGACTGGACACTATATATATATATATATATATATATATATATATATATATATATCTACTGGCAAGGCCTTAAAGGAACATTATAGTATCAGGGACACACACACATGTATTTCTGACACTATAGTGGTAAGATAACTATTTAGCTTCCCAGCCTCCTCACCTTGCAATTAAAAAGTTATTTTACGCACCTTTTTCCCCCCACACTGTGCCAGTCTTGCTGCGGCTGGCCCTGCCTCACTCCCCATCTGTGGCTGAGATCATCAATCTTGATGATCTCAGCCAATCCAATACTTTTCCATAGCAAATCATTAGAAAGCTTGCTCGGCAAAACAGCCAATCGGCAACTCCTCATAGAGATGCGTTGAATCAATGAGGAATGTTCTGCATCATTGCTGCACAGACTAGGAAGCACCTCTAGTGGCCATCTCATTGACTGCCAATAGAGGGGCTGCTACTAGGCAGTAATGTAAACACTGAATTTTCTGTGAAAATCCTGCAGAGACAGACTATAGACACCAGAACAACTACATTAAGCTATATATGTTCTGGTGACTATAGTGTCCCTTTAAGCCTTGCAGACAGGCTCCATTATTCAAACTTTATCCTGGATTTAAGTAGCATTGTTTTAAAGTCCAGTTTTTAAACCAAAGCAGGAGTTGTTTGCCAAAAAGGGCCAGAACAAACCATAATGACTGTCTGGGCTCACGTCTGTGTTGAGCTGGGGATTGTGGGTTTGTTTTAGAAACCAGATTTCTAAGAATTACTGTGTTCAAGGTGCACTATACCCAAAGCCCTAATCCTTGAAATACCTAGATCAGGGATTTAAAACTCTCCCCCCGATGCGAATGCCCTACAACTTGCAGAATTCTTTAAGTGCAATAAATGGCCAGAGAATCATGGGTGTTGTAGTTTAACAACATCTGGGAGGCTGGAGTATGTGATAGCTGATGTGGATAATTCAAAACCATACATTTTAAGTTAGTGTGTTTATTCAATAATTGAGAAATTGCTAATTTTAAGCTTATCTTATTAAAGCTAAGAAAAAAAATAGACTTATTCTGCTTTTTCCCAATCTTGGCTACTTTGGCAAATGTGTTTCAATTCCCTTTTACTTGTTTAGTGAATAAACCCAGCAGTCTCTCTTATTATTATTTGCAGCTGACTGTCAAGACCCCAGGCTCCCCGCTGTGCTACTATCTCACCCGAATAATTGGCTTTTCCATTTTATGTTAACACCACGCACTTTTCACCTGCCCCCAGGGCCCATTCTGTGAATCCGTCAGCCAAGTGTCTGGTCACATGATGCCTCTTTACTTTCAATGTCATTAATTTGCAAGGTTTTTATCCCTATGTCTGTTAGAGCCGTGTAGAGACCTATATGTGTTTTAGCAGCCATTTCCTGAAGCACTCTATATGTAAAATGGTTTCTACTCTGCACCAATGAAATTTCCAGAAGTGGCCATTATCAGAGCACAGTTATGGCGCCTGCATCTCTAAACCAGGAGAAGCTCATCCTATAATATCCAGAGTGTAGGAATCTTAGAGCCCTCCAAAGCAGCCTGACACTGATTCACATGGATGGCTAAGCAATTATTACGATTATTGATATAGCGGCAACGTATTCCATAGCGTTGTACAATAGAAAACCAGGCAAACTTTTAAAGGGACACTTTAGTCACCAGAACCATTACAGCTTAATGTAGTTGTTTTGGTGTGTGAGCCTGTCCCTGCAGTATTAGAACTGTAAACACTGCTTTTTTAGAGAAAAGGTAGTGTTTGCATTGCTGCCTATTAACACCTCTAGGTGCAGTCGCTCAGACGGCCAATAGAGGTGCTTTCTGTGTCAGCGCTGCACAATGTGAAGCACCTACTTTCAGTGTCTCCACACTCTACCAGGAGACGCTTAATGCTCCCTATAGAGATGCATTGATTCAATGCATCTCTATGAGGAGATGCTGATTGGCATAGCTCAGCATTATGGCCCGCACATTGATGGTCTTGGCTATGGAGGCGGAGCTAGGCTGGAGAGACCGCTGCGGCATGGGATAAAAGGGAAGTTTAATATCGTTTCAGAGCGATCTGATGGGGGCAGGAGAGCTGAACAGCTTAACACTATAGTGCTCCTTGAATTCTAACACGTATGACATATGGGAACAGAAGGTGAAGAGCTCCCTGTCTGAATGAGCTTACAATCTAAAGACATAAAATATAAAATGCTACCAGAACACTGAGCACCACCATGTGCGGAATCGAGGTTTATAAATTGCAGGGTTATTCTAGGGAACAATGTAAGCAATGTTTTATACATTTAAGTCTGTATTTGAATACACCTGCAAAAATTATTAAATTGTGGGACATTTTTCTACTGTTCCGGTTTGGTTACTAGATCCTAATCTGGAGGAAATGCCACAAAGTATTATACATGAAAACTTCACCGCCAGGCTTCCTGGAAAATAATCTGGGTGGGGGGCGGAGCCTGGCAGCCATCCTGTACAGACGCCATCTAAACTTGCTCTCTCAAAACCAGGAACAATCGTCGAATATCCCCTAAACCAAGCTCCATCAAGCCGCGAAAAGCAACCAGTGCCGATCAGTGATACATACTGCATCGATTGATGCCTTTTTTCCGGGCACCCAAGCGGCAAAGGCGCAAATCTGCGGCCTACCGCGCAACGCCAATCCAGGGCCTGGAGGCCTACCTTGACTGAAGTCTACTCGTGCACCAAGCATCCAATCTGAACTCTGGCACCACAGATATGGGCCGTCACTCACACAAACCCACGGAAGGCGCAAACACACAAGACAGAGATATAGGGGAGATGTGACTTCGACCGGTGCAAGCCGAAACTGCACGCACCACGCATCGCCCCCACCGGACAAACATCCGAGCCTGACCACGAGGAGCCGACTACGAAAATGACTCCCCCGGCGGAACACCCGCAGTTGCCCGACACCCAGGATGACTAAGCCCCCACGACTAAAGGGGACCTAAAAACACTCTGGACCAACATACAAAAGCTGCTGGCGGCCGATGTCGCCATGGTCAAAAAAAACATACAATCAGTCACCGAAAGAGTGGGAACGATAGAGGCAGACATTACCACCATGCATGACACAGTGTCCACCCTTAAGGAATCGATCCAATGCCTACAGGCAGAGCAGCATGTACTAGCCGGCCAAATTATGTCACTGGAGGACAAACAACGCTGGAAACATATCAAAATCCGGGGCATCTCAGCCGCAGTCACGACCGAGGAACTGCCGCATTACATAAGGCGGCTGCTTACAACACTGTTACCACAGACAGTCACCAAAAAATAACCCCGGACGGGATCTACCGAGTGACAAGCTCTACACGCTTACCACCCAGCACACCCAGGGATGTTATCCTGCGTCTGGCGACAATATCAGACAAGATACAGATAATGACTGCCATAAAAGTCAAAACACCAATGGCCTTTGAGGGCGCTCAGCTCTCCTTCTTCCAGGATGTCACAAAAGCCACACTGCTGAGACGAAAAACATTCGAACCTGTGACAACAGCACTGCACAAAGCTGGCATGGCTTACAGGTGGGGGAACACGGGCGCACTACTCGTCCATCACAACGGGACCGCACACCATCTCACATCCCCAACCGGAGCGCCCATCTTCATGAGGGCACTGGGACTACAACCCCCACAACACACCTCCGTAACCGCGAGCCAACCGGAGAGCTGGGAACCGGAAGACCGCTACACCCAGGGACAGTCAACGGATGAGCCAGCGGCACCTACCACCTGACCCCGCATAGGGACTGCCAAAATGAGGACCTGGTCCTCGTGAGAGAAGGGGTAATCCCCCTGACCACACACTCCCGTGACTATTTTCCCATATGAATGGCACCACTGCAACTCCCCGGTTTCATGTTGAACCGTATGCGAGCCTCGATGCTCCCACGCTTAAATTTTTTCCTTGCTTAATTTTTCTTTGACATGTTTGTTTGTTTATTCTGTTGCACTCTTTTGTACATACAGTATTGAGTTACCCACATCTACGCGACAGCCACACACGATAGAGAGGTAACAGGCGCTTACCGTAGATTAATGCCACTCCACCCACCCCCGTCATCCCCAGGATTAAAGGGGACAAACCAGATGCCGCACAGGGTACATCGCACACCGGAGCACTTTACACACTTGCCAAACTCACCTAATGGAAATCCACAAAGTTCCACTAGCGAGTACACACAGGCATCCAGAACCACATACCTGTACTAGCCTGAATCACAAATTTACCACCGCACACCTGGAGTATCCCAGTGGAGTATAACACACCCTAACAGACCAGCCACAACACTACCAACCCCGGACATGTCACTAAACCTATATGCTAAATAAAAATGTGCTTAAAATCTGAAATATGTATGTTAAAGCTAACACATGGATCTGCTTAAACCCAAACTACAACAATGTCTCGAAATGTTTTTTTTTGTCAACATGTTATACCGAGCACAAATAAATTAAGAATTTAAAAAAAATAAAATAAATAATAATCTGGGTTAGGCTGTTGTATGAATGGTGTGGGAGAGGGTTTAGATAATTAACACAATATTCCTAGGACTTATTTACAGTGCTAAATGCTAAAGGTATGCCTGAACCATACTTCATTCAAGCTCAGAAATAGTTAAAGATGACTAACTTTAGCCTCTTACCAGTATTGTCGGTCTTTTTCAGGGATGGATGAATGAAATCCAAACATACGACCCAGAGACTTACCATGCCACCTTGACCCAATCTGTATTTGTTCGTCTGGAGGGATCTACATTACGTCTTTCAAAACCCAACAAAAACGTCTCTCGTAGAACCATTTTCAATGAACCAAAATCAGATGTCGTCTACATCAGTCAGAGAATTTATGATCTTGTCGACAGCAAAGTGAGTACGCGCTTCACTGTGAAATTTCAACAATTCACACTAGTTCGCTCATTAGTGAATAACCAGATTTAAGACCTACTGTTCTTACAGGTATTTTGATGGTGAATCCATTATTAAGTCCCGTGTCTCTAGCACCATAAGACTTTATTTAAATATGCCATTTGTTTTTACAGGTTTATCTTGTCCCAAAAAGTTTGGCACGCAAGCGGGTATGGAATAAGAAGTACCCAATCTGCCTGGAGCTGGCGCGGCAGGATGACTTTATGGCCAAGGTACAGGCCGATAAAGATGCCACAGAAGACAAGTCTCTTGTCGAGCGGACTGAGCAACATGTTGAAGAGAACAGAAAGTGTCCGGATGGAAGTAAAGCCACAGGCCACCGAGAACAAGTGCTTTATTTATTTGGAAGGACTGGAAGGGAGAAGGAAGAGTGGTTTCGGAAATTCCTTCTAGCTTCCAAAATGAAATCTGACTTAAAGAAACCAAGTGTCACATCAAACGTGAAATCAGGTATTTCTTCCGGTACCAGATCATCTACAACGATGGCATGTGCTAATCTGAGCCAAGTTTGCTAATCTGGGCAGCCCAGCATAGCATTGTGAACTGGCAATGCCCAGCACTCTGCATTGGAACATGTAGATTAGAAGGCAGCACCCAGCTTCCAACAGTGGTTACTCTGGATCAGTGAGTAGTAATGGGTATTGCCAGGCTTACCAAAGTGGGTCAATCTACACCTGTTGTAGAACTACAGCTCCTAAGATTCTATTCCATCCATCATGGAGAAGCGGTAGTACTACAACACATGGTGATCTGGATTTTGGCCAGGAAGTGCCATGGTTGAGTAGCGTGCTACTCCGATTTCAGTTAGTTGTAAGAACTTTATAACTAAACTAAAGTTATTTGTAAAACTTAGGGGGTGCCATTTTTTTTTTATTTTTTTTTTTAATCTGAGTTACATTGTCTTATTAGCATTTTATCTAACGGAATATACAAGCACAGTTTAAAACAGGTTTTCCATTTTGCCTTTTGATTCCAGGGCTCTTGTTGACGCACAGCAGACAGGGAAGCCAGTCTGGGATCTTGAGCCACAGCCGAAGCAGCAGTAAGGGCAGCCTTGATGAAATGATAGTGCAGCCCAGGCCGAAGGAACTCTCTGGGAACTTAAGACAAAAAATGCTGCTGGATTATAATGTTTACATGGCGAAGTGTGTCCCACAGGAGGATAAAAGTCCCACTGAAAGCCCAATAAACAGTGCCAACAGCAGCCCAACTGCTACAAAGAAGGTGAGGTAGAGTTTGTTTGGGTTACGTTAGAATTTGGTAATCACACAGTAACTCGTGTAGGTGTGATTTATAGGCCCCCAGGACAAATAGAAGAGTTAGATGATCTACTTATTGAGGAAATGGCCAAAATGACAATAAAGGGGGAAATTATCATTATGGGTGACTTTAATCTTCCTGATGTGAATTGGAAAACCAAAATAGCTGCTTGTGCCAAGAGCACACATATTCTAAACTCCCTACTGGAATTGTTTCTAAAACAAGTCGTTGAGGAGCCAACTCGTAAAGAGGCCATACTAGATTTAGTGTTAACAAATGGAGATTTGGTATCAGATATTACTGTAGGTGAAAGTTTAGGATCTAGTGATCATCAGTCAGTGTAGTTTAATATAAGAACAGTGACTGAGTCACACCACACAAAAACAAGTTTTAGACTTTAGAAAAACAGACTTTTCTGAAATTAGAATGTGTAAAGGAGTCATTATCAGACTGGAGCAATTTAAATGGAGTCCAAGAGAAATGGGCTTATTTAAAAGTTGCACTGCTGAAGGCAACAGAAAAATGCATTAGGCTTGTCAGTAAAAGAAAAATATTCAAGACTCCACTGTGATACTCCGCAGATTTGGCCAAAATAGTAAAAAACATAAAAGTTAGCATAAAAAACCCAGAGTGAGGAAGACAGACAGATCTATAAGATTAGGCAGAAAGAGGCTAAGCAAATTATGAGAGCTTCCAAGTCACACACAGAAAAGAAAATTGCCCAGTCAGTAAAAAAAGGGGACAAAACATTTTTTAGATACATAAATGAGAAAAGGAAAGTAAAACAAGGATTTGTTAAGATTACAAACAAAAGAAGGAAGCTATGTAAAAGAGGATAAAGGTCTAGCTGACTGCTTCAATTAATACTTTATTCAGTATTTACAGATGCAAATGAAGAAAAGGGGCCTCAGTTAAGAAAAAGGACAAATTAGACATTTGTTACATGTGAGTTTACAGAGGAAGAGGTTATATTTCAACTGTCAAAAGTAAAGACAAATAGGTCAATGGGACCTGATGGAATACACCCAAATTTATTTTAAAAAAAAGCTTAGTGATGTACTAGCAAAACCATTAACAGATTTATTTAACCAATAATTGTTAACCGGAGTAGTCCCAGAAGATTGGAAGTCAACGAATGTTGTGCCCATCCACAAGAAAGGTTGTAGGGAGGAGTCGGGCAACTATAGGCCAGTAAGCCTTACTTCAGTAGTGGGGAAAGTATTGGAAACCATGTTAAAGGATAGGATTGATGAACATCTAAAACCACATGGATTTCAAGATCAGAGACAACATGGGTTTACTTCAGGGAGATCATGCCAAACTAATCTTATTGATTTTTTTTTGATTGGGTAACTAAAATAATAGATCAGGGTGGTGCAGTAGACATTGCTTACCTAGATTTCAGTAAGGAGTTTGACACTGTTGCACATAGAAGGCTTATCAATAAACTGCAATCTTTAAGTATGGATTCCAATATTGTTGAATGGGTAAGGCAGTGGCTGAGTGACAGGCAACAGAGGGTTGTAGTCAATGGAGTATATTCGAAGCTTGGGCTTGTCAACAGTCGGGTACCTCAGGGATCTGTACTTGGACCCATTATCTTTAATATTTTTATTAGTGATATTGCAGAAGATTTTGATCGTAAGGTATGTCTTTTTGCTGATGGTACTAAGATATGTAACAGGGTTGATTTTCCAGGAGGGAAAAGACAAATGGCAAATGATTTAGGTAAACTAGAAAAATGGTCAGAGCTGTGGCAGCTGACACTTAATGTGGATAAGTGCAAGATAATGCATTTTGGATGTAAAAACCCAAGGGCAGAGTACAGAATATTTGATAGTCCTAACCTCAACATCTGAGAAAATGGATTTAGGGGTAATTATTTCTGATGACTTAAAGGTAGGCAGACAATGTAATAGAGCAGCAGGAAATGCTAGCAGAATGCTAGGTTGTATAGGGAGAGGTAGTAGCAGTAGAAAGAGGGAAGTGCTCATGCCATTATACAGAACACTGGTGAGACCTCACTTGGAGTATTGTATGCAGTACTGGATATTGTATCTCCTGAAGGATATTGATACCTTAGAGAGAGTTCAGAGAAGGGCTACTAAACTGGTTCATGGATTGCGGGATAAAACTTACCAGGAAAGGTTAAAGGATCTTAACATGTATAGCTTGGAGGAAAGACGAGACAGGGGGGATATGATAGAAACATTTAAATATATAAAGGGAATCAACACAGTAAAGGAGGAGACTATATTTAAAAGAAGAAAAACTACCACAACAAGAGGACATAGTCTTAAATTAGAGGACAAAGGTTTAAAAATAATATCAGGAAGTATTACTTTACTGAGAGGGTAGTGGATGCATGGAATAGCCTTCCAGCTGAAGTGGTAGAGGTTAACACAGTGAGGGAGTTTAAGCATGCGTGGGATAGGCATAGACTATCCTAGCTATAAGATAAGGCCAGGGACTAATGAAAGTATTTAGAAAATTGGGCAGACTAGATGGGCGAAATGGTTCTTATCTGTCGTCACATTCTAGGTAGTGTTTGGGAACTCTGCAGTGCCTGCTTGCAACCTGTGGACCATATTAGTCTGTGTGCATGTGCCCTGTGACATAACACGCAATGTTAGCCTTTGTGTGTTCATATGTACACTGGCATTTAACATGGCAATCTGTGTGTGTGCACCTATGTAGCCTTTAACATAATGCAGCATTCTCTGTGTGCATGCATCTGACCTAACACAGCAATGTCTGTGTGAGTGCATGTGTACAATGTGAACGAACACCGCAATGTCTGCATGCAAATTTGTGTACTCTGAGCGAACACCAAGCTGTCTGTGTATATAGATTCCTGGAGCACCTTCGGCGGAGGAATACGAGGAGCAGGCTTGGGTCAATGCTCTACTGGGAAGAATATTTTGGGACTTTCTGGGAGAAAAATATTGGTCTGATCTGGTCTCTAAAAAAATCCAAATGAAACTCAGTAAAATCAAGGTACGAGCAATGTTAGTCTTTAAATTCTAGAATCCTGAAATTACATGAAATTCTGTGTCGCTTAGTTACCAGCTGTCATATTATTTTTAAAGAAAAACTTCAGAGTACAAATGATCCTTTTTATGCATTATAGAGATACTGTGCTCAGAATGAATACATAGACCTACTTTTAAAGCTTCCATCTGTGCACTATGTAGGGGGTCTAGCTGCAGCAGTAGGCAGACCCCTTCTACACCAGTAAGAAAGTCCCCAAAACTCCTGCTCACGGTTAACCGAATTCTAGAAATATTTTGGCAGTGTTGTCGTTTGCAGCTCAGCTCTCTCGGAAGCTAAGAGCTCAGCCCAAACTTTGTTTTCGGTATGGTGATGCCGCACGTAAAACTTGGATAAATGTGATGCAGGAGTTGGAGTTAAATCCTGGCAGGAAACTTGGGTAAAAAATGGTTAGAAAAGTTCCGCTTTATCGGAGGCTGCTTGCTGGTTTTGCTTCACAATTTTAATGACTGCAGTAAAAGCTAGATTAATATTTACATGTTTGTGTGCTGCAACTTTAATTGAGGAAAGTAAACCTTGCAGTCTTGGTATATGTAGTAAGAGTCAGCAGTTAAATCGTTTCCTGAGATAAGTGCAAAAAACTTAAGGGGACACTTGTTTCATTGGAGTCCTCTGTCCCTCCATTCAGTGTTTAAACCATTTTCGAAAAATTTAACACTAAGTAAATGAGGGTGCCCCACACACAGCTTCCTTTTAGCAATACCAATTCATACCTGTAGTGGGCGCTGTGATACGCTGAAATAGCTTATAAAAGATTAGATTTAAAATATTAAAAACCATGTAATACTGAATGGAAAGCCACAACAGGGATTCCATACACTAAAACCACTTTAATGAAATATGAGAGCATCTCTTTAATATTCCCGTGAAACTAGCACCTTCTTTTCCACCATCGAGCTAGCACTGCAGAACATGTGTATGATTGTTGTTCCAAACTTTGACTAGAGTTAGAAGGTGGCAGTATTGTAGTTTCTCAATAAGACAGAAGGAAGCCTGCTACAACTAATACGACTGTTATTGCACCATTACCTTCTAGCTGCCATACTTTATGAATGAGCTGACTCTAACGGAGCTGGACATGGGTGTGGCTGTGCCGAAAATCCTTCGGGCTTACCAGCCGTTCATTGATCATAGAGGTAATTTCCACTTGACCCTGTTTTTTTTTATTTTCTCTGTCTCCTATTTAGTTTGCACCAGAGTTGGCAATGCTGCATTAAAGTGTAAAGTGAGATATTTGTGCACTTTTAGTGCAAATTTTGGGCAGGTGCACCAAAAGCATGGAGGGATGTTGCTCCAAACATGCCAGAAATGTCTCATACCTGCCTTCCATGTAGTTCTTACCCCAGTAATCACTTCAGTAGCATTTACTGAAGGACTGAGGACAAGTGAAAGTTCCTTGACATTTCAAAATTATTTGAACAAGAACCCAAGTTGATATGCTGCGGGTTTTATTTCAGTTTGTGATCCTTGCCACAAGAATTACTAGTCATCTATGAAGAACGAAGTTTGATTCACTGATGAAGATGAGGTGAAGACTAAACTCTTCTCCGATCTCAACTGGATCTAAACTCTCAACGCTATATTATCCTCTATCGAGAAACGTTCAGGAGCTCAACTGGATTTTAGTCCTCTTCCCTCTGCCAAGCCATCTTAAAGTCTATGGTTTGGTTGGGCAGAGGATTGTTCCTTAGCACCAAGCCATTTTTTCCAAAATCTGTAGAATAAACTGCTAAGAAAGAATCTAGAAGCAAAAATGTACACACCCCTGATGGGTAATCAAGTATTCTTCTGTTAACCAGCAAAACATCCTCATTGTGTCCTAATCAGAGTGATCTACACTGTGCTAAACAGACGATTCCAAGCAAACCTGCTCAAGACTCTGTTTCCACCCTGTCCCAAACATGACCGTGATACGAATTGCACTCAGAGTTATCAACCAATTTCTGTAATAAGTTTTGGCACAATTAAATACTATAGACTGGGTTTCAAGCAGGTCTGCAGAAGATGATGAGTAACCTTATATTTAATAATAGAATAAACTTGCCGGGGAAGGCAATTTAAAAGAACTGTGTGGGGCTTTTTAGAGAATGCAGTAAACTCCTTCTCTGGACCTATAATTCCTTCTAAAAGTAATGCATAATATATTTCTTTAGATTCTTTGCAGCACTTGTTTATTCTTACAGTACGGGATACAAGACTCTATTAACCGGTTATTGCAAGTTTTGTAGAACCCTTGGATACAAATTCTATTGTAAACATATCTGCAATCAAGGATCTTTGTGCAAGATTAGACAAATTTTATAAAATCGCAATTCCCACAATTTCACAGCACCAGGTTGGTTATATCTTCTTGGACACGCGTCCTTTCTTGACGCTGTAGAGTGGTGTTTGAAATATTTTGTCCTATAGTAAACATAATGCATATGGTGCAACTGGGGATCCAGAAGAAGGCAGTGTCTTCACATTTGTTTATTGGTTTCTTTTCTACACTTTTCATGCAATGCCAACCAGTAAGTAGAAAGTATGCCTGACCTGGCAGCCTTACACAAGATATACACGGCCAAGTCAACGTTAGATCACAATAACTCTCTCTCTCTCTCTCGCGCTATTTTTCTATTTTCCTTTTCCTTAAATGAGGAAGATATATACTCTTGAGAATCTCTAAAGTAACCAACAGGGATAATCCTTGTAGTTGCTTATTTATTGTGGGAAAACAGAATAAAAATACACCAAGCAGTAAACCAATGACGTACAAGGAAGATAAATCCTTGCTTTGCCTGTATTTATTTGGATTTATCTTCCTTGTAAATTATTTTGCCAAATTATTTTACCTGTCCCTCATGTCCCTTTTTAGGTGTGTGTGTGTATATATATATATATATGTATGTATGTGTATATATGTGTGTGTGTGTGTGTGTGTGTGTGTATATATATAATATATATATATATATATATATATATAGGATCAGTTACCATATTTTGTTAATGGACTAATGTCTATTTATTTGCTCGATCTTTCTCCAGGTCTGTGGGCAGATCTGGAAATTTCTTACAACGGATCATTCTTGATGACCCTGGAGACCAAAATGAATTTGACTAAGCTTGGTAAGGAGCCTCTGGGAGAAGCTTTGAAAGTTGGTGAGATTGGCAAAGAAGGGTAAGTGACGCTACAAATTGGCTGTGTAGATGTTAACTTAAAAAATAATGTGGTTTTGGAGATATTTGTGCAAAAAAGAATAGCTATAATTTTACTTTGAGGGCCCTGGTGCCGTCATCTCACTGAAAGGGTGTAGGTTTTAATATATTCTCCTTCGCAGTTAACATAATTACATCACTTAGCCATTGTGAGTAGATTTCTGATTTAAATATCCCCATTATAGACGTTTTGGCTGCGCACAGAGGATCCTAGGATGTAAAACTGTCTGCAGTGATCGCATTTAACCCCTTAAGGGCCAAATTTCTGGAATAAAAGGGAATCATGACATGTCACACATGTCATGTGTCCTTAAGGGGTTAAAGAAACGCTCCAAAGTAAAATAAATAATTAAGTTGTTACTCTGTAAATAGAATCCCTGTGAATACATACATGCCATTATTTATATATGTATCATTGGGGGGAGCATACAAAAAAGCCTGCAGAAGCCTTTTCCCCCAGAAGCCTGAGACCAGGAGCATGGGCACGGAGGGCCCAGTTTGAGGTCTGTCGAGGAGGTGAAGGATGCTGGTCTGAGGTCTGTTAGCAGCAATTTTAGGAGCACGCCCCCCACTTCCGTTAGCACAACCTCCCTGACTGTCTGATTCCACTGAAAAAAGTGCTGATTTCTCAAAGCTATTGACACATCTATAAACTAACTTTTTAAAACTGATATTGCACAGAGCCGAAGCAAGCTGAAGTGCTTTCTGTTTGTGGGCTGGTCCTTTATATCTTTCTCTGCCAGTAAAATACCAAAAATATGGAAAGAGACATTTAAAAAAGGTGTTTGATGTAACTTGGTTAACTAATTTGTGTTTACATTTCCCACACTTTGCTCGCACTGATGGATTTTAAATGGTGAGTTTATATGCAGCCCATTATTAAACTGCTTTTAGATGTGTGTTGTTTTTTTTTTTTTGGTTGGTTGTTTTTCTCTTGGTGTGTATACTTGATATTTCAGAAGTCCATTTAGTAATTAAATGTAAAGAGCTGTGGCAGTACCTCTCTTCATTTACCTTCTGCGATGGATTGCAGATCTGTAGATAAAACGGATTATTCAGTAATTAGCCTCGTTGACACTAATGTCAAATAGAAATTAAATAGCACAACATGAATTGCAATTTTACAATTCTTTCTGATGTCCTTTGTTTAATGTGGAGACTTGCTATTCAGATAAATCTAATTGGAATTTGGGATGGGGCGCTACTGACTGGCTTAGGGTGTCAGCTGACCCCTCTAAGCCAATCAAAAGCATTTCTTCCTGAGCCTTCCTTTACCTAGGATTTCAGAAATTGAAAGGACAGGAAGCAGAGTTGACCAGCGCTGGACCAGAGACTTTAGGGTTAAACTATTTGCGAACAGTTTAACCCCTAAAGATGAGCCAGTGGTAGGAACCTCCTGGCACCATAACTACATTTTGGTCAACTTGTTATGGTTCCCAACTTTAAGTGAACTGAGAATTGGGGGGTGGGAGGGAGATTAAGAAGTGAGTATCAATATTGTCATAAAATCTGAGCTAATTAACTCTTTGCCTATAGTTGCTGTAAATACCTACAAGCCTCCCAATTTACAAATAAGTATAAATTAAAATGTAAATGGGTAGCACAAAACATTGTAAGTAATACAGGCTGACGCATTTCGCCAGACCTGTACTTATCAAGACCATATAAATCAAGGCACCGAAAGTCAGTGTATATAGAGAATCAATGACTTGGCCTTTAGAGCAACATACACGCGTTTAATGGTGGAAGATTTTTATCTTGTTAGACAAATCAAGCCCTTAAAACAATATACAAATGTTTAATATCGAGAGAAAAAAAACATTGTCTTAATAAGAACCAAGTCATAAAAAATTAACAACCGTGATAAGCAAACAAAGCTACAGAGTATATACGGTAAAGGCCTGCCTCTTTTGTTTCTTTTATTAGAAATGCTTGCAAGGTTGTTGTGAATCCATGTATTATATTTACATTCTCATAAGATCAGAGCTCAAATTTGAACTGAATAGCCAAAATTTGCCATTCCTAGTCGGTTCTCCACTATTATATAAAAGTAAACACCACGTGTTGTTATAAGACTGGGAGGTCTGTTCATGTTGTTCAGATGCAGATAATGAATACTTGTTATAAATCTAGTTTAATATTAAATTGTAACGCAATGTTTTGCATTACCGCTGCTTAGATAACCATCCCTTTATCCTGCCTTCAGTGTCCGCAGCGGGAGATCATTGTGTTCCTTCTAATGTGAAAACATTAAATTGCCAGACTGTGATGTAATCTCCCCGTGGCTCATTCTCAGAGTTACGCACTTTGTATTGTTTATAAAATACCCCGATCTATGCGACCTCTGGACTTATCGCAGACTGTAAAGCAGCAGGAAATCGCATGTTTCTACTGCATCGGGATTCTCGAATCAGTCCATGATTAACCATTTACAACCTGTAGCTGGCAGAATCTCCGTTTAACCCACAAGGGATGCTTTACAGCCAGACATAAGACTCTCCCACAAAAGCTCACAATCTAACGTGTGTTAACTGCAGGCTCAGACTAACACCTGTTATCCCCCAGCAATGTGAATTGGTGCAGAAACCACATCAGTGATTAAAAAGCCCAGTTTTCCATTTCTCATACAGAGCAGGTTGTTTTATGAACAGGTTGGGCTGAATATAGCATGTCTGTCCTATGATGCAAACACTTCTAACTATGTCGATGTATGTTATCTCTTAGAGCCAGGCCACGAGCGTATTACCTAGCTGACAGTGACGAGGAGTCCTCTAGTGCCGGTTCATCCGATGAAGATGAAGCCCCTGATGCATCGGGAGATAAACAACAGATTTCGGGAGCCGAGGGGTAAGCGTTCTACTCTTAACTTCAAGAACATACTCTATGTATATTGTGCACCATACAACATGACTGTTAGACCTCAGAAATACCCTAGATCTGGGTCACCACATTAAACATAAACTTACAGATAGCGTTTACGTAGGGAACAATTCCCGATGATTCGCTTACTGACAAAGATGGTCTTCCTGTAAGGAAACTGTGAACCCATTGTGTTTTTATTTCTAAACAGGAAATACCGATGTTTAAATATGAATTTGCTCGTTAGTCTTGGTTTATAATGATCTTCTTAACTTTAAAGTGGACTGCTTATGGCTGCTAACACACCAATTTTAGAACAAATCGCAATTTTCGCAAAAATTAAAAAGTTCATTTGGGTTCTATGTACACTACAGCTTAGAGCTATTGTACATCTGGAGGACAGCTTGTTTGCAATACACGCACCTACCATCTCTGACAGTGAAATACGATTCCTAGCTAAATTACCTACCACAAAGTACACTATAAAGCTTTGTTCCTGACTGCTTTTTTTGTGGAAAAATGTAGTTCTTGTATCACTGAGCACTTTAGTGGTTTACAAATCTTTGTAAACCATGTTTATTCACATTGCTTTTATAAATCACAATATGCAGCTTGCTCTTGATTGCTTAGTTTGCAAAAGCATAGAAGTCATATCTTCGTGGGCAGGTAACGGTGATATGTTGCCTTTATTGAGCAAAATCCATGCGTTTTTCATGCAAAAGTCATAGACAGATGTATTGTTCACATTAAATGTCATGAATGTTCCACACAAAATACACTGGTCAAGAGAAAAAAAATTGAAATTTGTAAATTAGCTTTGAATTTGGATAACAAGCGATATTCTTGGTATTGCTAACGAAATTTAAAAAGCACTGAAAATGCAAGGTTTATGTGATACGTTCTAAATCTGGCTGAATGCTCTCTTTAACCATCATACAACTCCAGTGTATATGCACGTGCATATTTACTAGTGGAAGAAAGTCTAGTCAGAATGTGTGGGTTTCCATGGCACCATCGAGAGATTAATTCTTATTATCTTAACTTGATGGATTCTACTACTTTGAGCCTTGGAGGGGCTATTACACAAACATTGCATTTGATTAGTATCATGTTGTGTCATAGACTACGCTAACAGTCTGTTTTTGTCACTTTTCTTAGAAGAACATTTGTCAGTAGTGTCCATTGGTGCTATATAAATGGCAGAAGTACTAAATTTCTTTCTTTCCAGGTTTGCGGGAGCTCATCGGACCAGCAAGATCATGCGTTTTGTAGATAAAATCACCAAATCAAAATATTTCCAGAAAGCCACAGAAACAGAGTTCATAAAGAAAAAGATTGAAGAGGTCTCGAACACCCCCTTGCTATTAACTGTGGAAGTGCAGGAGTGCAAGGGAACATTGACAATTAACATTCCACCACCACCTACTGACAGGATATGGTAAGGCAGCTGTACTTGGTACTGAGAATTTCAGATAGATTGTACAAAGGACTTCTCGTACATTCCAGAGTGTTAAAGTGAATTATAATATTATTATTTTTCTCCTTCTGAAGGTATGGATTCCGAGTGCCACCTCACTTGGAACTCAAAGCTCGTCCAAAACTTGGTGAAAGAGAAGTGACTCTGGCACATGTCACAGAGTGGATTGAGAAAAAACTGGAACAAGAATTTAAGGTAAATTGGCAAATATTATTCCTTAAAGACTCCAGGCATCAGTATATGAGTATACGCTAGCCACCGCCATATTGGAACTGTAAGTCCTATGATACTTAGCTGGGGGTTCTCCTATCTTTATCATACATGATAACCTGCATAATTTAAACACTGTTTTTTCAGAAGCCTAGAGTTTGTGCTTCAAAACCTCCTCATGAAAACTAGGTGTCTTTAACGTTGAATTTTCTCTTTCTCTTTTTTTTTTCTCCCCACTACATAGAAAATATTTGTCATGCCAAACATGGATGATTTATACGTCTCCATAATGCACTCTGCGATGGACCCGCGTTCCGCTAAAGAAGCTGAGCCAGAAGCGACAGAAGCATCATGAAAACGCCGAAGCCGCTCACAGTATTATATTTCAAAAGACATTGTCCAGTCCCCAATATACCGTGCGTACACTTTCCTGGACCCACAGTCAGTGGTGTGGAGAGAAATTAACTACGCCCAGCAGAGGCGCAACGGACGCACATTTAAATGCTGGCCGGAATTTCATGCCTCCTTCCCTTTCCAACAAAAAAAGTGATCACTTCGAATGAAGCACCAAATTCTCATCCTTTCACAACAGTCTCGAGTCCCCCAAGTTTGTGCTGGTCTGTGACCCACTCAACTTTATTCCTCATCGTCATTAAGGAGAGAGCACCCATGGGGTTAAAGTCATCCTGCTTTAAACCATTGCTAATCATTATCTTGCTGTGTAAAAACGGAGAGAGGCTCTTTGTTCTGAACAAAGAGTTTTACGTGTTCGCTACATTTTTCTTTCCCGGTGCATTAATATGGTTGCCATATGGAATCTGCGCCCGGAAAGCTAATAAAGCTGCTGGGAAAATAGTAAAGAAAGAAAAAAAAATATATAAAATGTAGAAAAATGGTACATAGAAATATATCTGCACAATGTATACTAAGCCTTCTTATTTTTTTACATTTCCTTTTTTTGGGTTTTCTGGTTATAAGGCTTATGTTTTATTTTTCTGTGTTTAAAAAAAATAAAAAAAAAAAATATTTAATTGTAAGTACACTTTCCCCTCTTGCCATTGTAAAATATGTTTTATAAAATAGCCAGTACGCTGCCGAGATGCTAACGCCACTTTAAAATCTTGGTGAATGTTTGGGTATTGAGATGTTTGTGTTTAATATAGTTTAGACCCACGGGGCAAGTGTGTGGAGCTCTGTAATTTAAAAAAAAAAACAGAACATCCTCAGAGACAATCACTTTTTAATCCCACCATAATATTTATCTGTAAATCCAAAGCATCATTGTGTCCATACACCGTAGAAAGGGAGGATAATTGTGTTTAGATCTAGGGAATCCGTTTAAAGTTGCTCAGGAAAGTCATATGAGAAGGCAGGACACCTTGCCAATTGGGCGCTAATAATGTGCCAGTTTGGACGCCCTGCGATGTAGATGAGTTTTGAATCCAAACTCTTTAGATTATTTGAAAGCGTTTATTGTTAATTCACTAGACGGTGAATTGGAAACCGAATTATAAAAAGCAAGCTAAATAAGCCAAGCCTTGCCGTGTTGGAGAATTCTGCACCCCCCCATATTTGTGGTTTTGGCCTAAATAATTTGACTATTTGGTTTTCAATCCACTACAGTTTATTGTTTAGTGAATCAACCCCAGCATGCCTCTCTTTACATTCTATGAGCGCATATTATAAATAAATTAAATGCAGATATACGTTGCAGATAGGACATCTCATCTACCAAAATGATTAATATTCAGGAATATATTAAGTGCCCCACCTTAAAGATGCTGAGATTTTAAATAGCTGCTTGCTTTTGTTCTGTGTTTAATGCCATTGCTCTAGTGCTGCGTGGGACACTGTATCAGGTCCTCTTCTTTATCTTGGTGAACCCCTAAATCTTAGTACCTCTCTGAGCTGCGCCCCCATAGTGTAGTCGTTCTCGGAGAGATGGACATTGACAGCAATATACCAAATTGATAGAATTATTTGTGCATGTTCTCTGGATCAAATCTCGCAGAACTAGGCTAGCCAAAGTCGGTGACCTGTCTTGAGAGAGAAATATACTAAATTATACCTCGATTCCAGTTCCGGTAGAAGTGGCAGCAGCAAAGTCTCACTAAACGCAGAACCGCTGATCAGATCTCCCTCAAAACAGGTTTCCAGCTATTCTGGATGAAGAACTATTATTCCCACCTTAGTCTTGTCTAACATTTTCCAGAAAATCTGTGACTTATCAGAGACAAATATTGATTTATTTTTTCCCTTTTCAGCTCCGTACTGACTCTCAATATCTCCTTAATATATCCCATACGATATAGATGAATATGACCATTTTTCTGTACATTAAATGTTTCGTGTGAAGAATTAGGATGTGATTGGATTAAAGATTTAATTCTGTGGCCTAACAGAGACGCAAACACTATAAATAAAGACACATTTATTTTAACACTAAAGTACATTTTTAGTTTTAAGTAATCATTTTGTAATTTGTTGTTAACCCAGCTTTTAATGGTTATGCCCTACTAGGTACTTAATAAAATGTAATTTCTTGAATTTTGAGGTCTGTTTTCAGATCAAAATACTCTAAAATGATACAGAGTAATAGGAGGACTTATGCTGAACAAATGTACCATGTAACAAATATGTCTAAACATCCTGTTTTTTTGTCTTTTTTTTTTATTTTTATTTTTTTATTTGCAATTCAGATCTGCCATTCTGTGCCTTCTCTCAGCTATTTTGTGTTTTCAGCAGTTTTTCCAAATCTCCCTGTTCTTGTAAAACGCAATCCGTACAAAGCGCAGAACGGCGCCGATTAGCCTTTCGTGCAAGCACTTCTGTAAAGCAAAATATTTTATTTTTTTTGCCTCCTTTTGCTTAGCTTGACCTTTTTTTCAGGTCCCTAAATACATTTTTGTATTTTTTTATATATAAATATATTTTCAGATTGTGAGTTTCTTTTCGGTTCTTCTTGATATTAGAATTATGAGTGTTCTATGTCTGGCAAAGGATGCGTTGATTTACCGGTTAACCTATCCTAGAATAGTTTGATTATAAAAAGGAGCGCAATGTAAACATTCGTGATCACAGTCCCCGTGCAAGATGTAGATAGTGCATTTACTGTGCGTGATATATATAAATATACCATAGAGACACACACATTACATCAAGGCACTTGGGTAGTTTATGATTATGAATCTAATTGCTGGTTTTTGTTGTTGTGATAACATAAGACTTGCTCGTGCTCTTGCAAAGTTCTGTGAATTGGGGGTCCAGCCTGTCTGCTCATGTAGTACAAATCTTATGCTTTCAGTGCCATCTGGAACTTTACGAATCTCCCATCCCCCATCTCCCCATTTATCAGAATAGGGTAAGCATCACCCTCTCTGCCTTTTGGATGCAAACATTTAAGCCTGTATGGATAACCTCTATTTAAACACATGGGGTAACTGCAAAAACAATGGGATTCACATGAATGGGATAATGTTCTGTTCCTTTTATCCCCTAATGTTGGACAGAAGCACGAGTCCCATTTTGTAATTCCAGTCTTTACATTGCTAAAGCACCAGAGAAATTGTAGCTCTAAAAATGCTGAAGATACAGTTTGCCCATCCCTGATTTATCATTTTGCCTACCATTTGTAGGGCAGTTCCTTCCCCTAATGGTTTAGGAGACAACAGCTACGATGGGAAAAGGTGTCTAGTCTATTGAATAACCCGGTTTGAATTTGTTTAAACCTCTTTCAGTGTCTCTGCTGCCTTGTCGCCTCTGGTAGGCTGAGTGAGAGAGACATGGCCTTTCAGATATATAGAAGGAATCTGTAAAAATATGTTGTGTATTAATATTAATATTCATGTTGCGATTTTTCTTTGCGGAATTAAACAGCCATAAGTGCACATAGGAAGCTATTATTTAAACTTGTCAGATAGCCGCTATACTGTGGTGTGACTCAGTTATTGAGTTTAGAGACTCATCTTATACTATTATATTTTTTTGTTTTTTTATTTTAGAAAAATATTTCTTTGTGGTTTATAGAAGCCCCACGAGGGCCATTTGACGGGCACTTTGTATGTGATGGACAATTGCTACATGTTGAATTTAGAATAGTGGGTTCTGAGGTTAATGAAAAACTGAGCATTCCTTACTAAGAGAGGACTACAGTAATCACACTAGTTGAGTAAACACTCCTAAAGGACCACTCTCGGTAAGTCACACCAGTTGAGTGATCACTCATTTCTAAACGAACACACTGTCGTACTAGTGACGTTTTCTTTTTTTGTTTTTGAGTTCTTATAAAATTGCCAATCATCTGTGCTCATTGGCTGATAATTTTGTTTACAGTAATATGTTGGATTTGAGATTAATTTGTCTTTTTGAATTTTGAAAGAAATGTTTTGCTAAAATGACCTCCCCTAGCCCCCTTTTACTAATGAAGATACTTCTCTTGAAAATTGTAAATGAAGGAAATTTGTTTTCTGTAATTTGAACTAATTTAACATCAAACAGTGACGGATTTCATGTGTGACGTTTACATATTGGCTTTCCATTAAAGTACTGATATGAAACTAAAAAGCACATGTTCCCTATGAGCTATGCTAACAGGATTTCTTACAAAAGTGTGAATTGTCACAAAAGCTGATGAAAGATGATTGAATAGCTGACCTGGAGAATTTTTCCAACACACATTTTTGCCTTTAAATTTAATTTACTATTTAAAAAAATTGGGAGTGAGATCGGGAATAAAATGTTAAACCGTGTTGTCCAGATAGACGATGTATGACCAAGATCATGTTTTTAGAAGATCCCAATACATCCTGAAATACTCTGAGGATGGTACGTTGAATGTCTGCTAGGGATTAACTCCGGTTTCCTTGGGGGGGTGTAAACAAAACTGAACATTGTTGAAGTTCTTTCACATGAATGTGAATCCCTCTATCTAGAGCCTTGGCCCGAAGCTGTCCTGTAAATATTATTCAAGAACATGCCAGTTTGTTGTTTTTAAATGTTCACATCCACCAAAACCACTATGGAGTTTATTCACTAAACTCCACCAAATTAATAGTAAATCATTAGAGTGGGAGAGCCTTTTTCTGCCAAATGGAGCACTCAGCTCAGGTATCATGGACTTTTAATTAATTTCTTTATAGAACAGAGGGGAAGGTTACATGTGGTGCATCAGCATAGCTGAAGACATGATCACCGTTTTTGAATAAATTATCCGATTTAATTTACTTATTTAATTGTAAAAGTTGGGCAAAAAAAGCTCACTGGGGGGGGGATAATTATAGAGTGGCTATTTTAGCATAAATTTGCCAATTTGGTTATCAACTCATAACCATGTGGGGTTTAGTGAAATGAATCCTATGGTTTCACCATCCGGTTTACCAGTTGGTACCTGGTTGAACATCTCATTGCTCAGGTTTTCAGCAACCCTGAATATTGTACGTCCTAATCTTCGTAGCATATCTGAACTTGTTATATTGGGTGAGGACCATTGCACTATGGCAGTGATAGGTAACTTGGCACCTTAGATATTTGTAAACGGCATTTACCGTGATGCTTGGCCAGCCTCAAGTCTACAAATGCCTTACGTGCCGGGGCACGCCGTCACTGCTCTCAGAGCCTACAACATATTGTAGATTACACTGACGACATAAAAATATTTATCTGGAACTGATCTAAGTAAATGTTGTTAAATAATGTCTGTCTTAAGCTGCTCCCCTTGATTCGCTTGTCATCTAATTTATGTTCTATTGTGCATGTTGCAGTTTCACGCCGTCTCTCTTACAGGCCAACATTATGTACTAACATTGGTCTTCTGATTCACTGTGTTTATGCTGCACATGATCAAAAAAAAATTGTGGGTATCAAAATCCGCTTGCTGTTTTATTAAATCAAATTTCTCCATTTGTGTGTTGTGCGTTATTTCTAGACATTTGTCTAATATGGTTGTGAGTAAGAATAAAGGAATAAACATATATTCCTGACCCTACACTGTTAAAACCACCATCTGACACCCTGCCCCACCCCCCCACCCCCACCCTAAAAATAGCAAAATCTTACATTTATTCCAGTTTGCTGCTGCTGGCTCTGCCCCTGATCTGCCTGCTTGACTTACATCATCAGAAACTGCTATGTTTATAAAAAAAAATGGGTTAACCCTAGCTAGACCTGGCACCCAGACCACTTCATTAAGCTGAAGTGGTCTGGGTGCCTAGAGTGGTCCTTTAAAGAGATGCCTTGAATCAATGCAACTCTATGAGGAAAGTTCAGTGTCTCCATGCAGAGGGTGCAGACAGTGAATTTCAGTACTTCAGCACTGCCCCAGGAAGCACCTCTAGCAGCCATCTGAGGAGTAGCCAGTGAAGGTATCCCTAGGAAAGAGGTAGTACTGTGCAAATTGTTTTTTTTTTTGTTTTTTTAAATCTTGAAATCCCTTAGCATGCCGGTCCTATTTATTTTATTTTTTTTAATGGAGGTGTTTATGTTGCCATATTGTGCTTGTGTTATTTATGGGTGCCACATTTTCTTCGTAGTGTTGTATTTGTGCATATGTTGACTGTTCCATTCACAAATAGCTTGTGGTATGGTGTATGATACCTATAAATGTGGGACTGCTTGTGGACTATGTGTCTGGATATGTCACATATACATTGTGTGTTTGGTGGTGTTACAGATGAGAGGCTGTGTGTGTGTGTGTGGGCACTGTAAATGTGTTTGCGTGGGGGCTGTTTGTATGAGGGGGAGGCGTATTCAGCAGCTCTATGTATATCTAGCAGTGTGGGTTGCTACCCTGAGGTCCAATAGGGGCTGGACTTGCGAGGTCAAGGGAAGGAACTACGATAACCGCTAAGGGCTGCTCTACTCCAGTACAGAATCCTGTTTCCAAGTGCTGGGAGAAAGTGATCTGAGATCACTTCCTTTAAGTCAGGCTTCCCCCAAACTCCGGCCCTCCATTTGTTGCTGAACTACAACTCCCATGATTCTCATCCTGTTGATTTCATTCATAGAATCATGTTGTAGTTCAGCAACATCTGGATGGTTGGAGTTTGGGGAAGCCTGCTCTAAGTGCATCAATGTGTAAATTATTGATGGTCCTTCACCACCTGCAATCTCTGGTTGCACTAGCAGATATATCAAGTCCAATGGCACTCCTGATAAGCCAGAGCCCGTTTGTGTCTGGCAGCCTTGAGGGCCGTGCAAAGGCACCTCGAGTGCCATACATGCCGTAGGTTGCTGACCCCTGTCCTAGGCTGTAATGTAAGCATTGCATTTTCTCTAAAAATATTATGTTTACTGCAAAAAGCCTGCAGGGAATGATTCTACTCACCAGAACAAATACAATAAGCGGTGGTTGTTCTGGTAATTATAGTGTCCCTTTAAAATGCAATTTTATATGTAAATTAAATTCAGATGATAGTAGAGCAACTTTTACAGTAGAAAAGACCATAAACCACCATTCAGTATTTTAATTTTTTATGTTAATAGGGTCACTTGCTGTGGATTTACAAAATGTGTTATTTTGAGTAAAATAATATAATTAAATAAACCCCCCCAAAATACTCAACTTCCCTGTCCATTTTGCAGTAAATATTTGGCTTTGCCAGTGACCGTTATTTGATTCGTGAACTAATTATGTAATTGTTAGTCTCCCATTGCATAAAAGAGATAATACATCCCCCCCCCCCCCGTTAACACCTTTGGGGTGTGCGATGCCATCCTGCACAAGCATGGTTTGAACGCTATTAGGATGGCATAGCACGCTCTAATGATCTGCATCCCTGGCCTAGATACCTACGGTCTATCACGACTGCCTGACAACTTAGGTAGTCCCCCCCCATGAAGCAAATTCTGCCCAGCTGCATACACACATACTAATTAATGCGTACATCCATCCTCACACTGCCTTACACATACATACACTACTTAATACCTACATCCATACACACATACTGCCTAATACCTACATCCATACATGCATCCATACACACATAGTGCTTAATACCTACATCCATAAACACACACTGCCCAATACCTACATTCATACACACATGCTGCTTAATGCGTACAGCCATACACACATACTGCCTAATACATGCATCCATACACATATTGCTTAATTAGTACATCCATACACACATACTGCATAAGACATGCATTGTACATTGAATACATAATTTATTACTGTGATAAATGATGTATTCAATGCATTTGGTGAATTTTAAGACTAGCATAGACGAACACACACTTAAACCCTCACTGACCGACACACACAATTTAATTTTTTGTGGCCCATCCAGCTTCCTTACCTCCCTTTGGTCCATGGTGGGACAATTTCTCACTCCTCCCGCCCGCTGTTTTGTACACCGGGGCCAGAATTACGTCATATTCTGGCTCCCAGCATCACAGAGGGCACGCGAGAGAGGAGTGAGAAGCTGCAAGAACAGTCTCCCTCGCTACCCACCCTGCTGCTGCTGCCTGCCTCCTCTCCTCCAGCATTTATCGGCAGAGCAGGCACCTGTCATCCGGGTAAGCAGGTGTCTGCTCTGCTATTCCTAACAAGCACAGCTTCGGGGGTGCCCTAAGGTGGCCAGATAACCACCTCCTGGGCCCCCAGTGACCGGTCTCATCTCGGCGCCTCCACCTTGGGGGGGGGCTAAAGAGCCGCTCGCCCAGCGCTGCGGCCCCCCAGGAACATCCCAGTGGGGGCGCCCCAGGCTGTCTTGACAATCACTAGATTCAGTCCTGCTATGTAATTATTGCACTTTCTCAGTAGAATTGGTCTGGGTGCCTATACTGTCCCTTTTATGGGTATAATAAACAGGTGTCTTCACACACACTGACAAGACACTAGCAGAGTCCTATTCACTTTGTAAACTACTTTGCAAGTAAGCACAAGCACTTGATTTTTATTTGTCTCCTCAGCTTTCTGGAACCTGAACACACACACTATGCAGGGGTTTATGTGAAAGATTAGGGTTAGATTCTTGCATGCGCTGGAGATGGAGGGGCTGAGCACACCTTTATATGCAGCAACAATCTGAGATTGAGTAAGAAGGTTGCTAGGGTAGGACCTGCCAAATATGGGGTACATTGACGACATGGTGGGTTTCTGCAATGTATAATCATATACTGTAACTAAGCCCCCATTATTTTTTACTAGATTAGGTGTTTAAAAAAAAAAAAAAAAAAACCCTAATAAAATCTGTGAGCTTTGAAGTTGCTGTTTAGTGGATGATTATATATTTATATAATAATCTAAAGTTGAGTTATTAGAAGGGCCTTAAAGGACCACTCTAGGCACCCAGACCACTTCAGCTTAATAAAGTGGTCTGGGTGCCAGGTCCAGCTAGGGTTAACCCATTCTTCTATAAACATAGCAATTTCAGAGAAACTGCTATGTTTATAAATGGGTTAATCCAGCCCCCAAAGCCTCTAGCGGCTGTCTCATCAGCCGCTAGACGCGCTTGCGTGATTACAGTGAGAGCACGCCAGCGTTCATAGGAAAGCATTATGAATTCGCGCAGCTCTTGCCGTGTGTGCGCATTCAGCCGACGGGGAGGAACGGAGGAGGATCAGATGAGGAGAGCTCCCCGCCCAGCACTGGAAAAAGGTAAGTTTTTACCCCTTTCCCCCTTCCAGAGCCGGGCGGGAGGGGGTCCCTGAGGGTGGGGGCACCCTCAAGGCACTATAATGCCAGGAAAACGAGTATGTTTTCCTGGCACTATAGTGGTCCTTTAATCAGACACATGGCTTGTTCTGCTGCCTCGTGTTCCCAATGCTCGCAGTGGCTTCCTATTGGATGAATCAAGCACATTATGTTCCTTACCCCTAGGCCCAATAAACTGTTACTGTAGTGATATTGTCCATGCAATAGAGACTCCTCTGCCACTGGAGGAGCTTAATTAATGAACGTTAAAGCAACACGCCAAACACCATAACCACTACAGCATACTACAGGAGTGCCCTGGCACAAGCTCAATGCAAGCAGTGAAACCACCTGCTTTCATGATATCTTACCTAGGGTCTGCATGGTACCTCTTCCTGCAATTAGCTCTAAGCCCTGCAGTTTTTTTTTTTTTAACTGATTATGGTGCTTGGAGAGTTTCTTTGATTATATTGCATTTGAAGAATGGGTTTCAGTTAATGGGTTATTATTATTATTATTATTGCCATTTATATAGCGCCAACGGATTCCGTAGCGCTTTACAATATTTTGAGAGGGGGGGTGTAACAATAAATAGGACAATTACAAGAAAACTTACAGGAACAATAGGTTGAAGAGGACCCTGCTCAAACGAGCTTACAGACTATAGGAGGTGGGGTATTAGAAACATTAGGACAATAAATATCAAGTAGGAGTGAAGCAGAGCTGGAGGAGAGAGCAAAGCACTGTCCCATAGGAGAGAGCAGGAGACAGGTATGTAAGGCATAGATTACTCTGGGAGGCCATAAGCTTTCCTGAAGAGATGGGTTTTAAGGCCCTTCTTAAATGATTGAAGACTAGGGGAGAGTCTGATGGCAGTAGGCAAGCTATTCCATAGGAGAGGAGCCGCCCGCGAGAGGTCCTGCAAGCGCGAGTTGGCCGTACGGGTGCGAGCAGCGGTCAGGAGGTGGTCACGGGCAGAGCGGAGGGTACATGGAGGGGCATATTTATGGATCAGTGAAGAGATATAAGCGGGGCTAGAACTGTTCAGTGCTTTAAATGTATGGGTTAGCACTTTGAATTGACTCCTATAGCATACAGGGAGCCAATGTAAGGACCGGCAGAGGGGTGAGGTGTGAGAGGACCGACTAGAGAGGAAAATCAGTCTAGCTGCAGCATTCATTACAGACTGTAGCGGGGCAATACGGCTTTTGGGGAGACCAATCAGGAGAGGGTTACAGTAATCCATGTGGGAAATTACTA